GGACATAAACCTCAAGTGTTTAATTAACTTAAATGACATCACATTTGAAAGTACTCCAGTAAGTTGCAGTGCACCAAATCTCTTCTTTGAGAGTATGTGTCCTACTAGTGGTAACAAGCAGGTAATCTATGCTGATTTATACCTTCCCACCCCACGTGTACTGACTGACAACCAGGCTGCTACAGAACACACATCAACAATCTAATAAGAACAAAGCACAGCTTTCTGGGTACATCAAAATGTTTTCCTCAATGGTAACCAAACCATATATTGCTTGCTACTATCCTTAAAAGGTTATGTATTAATAATTTGTTGACTTTATTTTGCCAGCACCCTACACAGGCCAGACTGGAATCAGATGTTTTACTGCATAGTTTCCTTGATTTATACCTCTTGAACAAAATAGGAATGATCCCCATGCCCTAGCAAACCAAAACAGCTGCCTTTCCATTTTCCTCATGGAAAGGTAGGGTACAATTTGCACATGTATATAAGATTATACAAGCAGAAAAATACTGTAGTGTAGCACTACTCTTAGGCTAGTGAGACTGTTCATACAAGGATGGAAACTAGATGGAATGGGGAATATACTGCTAGAAGTTAGCTGACATACTGTGCTTAGCAAGAGATCTCTCTCACTGTTTATTACACAAGCAGGAAAGGTAATATTAGTTAAATTACAACAACACCTGGCAGGAGACCGCGCCCGCGCCCGAGAACCGCACCGCGCCCAAAGACCGCGCCGCGCACGCGCCCGAAGACCGCGCGAAGACTGCGCCGCGCCGCCGACTCCGCCGCTACCTGACTGCCCTGCCACGCCCCTGCACGCGTGGCAGGCGTGCCCGGACGGGGTGGGGCGTCGGGCGGCCCGCGGCTACAAAGCACCAGCAGCGGCCGGGGCCGGCGGCGAAAGGGCGTCGGCCAAAGGGCGGTTTGCCGCCGTTTGGGGGGGCTGTTCGGGGGGGGCTAGGCTGGCCAGGGGACTTGCTCTTTTGTTGTGGCAGTCCCTTCTGTTGAACGGCCAATTTTAAATGTTTTATAATTTTAAAGTGTTTTAACTTGTTTTTATGGAGTCGTCCCTGGCCATGTTGCCGCCTGAGTTTCCTGGGGAGCGCACTGGCGCCGCCATTGGTGTGGTGATGGGCAATGGACGTAATAGCGGTGGGGGCTTAACGTGTCTGCATAGAAGAAGGAGGGACAGATGGCTGACACCTGTCCCTACTTCTGGTTTTGCTCCCAGCCAGAAGGTGCCAGGGAGTCTTGTCAGTCGCCCCTCGGGCCTGACGGTGCTGTTGTTTAATGCCAGGTCGGCCAATAACAAATCTGCCCTCATCCATGACTTGATTGTGGATGAGGGGGCTGACCTGGCCTGTATAACGGAGACCTGGGCGGGAGAGGGGGGGGATGTTGCCCTCTCTCAATTGTGCCCGCCCGGGTATATGGTCCAGCACTGTTCACGGCCGGAGGGGAGGGGAGGGGGGGTCGCTTTGGTTTACCGGGCCTCCATCACTCTCACGGGACTTCCTGTCCCTTCGAGACCAGGGCTGGAGTGTCTCTACTTGGTGTTGGGCGACCGAGACAGATTGGGGATTCTGTTGGTGTACCGTGCACCCTTCTGCCCAACAGTCTCCCTGCCTGAGCTGACGGAAACGGTCTCGGACCTGGTGTTGAGGACCCCCAGGATGCTGGTCCTGGGGGACTTCAATATCCATGCCGAGGCTAGTTTGACCGGGGCGGCTCAGGACTTCATGGCTTCCATGACGGCCATGGGGCTGTCTCAACATGTCACCGGCCCGACCCATGAACGTGGACACACTCTGGACCTGGTTTTCTCGACGGGGCAGGAAGAGGGTGGTCTGAGGGTGAGGAATTTATGCTTGACTCCCCTGTCATGGTCAGATCACTTCCTAGTGAGGTTTGTGCTCGAGAGCGACATCTCCCTCTGCAAGGGTGCAGACCCGATTGTGTGGGTCCGCCCCCGGAGCCGGATGGATCCAGAAGGATTCCTGAAGGCTCTGGGGGAGTTTCCGGCTGACAAGACGGGTGCTCCTGTCGAGGCTCTGGTTGAACTGTGGAATGGGGAGATGACCAGGGCTGTAGACACGATCGCTCCTAAGCGTCCTCTCCCATCGGGCAGAGCCCGCTCTTCCCCTTGGTACACTCCAGAATTGAGGGCAATGAAGCAGGTTGGGAGACGGCTAGAGCGTAGGTGGAGGAAATCACGTGATGAATCTGACCGAACACACTTAAGAGCCCACTATCGGGCCTATGCTGTGGCGGTGAGGGCGGCGAAAAAGAGACACTTCTCCGCTTCCATTGCCTCCTCACAATGCCGTCCGGCGGAGCTCTTTCGAGTGGTGCAAGGCCTGGTTCACCCAGGGCCAAAGGAAGAGCTGATTCCACCCTCAAAGGCCCGCTGTGACGACTTTGCCGAGCATTTTAGGGAGAAAATCGCTCAGATTCGTCACGAGCTGGATTCCACTATTGATTCAGAGGTTTTAAGGGAGACACCAACGCTACCGTCTGGTCCAGAATTATTGGATGAATTTCAGTTATTGCGGCCCGATGATGTGGACAAGGTGCTTGGACGAGTACGTCCTACCACTTGCCTTCTGGACCCTTGCCCGTCTTGGTTAATAAAGGATTCCAAGCACGGGATTGGAACCTGGATCTTGGAAGTGGTTAACGCTTCTCTGAGGGAGGGTCGGGTGCCTGCCCCTTTAAAGGAGGCGGTAGTCCGACCGGTCCTGAAGAAGGCGTCACTGGATCCAGGGATGGCCGCTAACTATAGACCAGTGGCCAACATCCCGTTTCTGGGCAAGGTGTTAGAGCGAGTGGTGGCGGGACAACTCCAAGCACTCTTGGATGAAACTGATTATCTGGACCCATTTCAGTCCGGCTTCAGACCCGGGTACGGTACTGAATCTGCCTTGGTCGCCCTGTACGATGACCTGTGCAGGGAGAAGGACAGGGGGAGTGCGTCCCTGTTGGTTCTCCTGGACCTCTCAGCGGCTTTCGATACCATCGACCATGGTATCCTTCTGGATAGGCTGGCGGGATTGGGGGTCGGAGGCACCGCTTTGCGGTGGTTCCGCTCCTATCTCAACGACCGATTCCAGAAGGTGGTGTTGGGGGACTATGGCTCTGCGCCATGGCAGCTTTGCCATGGGGTACCGCAGGGTTCCATTTTGTCCCCTTTACTGTTCAATATCTACATGAAACCGCTGGGAGAGGTCATCAGGAGGTGTGGGCTGCGGACCCATCAGTATGCTGATGATACCCAGCTCTACCTCTCGTTTTCCACCAATCCAGGTGAGGCAGTGGCTGTACTGAACCGGTGCCTGGCCGAGGTAATGGGCTGGATGAGGGCCAATAAACTGAAGCTCAATCCAGACAAGACGGAGGTCCTGTTGGTTGGCGGTTCGGGCTTCGGAGAAGGTGACCTGAACCTTGTCCTGAATGGGGTTGCACTCCCTCCTAGGGACAAGGTCCGCAGCTTGGGAGTGCTCCTCGACCCGGAGCTTTCACTTGAAGCTCAGGTGACAACAGCGGCGAGGAGCGCTTTCCTCCAGCTTCGGCTGATTCATCAGCTGCGCCCCTACCTGGAGTACGACTGCCTTGCAACAGTGACTCATGCGCTGGTGACTTCCCGTCTTGACTTCTGTAACGCGCTCTACGTGGGGCTACCCTTGAAGACGGTCCGGATACTTCAATTGGTTCAGAATAGAGCTGCCAGGCTGCTGACGGGGACTGGACGTTATGTTCACATGACACCAGTTCTCCGTCAGCTTCACTGGCTCCCCATTGAAGTCCGGGCCCAATTCAAGGTGTTGGTAATGACCTATAAAGCCCTAAACGGCTTGGGTCCTGGTTACCTGAAGGAGCGCTTACATCCATATTTGCCCAGTCGCCCCCTGAGATCGGCGGGAGAGGCCCTTCTCCGGGAGCCCTCCGTGAGAGAAATTAGGAGGGTGGCTACTCGGAGAAGGGCTTTCTCAGCGGTGGCGCCTAAGTTATGGAATGCGCTCCCCAGAGAGGTCCGCCTGGCGCCGTCGTTATTTGTTTTTCGGCGCCAGGCTAAGACCTTTTTATTTAAGCAACATTTTAAATGCTAAATACAATTGAATTTTATCTGGCCAGGGCGGCTTATTTTATAATGTGAGTTTTAATTAAGATTATTTTATATGGATTTTAACTTGTTTTATCTATGTTGTAAGCCGCCCCGAGGCTTCGGCGAATGGGGCGGCATAAAAATGTTTTAATAAATAAATAAATAAATAAATAAATTTGCAGGTAAGGTAATGTTAGTTTATATCGGAGTCAATTAAGATTGGTGGGTGATTGCTCATCATTTTCAGTGCAACAGGAAATAGAATTCCAATTGTGGCACAAAGACAGTGTATGAGCCCAAGTAAAAGACATAGTTCTGACATGTCAAGGTATGCAGCACAGGGCTACACCACCACGTTCCCAAGAAAGGAACTGGTGAGGCATCACACAACAGCCTCTGAGATTAAAAAAACAAAGGAGAAGCAAATGAGTAATGCTTGGCTTCTCAGAACAACTTCAGGAACACTGCAGTAGGACTCAGGACATCCATCTCCTACCAATAATCACACTTCTGCTTCTGTAACAAAGTGACAATGACAAGACACTGCAGAGAGATAAGCAGAGGGACTCACCAGAAGTGAGAAAGCATACCTGCAAGTAGGTCCCGTCCAGATTGTAGGCAGTCCTTCGTCAGGATGTCCTTATTAGGAACCTTCACTATGCAAGTCCTCCTCCTCACCACCATTACCACTCCCCCCCGCCCCCGACCAACCCAGAGTGTGCAAGGTGAAATGAAGCTATTACTCACTCTAGTCATGGTGAACTTAGAGCAGTCAGACAACAAGAGCCAGGTTGCTGGGATCCCAGGAGATCTTTTAAAACATTAAAGCTGGGATCTGGCCTCTAGCTGGAACTGGGGCTGCAAGAACAAAGACACAAGCAAGCAGCAGAAGGGATCGTTGGTTTATTTACATGCTTTTTTACTTTATTGTACAAAGATTTTGAACAGAATATGTTTTTGGAGACAAACATTAATAAATAAATTTCAATAAATATCTTTTCCTTGCAGGTTCAGAGCAAGGACACATGAAACAGAATTTATGGTAACCAGAAGCAGAGTTCCAATCTCTCTTTTATGGATGCATATTATCCCGATGTTTTATAACCTTTGACAACTGATGAACTTCCAGATGTTTGAAAGATTATGAATGCAATAGTAGGAAATCGGGGTAAGACACACAGAAAGGAAGATTATCTAGGTAGCAGCAACTTTTCTCAATTTTTCAACTAAAAGAGAGGTACAGTGGCTATCCATTGATCATCACCTTTCACCACCCCAGTACTTCCATGTAGTTAGGGTTATTGATTAAATTTAAAAGAGAACTCAAAGGAAATAATTTAACTTATTTTAACTTGATTATTGTGACAACGATGTCATAACTGGAATTCTAGGGGGATACTCTCTTATATAGTGATTACAGCAGGTATAGACAACAATGGTTATAAATATCACAGCAATTCTATGGAACAGGTTAAAGAACAGATGCAATGCCTCTGAAATAATTGGGAGGGGATGGCAAATATTAGCCATAGAGCACAATCCTATACATGTTTACAAAGCATTTTCTGGAGCATGCTGGAAGTTGTAGGATTTTCAAGGATTGCAACCTTAAAAGGGATCATGTTAAAACAGGTTTGTGTGCAGTGTAACCATCTAGTGTAGATATGTTCTTTTGCTTTTTATTGTTTTAAAAGATCTGAATTGGTTTCATAATCTCCTTGTATATTTAGGGAGGAATCCTATGGATTGCACTGTCATTAAACAGAAGGCTCCAAATTCTGAGGCTTCTGAGCGTCCAATGCTGTGCCAGGCTAATGTTGGTAATGTGAGAGCAGCAACGGAAGCAATATTCATGGTCCATGCTTCCTTGTCACATTTCCTCTAGATTGATTCTTTCTCCTCTGCATCCACTGGAATGCCTCCTTTTCAGATTCCTGTGGCCGTTATACCCATGGCCACTGAGAGGGAGGAATCACATTCTTAATTCTCTCTCCTGAGGCTGTAGCAGCGTCCACAGTTTCAGCAGGTGATTTGGAAGACTCTCCCAGGTGCATTCTCTTGGAACCTTAGCACTGCTCCTGTAAATACTAAAATGCGATTTAGAAAAGCAGCCACAGAGGCAAGAATCTTCTGCATTGCATTGTGCAGACCTCAGTCAAGACCCAATGTAACAACAGCAACCAGTGGGAAACCAGCTGTTAGTATTGCCATTTTATTATTGTGGCTCTTGCTTGTATAATTTTCTTCACCATATAACCATAAGCTGGGGGAAGCCTGTAATCATGTATCTCCATGGTCTTCCACTGGAGCACTATGTTGGCATGATAATGAACCTAGCAGTAGATAAGCATCTGCATTATAATGCAGTTAGGCAGAGTCACCTTCCAGATTTTCAGGGCCCTTGGGTAAGACATCCTCAACGGGATCCCTTCCTCACTGACTCAGCCCTTTCACTTATGTTGTCTTTCACATCACTGCTCCCAGTAGCTTGCCTGACAGACAGAGAGCCAGTGAACAAGCAAGCAGTGGCACCTCTTCCTCCTCATCGCCACCAGTACTGTCTGAGAAGCAGTGACCAAGCAAGTTGCATTGATGCAGAGGAGCAGCCCCTCTTGTCAGTGGGCCCTGCTGGGGTGTGGGCCCTTGACAGTTGCCCAACTTTGATGCCCGCCCTGCAATTGGAAGAGGCAATCACAAGTTGTGCTATTCTTTAAAATATAAATTTATCCTTATTAAAAACAGGGATAAGAGACCTTGCCCTGAAGAAAGGAGTAAAGGCCTGATGGGTGTTGGCTGCTGGAAACCTGGTTAGCGTAAGGTGGTGCAAACTGAAAAGGGCTGGAACATTCTGGCTTGCGGAAATGGTGGCCACTATCTGCATTGCTGCTCCAATCTCCCCACCCCCAAACCTTGTGCGTTAGCCATGGTATCCTCCGCTAGGGCCAAGGCGGCATCCATTGCCTTGAAAATGTCCTGGTCTCGGAAGTTGCTTTTTAGAGCTATCCACTTCTTAGCTGCTAATAACCTGACTGGAGGGATGGCGCCTGGTTTTGGTGGGCAGAAAAGCAGGACACCAGCATGCTCGATGGGAAGACACGCTGGGGTGCACTTGGAGGCCTACTGACCCTAATATGTATTGTCTTCTTTCCAGGTTTCTTTGATGGGACAAGTCCCGTCTCTACTGGAACCATCAGAACACAGATGAGAAGGTAAAGAGTGGGAAGTCTTCATTTTTAAAGAGAGGGTGGAGGGAAGCCTGAGATTAAGAAATCAGTGAGAAAAGACTTACGGAGAAATCTGAGAAAAGCTGTTTTAAGTGGAAAGCCGGAGAAGATCAAGAGAGGGCTATTTCTGGGTGAGGCAGGGAAAAAACTAGAACTCAAAGGAACAGCACTTGAAAGATCATTCTGTGTGCCACAGAAACAAACAAGCCCTTTGGACACCATTTCACATTATAAAAAGATAAAGCTGAGTTCTGGAATAATTTATAATCAGTTATTCTTGCCCACAGTGGTCCCTGAATCTGCTCAATAAATACCTCTATCAAATTCTGCAGGGCCCTATAATTTGCACAAAGCAGAACTGAAATAGTTAGCCAATGAGCCTAACAGGAAAACAGAAGTCACATTTAAGTGTCAAAACTACATCATTTATATGCAACCTGAAACTTTGGCTGAAAACTATTCTGTCCCAGCTATATGAAATCCCTGTAACTCTGGACAAAATGGGATCAGCAACAGTACAAAAGGGACTGAAAGCAATAGAAGCACACTTGAAGACATTCAATTTGGGGCATCCAAGGTATTCAAAGAAGGGACCACAAGCTGCTGTACATTTTTTGTACAGAATTGTATGCAGTGCTTTCAGACATTTGAACCTTTACTATATACTTGTATAAATATATGCAAAAAATAGAATGCTCTGTGAAAGTCTAAAACATTATTTAACATTGTTAAATAAGAATATAGGTTACAAAAGGTATTACACATTACCATTACTGTTTCCATGTAGTCTATCCTAGGTAAAGTCCATTCATAACCATCTACCTTTATGGGCAAATTATTTCACTCCAATTTGTGTATTAGCAATTTATGAAATTATTTCACTATATTTTAAAAGCCCGAACCAGATATGTGTCCTTCGTGGAAGAAATGAATGCATTTTTTCTTTACTATTTCCTAAAGCGTTTAAAAAGTGGATGGACATGTTTATTGGAAGATGCTTTGCTTCTTGAGCTTTGATATTCCATATAAACCGTATCATCTGCTCCAGACATTGAGCTCATTGTACCATAGTGTCGAGAAACCTAAAAAAGAGAGAGAGAGAAAGGAAACTAAAATGTGATCTTACAGATAATCCAGGTTCTTTAAACTCATAAAAGACAAATTGTAGTCCTTTTTTTCCATGGGGTCCCATGAAGTATCTATGCTGAAGCAGCTGCTTGTGTGTAGGGGCTGTTGCGAGTATTAACAAGGCAGGGGCAGCAGAGCAAGTGATGGCAGGGGTAGTGGTGAGGCTTCATGATAAATGTGAAAGCCCTGCACACATAAAATACATGGAAAGGCTTGTGAGAGCACACTACTTTACCACAGAATTGTCTTCATACAATTTGGCTGCATGATTTTATTCCTCTGCTGCAGCCCTTCACCAGCAATCACCACATATGCACTCAGTCCTTTAATATCTATCTATTTATTCTGCCCCATCAGCCATTAGGCTCCCTTAGAGAAAATACCTATTTCCTTCCAGCCGGAATATGCAGGAAGCAGGCTGCAGTTACTACTAGTCCCTCTGGTAATTCAAAGGGTCTGAACACTAGTGGGAAAACATATTCCAAAAGAGTAGGGATATATATTTTCTATTAACATTAATATGTGAAACTTAAGGGCTTCAAGCTCAGAGCTGAATTGCTGCTGCTTCTCCTTTCTACTTATAATCCCCGTGCTGTTCTAGAAGGTCCCTCAATTTTTTGGGAGTAGATTTTGGGCGAGATTGGTCTGTGCGCAGTGGGGTACAGGAAGAATTTCTGGATGCAATCAGAATGGTTAAATCTATAATGAACTTATCAGTACGGTTTCTTCAGTTCTGGGGAGAAGATTAACAAATTAACCTATTACTTTCAGAAAACTAAACACAGAAGAGAACAAGTGTTTTTTAAAGATTTTTTGGGAACATTTTTCTATAATTATGAACCTGTGAAAGCTAGTTTTTCTACTGGAAAACAAATTGATACACCTAGCACTAATAATAAATGCAGGTTTAAGAATAGTGGTCTAAGTGCTGAAGGAAGGAAGGAAGGAAGGACAGAAGGAGAGTAACTGCTACATGTTCTACACAGTAAGAAAACAACTAAGTACACCTTCCATTTTTGGACATCAGTCACTTGTTCTTTTTCAGCTTGCCAACTAGGCCTGGGAAGATGCTGTAGAAAAAGCCCAAGTTACTTTCCAAAACTTAGTTTGGCTTCCAATCTTCACTAGCAGGGAAGCAACCCATCTGGAACAATAAGTGAACTAATTTGACAGCAGGGCACCATCACCACTGGGAAAGCCCAAAAGGGTAACAAGGCACATCCCTGTGTTTTTATACAGATCCATCTTCATGGCAGGCTCTTCAATTGCTAGCATCTCTCATTACAAAAACTAGTTCTCAAAACTCTAACACATTCCAAGAAAAAGAATCCAGAATATGGCTATGCAAAGAGTAACTAGCTGGAAGCATGCTTAGCCCACACTTCAATAGTGGCATGAGTGCTCTGATTTACCTTTTCCTATGAAGAGAAGAACAATTAATTCCAATGTGGATAAGTAAAGTGTTCCACTTGGGGACTACACTGCAATGGCTACAAAGCACGCACGCCAGACCACTAAATCTGAGTGATTCAGCCACAATCACAAAGGGCCCAGGAAATAAAACCATTTTCTAACATTCATCTTGGGGCCTAGAGGCTGTCCTCAATTTGGTTATATTGTGGGCAGGGCACTTTGGAAAAACCAGGCCTGACCTCTCCCCCCCGGCCCCTGCACCTGCACCTTCTGGAGTAATAGCCTAAAACTAGACAGGAATGTAGTTCAAGTATATCTTTGCCTTTCCTTTCCCCCTGTTCATCATGGAGGTTAGTATCTTCCTTTGTGTGAAAGGGGTGGTGATGATTCACATGTTCCCTCATGTAAAGGGCTTCATCATGTTGAAGTGGTACAAGGCCACCCTTTTAGTTCTGCCCCTGACATCATGCCCCCATCCTCCAATGGCCATGTGGTGAGGCTTTTTTGTCTGCAAAACAAACAAGCCTCAACATGTGAGCAGCTGCTCATGTCTTGGGGCTCTGTGTGATTGATACATGTCCGCAATCAAGTATCCTAATTGCACAACACAAATATCACAGGATTAGTGCACAACATGATGAGTGGGAAAAATGTACAGTCCTGCTCCTTCTTCGGCCCAGTAATGCCTTTCATGCAGGGAATGTGCGGACATGTCTTTGGTGCATAGCGTTGAAGAAAGAAGTGAAACACCCCCATCCCTTTTCCTTCCCCATTAAATTCAACAGGCCTTCAACCGGCATAATAACCACTTGCCTGAGAAGATTTGGAACCATACTCTCCTGCAACCACCTCTTCCTCAGCATCTAGATCTGAAGCTTGCAAAACTTTTTGGAGGAGTTGCTGCTGTTCTTCCTTGGTTGAAAACATAAGGTCTTCCTCCTCCATACCAGCAAGTTTAGTAATTACCTAGGAAGCCAAAAGAGAGATGTTACTTTTCCTCAGGGTCCGCTTACAGAAATTTACTATGGTCCTCACAGGCGTCTAATTCAATGTATCATAAATAAAATAAACTGCTGTGCTAGCAGAACTCTGCTGCCTTTCTCTATTTCTCACTGTTTAAGTGCTAGTGGGTTATTCTATGAACCTAAGATATGTAGTGGATTTGTGTAAGTATCTGTGCAAGCAGAACATGCATATTGTGCGTACTTGAGTACTTGGCAATGTCATTTGCACTAATGGAATGATGCTGTTGGATATAACCAAGTGAATTTTCTGGCTACATCAGTTACAGGTCATTCATTTTACAATTAGAAAAAATCAAGGGCCTGTATGGTGAAATGGTTGCAGTACTAGAACAGGAGTAGTTACAATTCTTCCTCAGCAATTAAACTAAATGGGTGACCTTCAGCCAGTCATTCTTTTAGTCTAAGCTATTTCAAAAGGCTGTTGTTGCAGCTGAGTCACTTCTGAATGCTGGCACCTGTTAAAAATGAATTTTGTGCCACAGTCTCAATGCTGTAAGCTTCTAGACACAGAATTACCTTAAAGCTGTAGCCTTGATCAACTAGAAACCTCTGACGTTTGGTTGAGTATGCCATTTCTTGAGTGTCTTGGGAAACCAGAGAATAAAAGAAGGCATTGTACTCTTCAGCAACCATTCCTGGGGAAAAGGAAGTATTTGGCAGTTAACTTACTTTTATGTAAGTCAAAACTTTAAGAAAATCAAAAGGTTGTAGACATCTTATGACATTTCTATGGATTATTCTGGAAAATCAAGTAAGCCACCCACTATGGTACCTCTGTCAAATCAAAAGTTGCAGTTTGGTAACTTGCGGGTTCTCACATAGGGAAGTTTTAAGTTTCAGTTTAAAGCACTCTGTCAGGCTTCTGCCACACTCCATTCAACTTTTGCAGTAATTTCAGAATCCATCTCTTCTGAACTATAGTGCAATCAGGGCTGGTCCAAGACATTTGCTGTGTTAGACACAGCAGGAAGGGACACTCCTTATCTAGTAGCATCTAAGACTAATAAGCTGGACTCCAAGACAGAAAAGGCCACAGATATATTCCTACTACTCTGGCAAAAAGAAGGCAATAATAATACCCACTTCCTGTTCTTTAAATTGGCTGCCTTAATGATAGTGCTGGCGCAGACAGCAATCAGCATCTACATCTCAAACACCTAATTTTTGCTTTTTGTTAACAGGAGATGTATGATAGCCCAAGCTATCACTTAACTGGTTAGACTTATAGTATGTTGAGGGACAGCTACAAGGCAAACACAATTAGACTCAATAAAGACTCAGCCCAAAAGACAACTGTCTTATATATGTAGCCAGTTTCCAGCTATTTAACCTTGGCAACACTCACACAGTTGTTTTCATTTCCACTAGTAATACAATGAATTTCCATGGCTATGGTAACAAGCTTTCTGGCTTCATTTGAGGGTGGCACAACTCAAATGATCACGAAGAAAAAATTTACAAGCAAACAGAAATTTTTACTGTTTACCTTTGGAAAAGCACAATAATAGAAGTGCTAATTGATTACTAAACTGAGCCAATCCTTAAATAGTTATGAGGAAGAATGCTGTTAAAGTTTACTCCATGCAGTGTTTCCTATTATAACTATTAAATCAACCTAGTGACCCACAACCTGGTATTTCTAGACTCCATGCCTCTGTTTCCTGCAACTATGTTTAGGTACACAAATTTACAAAATATGCATTTTCTTTCTATCATCACAAAGGGTTATTTCCTTGTACTCATAAATCAAGTCGTGAAATCATTTATATGAACTTGGGAAACTCATTCAGAAGCAAGAAGAACCACATGTGCAGAAATCAATAATCTTGCTTGATGGCCAGATCAAAAGTGCAACTCATATCCAGGTAAGAAGTTATTATTGCCAAATGTGTACTGATATGAATAACTAACTTGCTAGGCAAGAAGGTAAAAATTGACACCTTACTCTGTATAATCCTTTGGAGCAAAGTTGCAAGAAAACCTATTTCCCCAAGCCTTGATACTTGTACAAATGATGTTTAAAAATAGCAAAATCATACCACCAAGCAAGAGACACATCTCAGAATTCTAACAAGGAAGTTCAAGATGAACAATTAGATGAGAGCCCCTTGAAGCTAAAGTGTGCCTTTTAAAGACATTCAAAAGACTAATACTAACTGTCATGTGAGGAGTGATTAGGCAGGGAAGAGAAAGGGGGAAATGGCCCCTTAGGGCAGTACTTTTTATAGCTACTCTTGAATTTTATTTTAACCTGTGACCTTGAGCCGACAATGGCAAATTGTACATGCTTAGTCAGCTACATGAGTTGACTTATGTTACTTTCATGCTTGAGTTTCCCATTCAAATGGAAGACTGTCGGGGGACAGGCTTGGTTTACCTTTCTTGGCTCGCAGCACCCGACCCAACCTTTGAGCCTCCTGTCTTCGAGACCCACCATGTGATGAAATCTGAATCAAGACATTCGCTTCTGGTAGATCAAAGGATGTGTCACCTACCTACAACACAGAAAGCATGTCAAAGGCACAGGCTAATCCCCCATGTTAATTAAATCTAAATCTTAATAAGCCACATTAGCTTATGAGCTACAATGAAAAAGGCACGCCAACTTTACAAAAAGACAATTTCACAAGCTGCTCGAGATCAGCACTTTAACATTCCAAGCCAATTTGGTGGCAAGCAGAGAACCTTGGAGATAAAGATGGTGTTGATTTTGGGGTTGTGTTTGAAATTCTGTAGGATCTGCATTCTCTCTCCCTGCGCTGTAGGTCCATAGATATAAGGTCTAAAAAAGATAAAAACAACATCATAACATAATGCACATGTGTCACATTTTACCTTATGGGCTCAGACATATAGAGTAATCTATTAAGAAGATACAAAACCCATTTTAGAATAAAATCTGCACTGTATATTCATGCTTTACTTTTACGGAAACATTCATGCACCATAACAGTTGTTCTGGACCCACCCATCTGGAGACAAACCCATTCTGTCAGACACTTCTTTCCACAGAAATAAATCCTGACAGTTGTAAATGTTATTCACTTGATGTGTCCCTCCTGACTCAACAGATCAGTGGGCTGAATATATCTACTAATCCTACATGAAAGGCTAGAAGCAGCTGTTAAAATATAAAAGGTGTTTTCTTTTCTTGGTTAAATCTACTGAACATTAACAGCTGTGTTCTTTCTCCTTCCCACTTGTATCCTTGCAAACTAAACTGTTCCTCTGGATAAAATTCTTCTGGTCCCATGCTGAGAACTATGTATTCGCCTGTGCAAAATGATAAGCAGTGTTCAAGTCAATATATTAACCTTGCATGGCTTGTTTAGCATTATATCTAGATTCCTTAGAGCTGGATGGAATAATGCAATTCAAGAGACTGCTAGGGTTTTACAGTCGTTAAATATAACATGGTTCCAAAGCCATTTTGCTCTCAAAAAGGAAGAGCAGAAGACAAAGACTACAGAGACAATGGAAAGAATATTATCTTCGAGTCATATTTGGATTCTCCCCACCTCTACAATTTTCCCCCACCACCAAGTTTTCCAGTTTCCAGAAAGAATTTACCAATTTCATTTAACAATGACCACCAGCTTAAATCATTTGATGCTGTAGTTCCATGGCTCCTCAGATGACTTTTGAACATTAAAAAAATACCCCATCCAGAACCAACAGGAATGGAGGTGTGTAAATAACATAACAAAATTAAAAGCATGCTCTTACCAGGTCCTCATAGTTTTTATTTACTGGCAAAAATATGAAATATACACAGATCCTGCTGTGTAATAATGCAATAACACCAAGTTTCAGAATTTTAAAATCAATTCAAGATAAAAGCCACCTAGAAAGTTGCCTTATACCAGGACTGACTACATATTGGGGCATAAAAATAAACTGTGGTTTATCTTTGTGAAAGCAAGCCACAATGAGACTTGGGATTGCATACTTCTTGTAGAAACAAATAGACTAGATGCTTCTGTTTTTGATTAACTGCAGTTTTTCATCATATCCAAGCATGAAAAAATTGTGGTTAATCATAACTATGGTTTGTTGAAACAAGCCAAACTCATACTAATGGCGAATAGTGGTTAATTAAAAAAAGAAAGAAAATGTTTCAAACTTCTGTCTCTCAGCCCTAACAGAGAAGTAAGGGTGAATAATGGGAATAAACTTCAACGTTCTGTAATTCCATTTGTACCTTTTTTGACATCTAAGCCAGGATTTAACAGATTCTAAAGACATTCCCTCAACTTTGACATTTTACCAGTACACGGGCAAAAATAGCCTTCATCCACCCATACTTACTTGCCGAGCCGAACTGCATACTCTTTTAAAGCAAATACATTGTCCGCAAAGACTATGATCTTGTCATTCCTTCGTTCATGAAACTTAATCAGAAACTGGCATGCTCTGAATTTATTTGGGTTCATCGTATAAAGCAATATTCGCTTCTTTGTTTTAATAGCCACATATTCTCTGTAGAACTCAGGAGACATTGGACACCAAACCTAGCATTATAGCCAAGAAAATACAGTTAGTTTCCACAAGGGTATTTCAATAAGGATTCAAAAGAGAAGTTGTGGTTATACCCTGTGAAGTCATTTCTGTTTTAGGGTGACCCTATGAATTACATTCCAATTCCAAAGAAGGGCAATGCCAAAGAATGTTCAAACTACCGCACCATTGCACTCATTTCACATACTAGCAATGTTATGCTCAAAATCCTACAAGCTAGGCTCCAGCAGTATGTGGACCAAGAACTACCAAAAGTACAGGCAGGGTTTCAAAGCAGAGGAACTAGAGATCAAATTGCTAACATTCACTGGATCATGCAGAAAGCTAGGGAGTTCCAGGAAAAACATCTACTTCTGCTTCATTGATTATGCTAAAGCCTTTGATTGTGTGGATCACAACAAATTGTGGCAAGTTCTTAGAGAGATGGGAGTACCAGACCATCTTATTTGTCTCTTGAGAAACCTGTATGTGGGTCAAGAAGTAACAGTGAGAACTGGAAATGGAACTACCGAAGAATTGAGGCCTTTGAACTGTGGTGCTGGAGAAGACTCTCAAGAATCCCTTGGACTGCAAGGTAATCAAACCAGTCAGTCTTAGAGGAGATCAACCCTGACTGCTCTTTAGAAGTCCAGATACTGAAGATGAAACTCAAATATTTGGCCACCTAATGAGAAGGAAGGACTCACTGGAGAAGACCCTAATGCTGGGAACAATTGACGGCAAAAAATGGGGATGGCAGAGGATGAGGTGGATAGATGGAGACACTGAAGCAGTCGGTGTGAGCTTAAGTGGACTCTGGGGGATGGTGGAGGACAGGAAGGTTTGGAGGGGTGTTGTCCATGGGGTCACAAAGGGTCGGACACAACTTCGCAACTAACAACAACATGAATGAAAGCCCTCCAAAATGTCTTTTCCATAATAGTCCTGCTCAGCTATTCTAAATTCAGTGCTATGATTTCCTTTATTGAGTCAACCCATCTCATATTTTGTCTTCCTTTTCTTCTTCTGCCTTCAGTGTTCCCTAGCTTGATAGTCTTCTCCAGGGAAGTATTACAGCCTCAGTTTTGTCATTTTTGCTTCTAGGGAAAGCTCTGGCTTGATTAGACCAAGTAGTCATATGTTTGCCTTTCTGACTGTTCAGGGTACTTCTCAATGGAGAAGTTCTGATAGATCTACAAGCTTATGTTGTATGATAAAGGGGTTACATAGCACTTTTTTTGCTCTGCCTGCAGGTTTCTGTATCCACCAGTAAGGAGCCTATTTAGGTGAGTCCAAAGGGATTTGAAAGAAGAAACCTCTAGGAGGAAGACAAGAGGAGCTGGCCATCCATGTGCCCCCTGCTGGGATGGGAAATAGTGACATGGTGGAGTACATGTTTTGCATACAGAAGGCTCCAGGTTTAATTCCCTGCATCTCCAGTACAGTTGGAAAAACTCCTGCCTGAAGCCCTGGAGAACTGCTGTCAGTCATTGTCAATAAAGCTGGGCTAGATGGACTAAGTTCTGACACAGTTTAATGAACCTTCCTAAGGTTGAGGCAGGGGTGTTTACAATTTAAGATACAGGTGATTATTTAAAAATATATGAATAGGTATGCCAGAGAAGGCAGAATTATTCACCATGTCCCCTAGACAAGACAAAGGGCTATATCCAAAGCAGCAAGGGGAATTTGCTTCCTCCTCCAAGGCCTTGCTAAAGATGCTCAAAATAGATGTGGGATGTGAACGAGAGCTGCAATGGGAGCAGCAAATCAGAGAACATTTGTTAACTCCTAGCATGATCTCCTTCAACCTGGTGCCCTGCAGATATTGTGGACTTCAACTCTCCTCAGTGCTCACCAGCATGGCCAGGGGTCAGGAATGCTGGGAGCAGGAGTCCAAGCATCAGGAGGGCATCCATGTGGGGAAGGCTGCCCTAGTGTCAGCTGTTACAGCCTACTGCCTCCTTGCCTAGTTTCCCCACTTTGGAGTTTCCAAGCAGAATCCATTGTGAGTAATTATGCAATAACCCTGTAATTGCCAACATATGCCAGCAATAATGTCCCGCCCTCAGAGAGGCAGCTTTCTAAGGCATTGAGTGGGACATTATTCCAGGTTTGACCCTTCCAATCAGAGACAAACCAACCAGACCAGCAGAAAAGAATGAAAAGGTGGTGGGCACGGAGGTGCTCTTGTGAGACAGGGTAAATTTAACTCCCAAATGCTATCTTTTTTGTGTCCATATTTAAAAATGTGTGCCTCTAATATCAGAAGAATGGGTTTTGCAACACCCTCTGTCTTCCAAGTAAGTATTTTTTTATTTTTAACTGATAAAACTCCTTAAAGCTCAAAGCTTATTTAGTATTCCCATTTCATCATCCCATTTTCATTCCCAATTATTCTGAAATGAGTTCCAGATTTTGAAACTGGGGCTCATTTGAGTTCATTGAATGGAGACGTTCACATCCATAGAATGAGCTGGTTAATCATGCAACAGGCACTGCCCTCTGCAGTCGCTCAGAAGAACTGAAAGTTTAGGAGCAAATGGATTATTTCTCATGATTCATTCAAAATGGACCTTGCTTACAATGGATTTTTAATGTACATTGTATTTACAAGTCAGTTATATTTAAAGGATCTGTGTTTTATTAGCAAAGAAGTAACAGATTAGCTAATAAGTTAATCACTGGGGTAAGCTTTCCCTAATTTGTGTTAAGAATCTTGTTTCCCAATTTTAATTTTTTGTAGGGAAAATGTCACTTCCCCTCAAAAGAACACAATCACCTGGAATATATCAAAGGATAGAGATTTCAAAATTTCAAGCAGAAAATGGGCTGTTTCACCAAGAAAGAATTTTTGAATGCATTTTTTTCTTTAACGTGTATCCTATGGCTCTGGTGATGAAGTGCACAGTATTTAAGATTTATTTTAATTATGTGTTTAATGTTCTGTTTTTATTTTAGTTGTAAGTTTTTTCTTAGTTGTATTTTGTACTGTAAAACTAATAAAAAGAAAAAAGCAATTCTACAGCCAATCTGCTATGAAATTTGTTTCCCCCAGTGGAACCTGTTTTTTTGCTTGAAATTCTAAATACATTCTGCAGCACAAGAATTACAATTGCATTAAGCAAGTCTTCTTTTACCTCAGCACACTGGACTTTAGCAATATAGCCACTGTTCTGAAGCTCCATCCAATTGGCTTCATACAGCTTAGGTCCAATGAGGAAATTCAAGTCCACAATTTTGTCATCTTCTCTGACAAGAGTAGCTGTCAGTCCAAGCTTGCAATGGGCTTGCACAATGGTAAGCACTCGCCTGAACATTTTTGCTGAATAATCATATCAGAGTACGTCAGTAGGATATAAAACAAAAGAATATAAAAAACAAGGACATTCAAACAGGAGTTCCATGTTTACTTTGAAAGTGATAACTGACATTAAATGCCTAATTTTTACTCAAGCCATTCGCAAACGTCACATTGGATTTTAATCCTAAATTGTGTTAGATGTACTGAATTGGACCCAGGACATAATTTAATGCACTACAAGTATTGATCAAGTTTCTACATTATGGTATTTGAGGTATGGTAGCAGCCTTAATGAGAAAACTACGATGAGAAAGCAACCTATTAAGTAGAAATTAAAACTGGCATGTTTAGAGTCCTACTGTGCAGTCCTATACACACAGACCTGAGCGTAACTCTACTTAACTTAATAGCATTTATTTCCAAGTACAGAATCATGTCCTCAGCATACTGGCTGCTTAAAAATGGAGAAATTCCAGTGGCAAAATCATATTACTATTTCCATCTTAATATTGAAAAGTGAACAAATAAGCATATCATACTGATTAGAACAAAACAGCATTTTACAAATGGTATTTTCTTAATCACAGAGTTTGAGACATTTTTAGTTAAAAGGTTTATGATATCATGTTCTCCCCTACTCTTTGCCTGTTACTAATTGAAGCTGGAGTTTAAATAATATTGCACAAATTTAGGAAAATCACTAAATTCAATGGCTGAGCCTATGGCTGAACCCAAATGCCATACACTGGACTATGTCAGATATTTATTCTTTATTGACTTAACAGTAATGAAATCAGAGAAACTGCAGCAATCATCATTAACCAGTATGTGTGATAAAAGATGTATCTGCTTACCTATTCCTAAGCGGAGTCTTTTCCAGCAAAATAAGATCCTGGCAGATTTTCCTTGAGTTCAGACCTCCCTAAGCTCTATCTCACAAGCAGGAACTGGTCTGGGAATGTCCCTAAATTTCCTTACAAACCAGTGCAGGTGTTATATGCCTCTACTCCTCTGCATCCAGTTCTTCCTGCTTCTTCTGGCTTTCTAGGATGCTTCAGGGACCACTTGCTGATGTACCCCCTTATTGGTCATTAAATAGTATCTTAAAATGTTATGTATATTTTGGTTTGCTTAAAGCATTTTCATGTTTAGTATATTAAATTCAGACAATAATTACAAATTTACAGTACAGTAACTGTATGAGCAAATTAAAATATACATAATATAACTTTAGGAAAATAAAGACTGCTTTATGTTCCTAAAGTAGTTCTCCCAAAATTGGAGTCCTAAAAGTGTTTGGATTACAATGCTCAGCATTTCTGATCAGTAGCCATGCTGTCTGAGGCTGATGAGAATGAAATACAATTTGTCTGGAGAGTGCAAGTGTACCAGGCTGACATAAAGCAGGAACATGATTTTAGAACTGTAAAGAGCACTAAAACATGCTAAATGTTCTTTATTTTCCTCAAAATTGTTTCTTCTCCCAAAATGATGGAATCAAATTATTTTTCCAAGGCTTCAAAATTTCTTTTCTTTTTTTACATTTCTAGTTAAGACTTTCTTTTACTCCTATGAATATGATTGAGCTTCTTAATGTAATTATTTTATCAAGGTAGGTATTATATGGCTGTTTTTAGCTATATTCAGTAGATTTAAATATCTGTATCTTTTAACCCTTGTTTTAAGTTGCCTTGAATCTTTTTTTTTTCTAAGAAACGCAGCTAAGAAATTTAAACCACAAAAAGAATGGTTGAAGCAATATTGCTACACATTTCAGAACAATCAGGAATGCTGCAGTTTAGTAATGCTAGATTTGAGACTGGGGAAGGTGCAGGGGGGAGACACAGTTCATAGTGACAGGCAAGGTTTCTTTACCAGGTATGGTGTGTACTTCATCAAGGATCATAAGGCCCCACTCTTGACTCTTTAACCATTCCATTACTTTCTCAGCTTCCCATGATCTCTTTGTTGTGTGTCCCAACATCGAGTAGGTACTGATCGCGACAGAGCAGCCAATGGGCTTGTCTTTGGCATCAGAAGTGAATCGGCAGATTTGGCTGTCATCTATAGTGGACCACATTTTGAATTGTGCTTTCCACTGCTCCACAGAAACAGCAGAATTGCCTAGTATCAGGCACCGCTTGCGGACCGTGCAAGCAGCTGTTACTCCTACAAGTGACTTCCCAGCACCTTTAGTGAGCAAAAGCAAGAAGCAAAACATCTGTATGAAACAGACCACTATTCACAGGATTAAAAAGGGCAGAAAACCCAGACAAAGGCTGCCCACTACACTTTTCAGAAACACTCCACACTTCTCCACTGTGGGAGAATTAAAATTGGCATAAATTTGCATGCAGTAATCCTTCTTAAATGTATCACAAATATTCATATGATTGTCCATATTCACAAACAAAAGTTAAAAGCTACAATGGCCCCTCTCATGCCTCTCATGCCTCTGCAGTCTGTCTGTCACTCTCCCACACACAGAGAGACAGAGACAGTTTAAAGTAATTCCTACTGAGTACAGTAGGAACTACTCTCACGTAATTGCAAATAGGGTTGTGGCCTTAACTAGAGGAAAAGTCAGGTATTGCTGAGCTTCATAGCAGTAAGACTTAGACATTTACAAAAGAAGCACCTAGCAAATAATCACAGAAACTGGCACTTTCTTGTTAAGATTGAATATGCAAAAATGACATTGTTCAGGAGATTTGGTACCCAGTATTATCTGGAAAAAACAACAACAACACTGGAAGGTGGGTACTGATTGAAAGAGGCTGGAAAAATGTAGGAACAACAACCCATCAGAAGTCCTAACACATACCATAATCAAACTGGAATTTATGCCATGTTAAGAGATTATTGATAATATAGTTAAGATTGGCATATATCACTTCTGATGTCTTGGAAAACCAGGTGACCAAAGTCTCCACCACTGAAGGATACAACCACCTAAGCCTGGAGTAGTCTGTAAGCTGTCATTTAACCCTCTTTCAGGATTTTATTGGGAGAACATGAGATTTCCATTTCCATCTGAGAAACCTTCTTTAATTCATTTTATACGAGTCTGTATCATTCAGCTGAAAAAATACAAGTCTGCTCACAACCAAGAGGTTCCTCTGCACAGTGAGATTACTTGTGTAATTACACATGCAGTCAAGCTGATTCAGCTGCATCATGTCTGCAGCCATACATTAAAATAAATTACTACACTACTGAAGAGGGAGATGTCTGAATAAACGATAAACATCCTGCCAGTCACACATACACAGAAACACTTAGCAAGTCCATTCAGTCGAGAGCATGCTTGAAGGCAAACAATGCGGCTCTTCTGCTGAAGCCAAGCAGGTGTAAATCAAGTAAACTGATATATACGTGGTGCTCCACATTCTTCAGATGCATGAAGGTATGGAAGTATAATACACCTTTTGCTCTCCTGCCAGCAAAAGAAACACCATCTTAAAATGCTCTGCATGGTTGCATAGTCAAAGCCCCATTCAGTAACTTTTGAAAGAATTTAACTTCAATCTAGCCAACTCACCACAGGGTAGGACAATAACACCTGATCTAGCTCGGCCATTCCCAAACATTTTTCTCAAACTCTTCTCCTGGTATGGTCGGAGAACAGCTGTGGGCTTCAAGTCTATATTAATATCAGGATTCACAGAATCATTTCTGAAGTCATATTCAGCAAGCAGAGGGTACTCCAACTGAATGCAGCGCTTCTGAAGCTCTTCAATCATTTCCTAGAAAGAAAGGAGCAGAAAAATGAGTGGGGAAGGTTGATCTTAAAATTTTGCTACACTTTTAGTCACTCAGGGCTTTAGGAAAACATTGCAATCTTCCTGTAACTTTACTCAAAACAAAAGTGTGCACATATTCAAAGGAGAGCCATGCAAAATGCTACAGAAATGGGTAACAACCACAAATCCCAAAATGTGTTCATGCTTCAAGAGGGTCATAGGAAGACAAGTGACTGTCTCTCATTTGTTTGCATATCATCCTCAGTTTAATTCTGCAGCAAATCTTTGGGACTGCTCACATTTAATGGTAAACTACTAGGCTGTTGAGCACAAGTGAGCAAGAGCAAGCACCCTGTCTGCAGAGCATTCACCTCTTTTAATTCTACCTGGCAAGTCCCAGTTGACTCAGCAACTCCTAATTGGCTCCTGCTGAGCATGATATCTGTACCTGGATCACTGGATTGTTTGAGGGCTAAACAATGCAGTGATTTAGCCAAAAGTGTTCTTTCCCACTCATATGTGACAACTCACCTGTTTTTCAACCAAGGGGCTGTCATTACATAGAAACCAGGCCTTTTAAGTATATGTATCTGATTTACATTTAGCATGCTAATTAAAAAGGGAATCTCGTTATTTCAAAGTTTCCTAGGCTGGTTTAATTTCCATACCTGACCAACCCTCAGAGGATGAATGCACAGTAACCTATGCTAACAGGAATGTCTGGAAGTTGCTTCTGTGGCATTTCTGTGGAAGGACCTCAGGAGGGGAAAAAGCAGCTACCAGGCCTGCAGTGGTTACAGAACAAGCCAAGAAGTAGTATTACTTTTGTGAAGTTTTTCTTCCCCACTAACTTTATCGATATGATGCTATACAGATATCAAGGGTAGGGAAACTGGTGCCCTCCAGTCCAGATATACTGAACCATAACTGCCCCAGCCAGCATGGTTGGTAGAAAGACTACGCCTAGTTTTCCGATAGTCAAAAAGCAATAAATATATGTCTGCTTGTAAAATCAAAGTAACTGTTTGTTCCATCTCATGTAGCTGCTGAGACAGCTCACTGTCTACAAAAGTTCATGTTACAATAAAGATCAGTTTAGGGTAGGCTTCTTCAACCTCATATACCTTCCAGACCTGTTGGACTACAACTTCTAGTATACTCCAGTCAGCCAGGTTGGAGGAGGTTGGTTTAGAATATACTTTCTGATTTGAGAGACATTGTGCTGTAGTCACACAAAACTGCTAAAGCAATCCGATTTGCATTTCAGATTTCTACTAAAAGCTCACTGAAGGACAGGGTCAAGAGATCCAGGTCTGGCGAAAGGAAAATAAATCACCAAAGAAAAGGGAGACAGAACTGTTGCTCAGTATGAAGGAACACATCCTGCCAAATTACTTCTGGTTATTTAACAATGAATTAACTTATAGACAATGTGCCAATGGAATAGTTTTCAACTGCAGCAGTCAGGGGTCATAAGTAAAGAAAGCCAGGGTGCTGTGGCGGCTAAGAGCACAGGACTGGAACTAGGGTTCTAGTCCCCACTTGGCCATGTAGCCAACTGGGTGACTTTGGGCCAATCACAGACTCTCAGCCCAATCTACCTCACAGGGGTGTTGGGGTGGAGGTAAGATTGAGAGCAGGAAGGGAAGAATGATACAAGCAGCTTTGAGCTCATTGTAGGAAAAAAGCAGGCTATAAATCTGATAAAGAAATATTACCTGCTTCACTTCAAAAGACACAGTCTGAGTTTCCTCTTCCTCTTCTTCATCCTTGTCCATTTGTTCATAAAACTCAAATAGGTCAGCAGGGACATCTGCTTTATTCTGAGAATCTGTCCCTTGTGAACTTGAAGGGCCACTGCCACCTTCACTGGACTTGGAAATCTGTAACAAGCATTCAACAGGGGAGAGGACAATGTAGCCAGAAAGGGACTTAAGTTCTTTCATGGAGCCAGGCCCACAGCTGTTGAAGACAACTAAACTAAACAAAGGAGTCTGAATGCGAGAACAAGCTGGAAATTAGCTAACTGCAAAATGTGATGATAGTGGTGAAAGTGGATGCAAAAAGATAGAGTCCCACATTCATCACACCCATATCTAGCACTTCAGTAACAGCAGAGACTTCACATGAGGACACAAATGAGGCATGAATGGCAGCAGAAGAAGCCAACAAGGACACACAGCTACATCTGTGCCAAGAAAGAAAGGACAGGTCACATTAAGTAAAAGCTTGTTATGTAATCCAAGCTTACAGCTGACTTGCTTGTGAAAGTTTCTGTGATGAGTTCTGTTTCTTCCCCTTCTGCGTTTCTCAGCCTGCAGTCTCTAATAACTGGGTCCTGGAGAAGCTGCTGAATAACATCAGGGTGGGTGCTTTCTACAAAGTACCTAGAAAATGGATAAAAAGAGAAGAAGCTGCGTGTCCACATTCAGCATATGCTAACAACTTTTACTATTTTGATGTAACAAGGTAGTACTCTTTTTTGTGCCTCTTTGGGATGATGTGTTGGGCATTTCAAAAAATAAATGTAAAGTGTTAGAATCTACACTGAAAGGGGCAGTGCCCATGTTTGCATATAAGGATAAGCCAGGAATTCCAGCTTGTTAAATCACATAGCCTGCTTCTACTTCTTCCTCTCTTTTCAGGAGGAAAAGTTAGCTTAGCATGCGGTTCTAAATGCATCACCATGATTTACTGCCCCTAAACAAGACAGTCTTGATAAAAACAACAAAACCTGGTTTAGAGCTGGTCTACAAATCCTGCATTGTTTGGATTCAATAAACCATAATTCCTGGTACAGCTATCAGCTACCCTTGCCTGGTTTGTTTACTGGCTAATACTTACGATGGAGGGAAGTGGAAACAAATGGGTTGCCTATACCACAACACCGCTCGTTCTTATTGTGCCCAGTGCTGAGGTGGAATCAGTGGTCAGGGTTCATACTGGTACCAGTGACATGGAAAAATGTAGTGATGAGGTCATGGATGCCGAGTCTAGGATGCTAAGTAGAATGTGGAAATTTAGGGCTACCAAAGTGGCCTTCTCTGAAATGCTACCTGTTTCTGTATGGGGCCAGTCAGAGAGGCAAAACAGAGACGTCTCAATGTGTGGGTGAGATGGGGGTGTAGGAAACAGGGTTTAGGTTTATCAGGCACTGGAGGACATTCTGGGACAAGCCAGGCACCCTTTGTTGAGCTTGTGGGTTCCATGTGGGTAGCAGGTTGTCCACTGTGTGAGCAAAATGCTTATGCTCTTAATAAGACTGGGCTTTGGCTTACTGCCATGTGTGAACACACTCAGTATGTTCAGAATATTGATGTTCCAATTGTCTTTTCTTCAGCAAAAGATTTCTAAAACGGTTATACAATTCACTCAAGTAGCATCCAAGACAAAACTCAATCTAATACAAACAGCGGACAGGTGGGAAAATAGCCTCACAAATAACTAAATAAAAGTATCTGCCTACCTGTTGTGCTTCAGGACCAGCTTTACCTTTCCATAGCTGACAGTACACAACTACAAAATAGTAATTTTGATTAGAAAGGGAACATGCAGAAGAAGTCTATTTGCATTATACATATAACCATGTCCACAAAAAGTAATGTTACTAACTTATTTCACAGGATTCCCAAGAAGGAAGATTCTAACTAACTTATTTCAACAGGATTCCCAGGTGTTTCAAAAGAGAAATCAATCCTGAATGTTCGCACTATTATGTCACCTGATAAATATTAAGGATAACTCCAGGTGGGCTTGAATGCTAGGACCACCTTTTATCAGCTCTGGCAGATTTACCAACTACACTCCTACCTGGATGAGGGTAGTTTTGTCATGGTCATTCATGCACTGGTAACCTCCAGACTGAGCTATTGTAACAGACTATATCTGGGGCTTCCCTTGAAGACAGTTCCAGCTCTTCAAGTGATCCAAAACAGTACGGTTGCTAACAAGGACCAGTTCTTATGAACATATCACACCTGTCCTTCATTGATTGCATTGGCTGCCTGTTCAATGTTATTTATCAATAATGTTATTGTAATGGTCACCCAGAGAGCACAATGCTAACAGGTGGCTTTCAAACAAATCCAATAAATGAATAAAAAACTCAAGTTCCAGATTCTAAAAAGGCTGGTTTAGATAAGCTCTGCAACTTCTATCAGCCCCAGCTAACACACCCAGTGGTCAGAGATGGGTGTTGTTGTCCAACACACCTGGTTTAGACACCTGGGACCAGGTTCCTAAAGGATGGTTTAGACATTACTTACTTTGTGTACAGGCATCCCAATCCAACTCCAAGCATGGCATTGGATATTGCTACATATTATGATGCTTCATCATCTCTTTTCATTGCCCAGGGCTTAATCTCTTAACAGATACAGGTAGAAAAAATCTAACAACAACAACTTACTTTGATAAACTGAATGATCCCATCTGGCACACCAGTCTTACTCAACTTTTGCAAATAGCCCGTGATATCACTTGTCTGCAAACCCACACTGACAGCAGCATAGAGGGAGTAAGCTGTCAATTTATATTCATGCACATGGACAGGCCGGCAAACTGGCTCAGCAATTGCAACTAGGAAATCCTGGGCATACTTGTAAACAGGTGAAAAGGCTTCAAGGAAAATATGGCCATCAGGAGCCTACAAAAGGACAGAAGGATTTTATTGGATCAAGCTTCTCAAAGTCTTTGACATTCTTTTAAAAAATGCTAAATGCAATTTGTCATAAAAGCTGCATTCAGGCTTCCTGTGTGATTTGTATCAAAATATGTTACATACTTCAAGGTAGTATCATTCCATATGGCCAAATAGCTCCATGTACTTCCTTTGTCACAATATGAGTGAAGCTTTCTAGAAAGCTCTGTGCTTAATGGGACTTACCACCCATAATGGGCGTGAGGAATGATCAGCTTTGAGCAGCATCTGGTTCCTGTAGTCTTTTGCCCCATACTCATCAACTTTTGTCCCAGAATCTTCCACTTGCTTTCCAGCTGCTGAGGGAACAGCTTCTTGGGACTCTCTGCCTGGAATATCATATTCTTCTTCCTCTTCTTCTTCATAGTGTCGTTTCTTGGATTTCTTCTTATCTGAAAATCAAGGAAAAGTGGTTAAAATACACATATAAAACCTTCAAAACTCTCTAAACAATGAACAAATCAAAAGCACAAAAGGTTCATAATGGTGACACAAGTGAAAGTTTCTCCTCATGTAGAATCTTCAAAAAACCAGAACTGAAAGGTAACACATCTTTGTTTTCATGAACAGCTGTTGGAGTGCACAATCTTTTCAGCCTCAGGGCCACATCCAGCATCTACTGGTGGGGGCGAGTAATTGCCCAAGAAATAGATAAAAGCAAAGAAGAGATCTGAACTCTAAAACCAACCCACATATTTGACTCAAGAGAAACACAACAAAAATATATTATAAATTGTAATCCTACATAACCCAATAGAACCTATTTTTCAGTAGACATATATAAAATTGCTCTAAGTCCCAAAGAAATGTATTTTCTTCTTTGACACCAGGCTCAGCCACTCCCCCTGCCCCCAGTTTCTGTGTATGAGCGTGTGCATGCATGAAGAACAAACCAAGAAACTGGGAAGGAAGAGAAAGAATAGCCAAGCTATGAGCTGGGAAGGCAGGTGAGCAAGGGGAAAGAAAATGTAAGGCTAGAATGGGGGAGAAACAATGAGATAAAGTAGTAAGGAAAGGTATTGTGGAAGAGAAGCAAGAAGGCTAGAAGTGGCAGGGGGAGAGAAAGCACAAAGGGAAGATGGGTGTGTGAGCAGAAGAAAACTGGGCATGCCAGGAAGCAACCCTTTCCTTCTCTTCCTGCATGCCCCAAACAGCTGATCAGGGTATGTTTAGGCACAGGAGGGAGAACTGGTGCCCTAACATTTTTAAAATTTAAAATAAATTTCAAGGTGTATAATGGAAAGCTTTGTGGGGGCCACTGGAAGTCCATGTAGGTACCATGTTTGAGATCCCTGTAGTATGGTGCACTGGTAAGACTGTTGGACTGAAATTCTGGAGACCTAGTCCCCATTTATCCATGCTTACTGTGTACCTTGGGCCCATCTCTGTCTCACCCTGACCTAACTCACAGAGTTGCTGTAAATGTAATATATTGCATTATCATCTATCAGCAATACTATCCACTTCTCTTTTTAAAAATTCTTCTGGTTGTCTGTAGTTTTATCTCAAAACGCATAACTAAATCACTCAGTAGCTTCCTCCCCAGGCCTTCCTCACAAGCAGAGAAAAGATTTTACTTTTAATCAGCAGCCAATTGGAGATAAGCGCTTTGCCCTTCTGAGAAAGAAGACAAGGCCTCAAGGGAAAAAACTGGTGCATGGATATGCTGTGAAGTAGAAGTAATGGGTAGGGTGCTGCAAAGTTTTCAGGCTGCACTAGGAGTAGTTGAGGGGCATGCGTGGGTTCTGCACCCTAACAAATATTGGGACCAGACTGACTTCACTTACACTAGCTTTCTTTTCCCCAATTAAGGCTTCACGGTGAAGTAAGTTTACTTCCTGCAAATAGTCATAGAAGAAACATGGATATAGAATGGCATCAGCTCTCCCTCAGATTAAGACAACTAGACTCTGCATAGAAAAAATATATGCACAATTATGTGCATGTTAATCTTAACTCCAATAATCACTGACCATCCTGACTGGACCTTGTGAGATTTATAGTACAAAACACCTGAAGGGCACCATCTTGCCTACGCCTGATAGTTTTCCATGATCTTATTGTAAACAAATTCTATATAAGAAACCCATAATATATTAGAGACCCTAAAAGAGTGACTTCACTGTTCAATTACTTACCAATTTCTCCTCACCTTATTTTAAATGGGTCATTAGCTATGCCTAAGCATTCAGTATTAACTAGTAACACAAACAGATGAGAGGATCTCTCATCACATGCATGTGAAATTACAATTTCTGCAAACTAACATTCAGTCGTTGCTGCTGCATGGAAGTTTTTAAATATTTTGCAAGAGTGGCCAATCTAGTTTGTTGGTCCCTACCAGCACAGTCATGAAAATGAACATATTACATGTTGGAAGCATCTATGAGGCAAGGACCAGGTCTACAAGGGAAGGCCAATGCTGCAACATTTAATATCAGCCATTGCTGAGAATTATAAATCTGTAGGATTAAGCCATCAGGGATTAGAACATGCTTGTAAATACTAGGTCTCAATACCCAGCCCAAACTTCTATCAGCTATACCTCATTTTTCTAAAACTAAGTATTGATCATGCATGTATTAGCTGTTTGTTGTTAAATAAAGATGAAGAGTTACATTAGCACACACACCCCATGCTGCCTTCCTTTAATTTCTAAGCACAATAAAACAAAACAGACCAGATCCCCGGTGCGGACGCCCAGCTTTCCTAGCCCAGCATTTTCCAAATGTGTTGAAAAGCAACTACTAACATGGACAGGCCGATTGGGAATGACGGGAGTTGCAGGGCAAGACAGCCCGCTAGCATGGGATTAGGGGAGGCTGCACTGGCTGGAAACAGATGCTTGTCATGGTGGCTAGGCATGGACCCTGAGAATGGAGACGCATGTTGTCTTTCCCCCCCGCCCCCGGCTTCTCACACGCCTTCACATATTCCGCGGCTCTCAGCAGCACGAAAGAGGTTCCAAATTAAGCCTTCCCCAAAAGCAAGCACGAGGATGGAGCAGGGCTGTCCGCGAAGCCCAGAGCCTCCGCCACACTGAGAGACAATGAGTGCCCCAAGCACACACGCCTTCCGGGGCAGGGTGGGCTTCCTCACCAACAACAACAACGCCGCCGCGGAAAGCTACTGCGCGCAAAGCGCCCCGAGCAGCTTGGAAAGAAGAAGAAAAAAGGCTCCCTCCGCCCGCTCACCTCGCTCTTTCTTGCCCATCTCGGAGCGGCCACCGCCGAACGCCTTCGCGCTCGGCTTCCAGCACTCCGACCCGCCCAGGCGCTTCCGGAGCAAGAGAGCGAGCGAATCCGAGCGCTCCCCTCCATCACGTGACTGCGCTCGCGGACAGAGCGTGACGCGCGTCATCCACGCTCGATGGAGCGGGGGCGGGGGAGCAAGAAGTCGCTCGATCTTCCCGGCGCGCTCCCGGTTGCCATGGAAAGGCGCGCGCTCAGCTGGTCGGAAAAAGCGCTCACCTTGTCCATCGGCGGAGCCAGTTGGTAGCTTGCACTGTCATTGCAGTGCAGCAATGGTGGTGCGGGGCGATTCTAGCAGGCGAGTCCCACGCTCATTTCAATCGGAGTTATGTCAAGTTATCTCCGACTTATGGCGAACCAACGAATGAAAGTGCTTCAAAATGTCCATGGTAGTTCCATTCAATTCTCCCAAGTGCAAGGCTGTGGCTTCCTTTACAGCCGCCCAGAATTCCCAGTCATTTGCGGTCCAAATGCGTCAATGCCACCAGGTTGGGGAAGGCTGCTTTACAGATTCAAACCATTTCATAGTCTCGTCTTCCGCCTTCGACTTTCCGTAACAGTCATGAGAGAGGAGGCTATCCGTGGCTACTAGCCTTGCCGGTTATGTGCTATCACCTTTACCCGCTGTGAGGAGCTTGAGCAGGAGGAGGTCTTGTACCCGTCCTGCTTGGGGATCCTGTGGGCACCTGGTTTTTCAGCGTGTGTATGGTGTGTGGGACTAAATGGACCTTGGGTCGGATCCAGTAAGGCTCTTCTTATGTCTTCTCCAGTAAGTCTTGCCTTCTCGTGATGTGTCTGAAGTATGACACCCTCACTTTTGTTTCTAGGGAAAGCTCTGACTTGATTTGATTTAGGATTCACTTGTTTGTCCAGGGAATTTGCAAAACCCTCCTCCAGCACCATCTTTTGAACGCATTAATTTGCTTTCTCACAATTTTCTTCACTGTCCAGCTTTCACATCTAGTTTCTCCATTGCTGGTCTTTCATGTCTGCCATCAAATTTCTTAGCTGCAGCCTCCCTTTGAACTGATGACTGAGCAGAACTATGGCAAATATTTCACAATTTTGATTTCTTCATTGTTAATAAAGTTCTACAATTCTTCTGTGGACATTTTTGTTTTCTTAATAGTTGGCTGTAGTCCTGCTTTTTCAGCTGAACTTACAAGGATTTGCGTGTTACAGTACAGCCTTAAATTATTTCGTACAGCGTGTATTGTTAGTCCTTAGAGTAGACCTATTGAAATTAATGAACTTAAGTTACTGCTTCTGTGAACAAGCACTAAACTTCTTGTATATACTCCTGATTATATCACTGATGGCACATCTGCCCCTTTCCCTCGTGGCTCCCCAAATCGCTGTAGTCAAAAACTTTACAGATTGACTTGGGGGCACACATGGGGGAAGGAGACCCATCATAGAAGTCTAGATCTCACTGCATGAGCAAGGCTTCTGCTCTGCTCAGAAGTGTTGGATCTGATCTATAAGCTTTGCGGGCAGCCAGAGTGGGCAATTTGTGGCAATACAGATGTTTTGGCTTACAGCTTCCATCAGCAGTGGGCTCTGCAGCCAGTGATGGGTGATAATAGAAGTTGTAGGCCAAAACAGCTTGAAAGCCACAAGCTGTTCACTAGTGGCATGGTATGTAATCAAGTGCCATTATATGGATATACGAGGTATTTATAAAAAATCGTGTATTTTATTTTTACATGTTCAAACTTCAGTCACCTTCAAAGTACTCTGTTTGATGCAGTACACCTATCAAGACATTTTTTCCACTGCTCAAAAGAGGTTTTGAACTCAATTTCAATGCCTTTTAGTTCTTCTGCCATTTTTTTTGTTTCACCTCTTCCTCATCTGCAAAACGTTTCCCTTTGAAGACTTTTTTCATCCAGGGAAACAAAATAAGTGGCAAGGCCAGATAGGGTGAATAGGGAGGGTGAGGCACATGGGTCATGCTGTTTTTGGTCAAAAACTGCTGAACATTCAGCTGAATGAAATTTCACTGCCACATGTTCCTATAAATCAGCCATCATGAAATAAGCAAATTTGTATTAACAAAACAAAACCCTCACTGAAGCTGAACACAGCCTCTCAAAACAATCCAGCTGGGTACAAGTGATGTGGATGGGTTCCTACAACTCTCACCTAGAATGAGAAGCCTGTACTACAAGGGGCTGCCCTCCAGAAGATAAAATCCTGGGGTTTTTGGGTCTCCCCTCCGCCCACTGTAAATGCACACTGATGAAGCAGGCTGTGGCTGAGATAATATATGTAGCAGCTGGAACTGTGGGCACTCCTATATACATTTATCTTACTTCAATTAAAGCTGTACCATTACCTTGAGTTATTCTGGTGCAAGTTGTACGTATAAAAACATTTGTTTTTCAGCTCAAACATTACAGAAATAGTAACGTTCTTAGTTTAAAACAGGGGTCTCAAACTCAACTTACCTGGGGGCCGCTGGAAATAGAGTCTGGGTGAGGCCGGGCCGCATCAAGTATTCCACCACCGCGGTGGTGGTGGGCTGCTCATCCCGTGTCGCTCCCAGAGGCCGGCCCGGGCACCGCCGGCACTTTGAAGGCCGCAGGGCCCGTCCCGGCAATTGGCCCGCGGGCCACGAGTTTGAGACCCCTGGTTTAAAAGAATGTATTAGAGGCATACAAGCATTTAATGTTTAATTTCTCAAAATGCAATGCATAATAAGCTTCTATTATTATACATATTCGACTAAGGGAAGAGTGGGAAAGTTGCATATTATGACTGAGAGACAGTATGGTACACTGGTTAGAGTGATGACTGGGAGTCAGGACGACTGCCATGAAGCTCACTAGATCAGTTTGGTTCAGTCACTGACTCACAAGGCTGTTATGAGAATATAATGAAGATGATGACTTTGTAAGCAGCTTTGGGCTCCTTGTGAGTGGGGAAAAAGGTAGGATTTAAATGTAATAATATGCATACAATACCTGTATTACCTATAAGATGTAAAATGCAATGTATTGGCTGAAGAATGAGGCTGCGATTCTGAATGGAGAAAGCCCCCTCTAGCAACATACATAGGATTTCACTTTTGAGTTATAAACCAGAAGACTTGGATTCAAAGTTTACCTCATCATTATACAAGCTCCTCCGATATGTAGCCCTTGCATCTGCAAATAATCGACCTTGAAGCATTTGTGAACATTCTTGAAATTATATATCTGAAAGCACTGTCAATAAACTGGACCTATATTATATGAAATGCTAACCATTAAGATTTTTTTGGAACAAAAGAACACAAACTGGAAATAAATATTTTTATTAACACTTAAAAGTGCCATTATCTATAGTCATTCCATAAGCTCATAAGGTTACATCCAGTAAACCTTTGTACCATAACCTTTCCAGAATGAATTAACTTGAAGAAAAAGAAAAAACAATCTTCCGTTGTATTAATTCTTGCAGGTCCTCATGCACAATCATCCTAAACCAAGATGTGTACCAGCAATATACACATTTCATAAAACAAAGTCATTTGGTCAAACACAGAATATAATATAAACATGGCTTCTTTTATATTTGATTAAAAACCCCAAATAAAATAAAAGCCATTTACCAGCAAGAAAATAACAAATACATAGATTTTAAAAAATCAAAATGTTTTATACATTTTGTACAAGCACACTTTTGAGACTGTAACAAGGTCAAAATGTGCATGAACAATGGAACAAACCACACCATACCAGGCCATTAGTAAGTTCTTTTAAAAACCCAATACCAACACTTTTCCTAACTGTAGGTTTTTGATATCCACCAATACACTATTTACCCAACATGAGAATTTTTAGTTGGTACGTCTTAAGCATTATACAAATATTCTTTCAAGCCACAAACTAGGTTATCAATTCAAAATTTAAGCATTAATTGGTATTTGGTAGTACCTTCAACATGCTTTAAATTTTCCCAGTACCAGAAAACAAGGAAACTGTTAAGATCAAGAGGGAAATATTACATTCAATGTAACAAAAAAGAACAGGCAATAAAAACATCTGACTTTTCTAAGACTGGTTATGTGTCTTGATTTTATCAAGCAGCCATAAATTCAAAGATTGCCTTCAGCTTTTCAGAACAGTATTATCATTCTTGGCATCATGGAAATAACTTTTAGCTTTTTTAAAAAAAGACAGTCCTTATAAGACAAACCATGCCATTGTCCAGCCAGAGTGTTTTAATATACAATTCATGTCCAATTTTGGAAATACAAATACATTTTGAATGGTTAAAAACAAAAATTAAAAAAATATTTTCTGAACATCAGCCAGCTGAAAATATATTTATCTAGTAAATTATCTCTCAAAGCTTTTATATATTTAACTAAATGCAGTACCCTTAAACAACAATTGTTTAAAAATGTAGAAATGAAACTGGAATAAGTCTGTGGGAGAGAGCGAACACAGTACATAGAAGGCATTTTTATATACCCTATACATTTGGAGAGCTCTTAGACACATTTGCCGTAATCCAAAATCCACAGAAGTTCTGAGTTTATGAAGCTCCACATAAGCAGTGGCTTCCCAATTCACTCCACACTTAGAAAGCTGTGTGTACACTCTTTAAACCACTCTGAAAGGGTTTAGCATATGGCCAGTTGTCAGTTAAATAATGGTCAAGTTTTCAGAACTACAGAACTGAGACTGAGAACAAAGTTAGTTGCCTTCTACTTTGAAATAATGAACGTATGTGGCCATCTGTGAACAATATTTAACAGTTAATTGGCCAATGCCCCAATAGTATGATGTGAACTGGGAAATCCTTGCTCAAACAGAATTCCATATCAAAGCTCCTGCAGGGACAATGAAGTTGCTGGATTAGGGCTATTCTGGGGAACTAGTAAGCAAAGTTAATGTCCTGAGTTCCTCAACCAAGATAAAGCCAGAAGCTGACACACATTTACATTGAATTAAAAAATTCTCATACATTCAAGACAGTAGTACATTGCACACATACATAATTCACATACGCTCTATAACAGTTGGTCATAGTATTAAATCAGTGTACAAATTAAACTTTTCTCAAAAAATGTGCAAAAGAGTCAACATTGATAGAAAAAAAACACCGTTGTGTACATACATTACAAACTGTGCCCAGCATTCAAACGGAGAGTAAAAACATTTACAGAGAGAAACCAAGGGATTAAATAGAGAATTTGACAGCTGCATAAAAATGTACATTAGATCAAAAGGGTAAGATTTATACATTATTTATAGCTTTTTGAAAAGTAAAAGTGTACTGCCAACACCTCTTCCCCATAGTTACAGTGACATTTGCTTGAGGTACGAGATGACAGGCTGAACTCATTTGGGCTGCAATAATCTGTTCCCACATTTGGATGAACAGTGTCAAGTTTTAAATTGCTGATATTAGCAAAAAAGCAAGCAACTTGAGATTTAGAGAGTTTAGACCCTGTTCCGAAAAGAAAGCACAATACTTTTCTTATAATTCATGATTATGTGCCTGGTGTGCGTGTGGATATGTGTGTGTGTATACTTGTGTGTGTAAATAAATCAAAATGGGATCATCCTAAACAAATCTACTTGTGAATAGTTCCATCACTAACATCAAAACAATCTGTAAATATGCTCAGCATTTGGGAGACTGACCCCTAACAACAGAAAAGGACCAAGTTAGCTCAAAGAGAGTCTATTTTCCCCAGAGGGCACTGGTCCCCTACCATACCACTTCCCCTTCCTGCAAAACTAGTGAGTCAATTGTTTATCAAGAGGCTTTGAATACATTATCATCAAATGATCATGGAGAATTTCAGTGGCCTCTTTTTTGTTGCTTCATACTTATGAAGAGGAGAAAAGGTCAAAAAGGCAAGTCCATTAAAAAAAAAAGCAATACATTAACAATCTATTTTATACTCCTGTCTGAGAAATGAATCATTAGCACATACAGGATGAAGAAAACCCCTTTGCTGCTAAGAGTTCCAAAAGCTTAGAAGTCTTAGTTTTGCTTACTTGGATTTTGCTTTGTCTCCCTTTGAACCAACATATACAAGATAGAAGTATGGCTGTGAATTATTTGGAATGAGATGGCCTACTTCCCCTGCAAGATGTGCAAAGTTATAGTTCGCTATGGCACAACGAATAGTTTGGCCCATTATTGTGACTTAAAGGCTTAGTTCTTAGCTTCCTTTTTCCCTTCAGTTATAAACTTAAACTACAGAAAATTTCAAAGCTCAATAGTGTGTACCTAGAAACAAAATGCAGAAGGACTTCATGGGAGATGAAGATATGCACAGCCTATTCAAAAGCCACTAACATCTATTCAATTGCACAATGATCAATTTTTCCTCCTACATGCGAAGAGATATACTTTACTTCAAGTACTTTTATGAACTCTGTAAAATTCACTCTTCATGAATAAACAGGTCTAACAATTTTGGGATATGATGTGGAAGTTCCTGACTTACATGAAACCAGCACACAATCCACCCTGGCTATCACTGGTGCCATAGCTGCATCAGATTAGCCAACCATAGGTTTGATCCAGGGAAATACAAGTGGGTTTCTAATCATTAAGCAACCTTCCTTTGCTATATTGCAGCCTCCAGTGTCCCCTGAAAAACTTCCTGAGACATAAGGGATCTTCAGGAACACTGCAGGAGATGGTACGGTGGACTGCTAACCGAGGAAGCAAGCAAGCAGTAGAAATCACTTCAGGATCTAACTCAGTGTCTTCACATACTCCTTTGGCATTCGCATGAAGTTATGCATGCTTACCTTAAATTATGTAACTGTCTAAGGTAAATTGCTGAGCTGCATGATGGTCTCATTCCTTACAACATTAAAGGAGAGGTGCTTTGTCACGGAAATGAGCTTCAGCCCTACACTTTCACACTTAGTGTGCAGAACTCACCAATCTGCCAATGAAACTTACTGGAACTTAGACTGTGTAAAGATACTGCTCTCTCTGGTGGAGGCTTTTGCATCTCAGGTTACTTTTTGCCTGTTAGCTTCCATGCATAATGAGTAGCACAATCTATTAAAGGAGTCACTGGAATGTCATTGTACAGCTTAACAAGGAATCTGGATTGAGCTTCCCTGACTTTTTTCTATGCCTTCACTTTTACTTAGTAACTTAGTCTCAATTAGTAACATGGGTTCATGTGACATGGAGACCATCTTTATCAAAAGGACGGTGCAAGAACTCTATCCTAGCTGTGTTTCACCAAAAACAAATGTTGTGCTAATTTCACTGTTCAGTTGTCTTAATATTGTAGCGGCCAAATTTGCTTGGACAAGTTTGAATATTTACAGGTGATCCAACTGTTCAATTTAAAGTTATTAACTGAGGTAGTCTGTAACATTTCTTTCTGCAATTATAATCACCAACCTAGAACCTTCAGTTCACATGAAGATTCATATGGCAGTCAGTTTTTGGAAATGTATGAGTATTTTCCCTTGGTCAGCCTTCTTCCAACACACTTAAATAACTTCACTGGAAGGCAGTGAATAGTGCTTTCACTGCCTTCAGTGCTGGGTGAATATTGTACAATTTCATACCTCTCCCATAGGACTGAGCTCAAATTTTTAAGAGTTTCCATCAAAATTTGCTGAATAGTCTATCCAAAGGCCAATTCTGGTTGGCCCAACAGATGGTGTGAGAATGATTTGCCATGATAAGGCTGTGAAGCCAAGGATGAGTTTCATGGAGCACCTGCATCACTGCAAGTACAATCTAACACATTTCATTGTACTGAATGTTTCATCAGCTGTGAAGAGGTTAAGTATGCAAGCTGCCAACTAAAAGTCCAGCAACATTCACCATATCTGTTTTTGCTCTAAATTGTCACATAATTGGATTTTTCTAATCAGATCTACATATACCAACTTTATTTTGTTTCCGTAACATCATTTCCTGCCAGATGAGGCATGGACACAATTTTACCTTCTGCCATCACACTAGATTTTCCTTGCTACTTCAACAAGATCAAGTCTTTACATCATCAACACTGAACAGGAGGTGGGCAAAGCCCAATAAATGCCCTGACTAGCACCTGCAGTTATTAGAATCAGTACTTTTTGTGATCTCCACAACAGCTGCATGGTATGATCCCAGGACCCATCAAAATATCACAGAGAATCCAGGGGGCAATGCTTGGCTTGGATCACACACTGATTCATTGGCACTCTTAAAAATATTGCTGCCCAAGCAAGCATTTGGATTTCATGTGTGATTGGGCCATTATACACAATGGGAAATCTAACAGTCACTAAGCTAGATAAAAATCACTTTTGGCTGTGTATGGGGTAGAAAAGCTTTGGTTTTCAATGATTTTCAAAAGCATACATGCCATGAATACACACAAGGAACTAACCAGCCAATAAGGACTAGTAAACTGGTAGTAATACGTTTGCTAATCCTCATTTGCCACGTGGACTTATATTAAAGCACAACAAATCTGTTTTCTTCAAAAGTATATTTCAAACATTAAAAATAGGGAATAAAAAAGAACTACATTATGAATGCTGAACCATTTTCTCAAGCATCTGCAGGTGTCATCAGACAACTACTGCAAAGATGATGAAAAGGATTGCTAGTGCAAGTAACTTGTAAATGCAGCATAAAACCTGGACAATGGTTTATCCCCATTTGTTCTAATTGTATGGCATCAAAAGAGAAAGGAAATATGTTCCTCCAAACCATATCTGATATATCTATACAGAACCAATACTGTTGCATGCTTTAAGCAAACACTTTCCTTCAGATCAAGGATCATCACAGAAGAATTAGGCAACCAGTAGCTGTTCACCTAAACATGAAAGTACCATTACGCATTGTGTTTTGCAAAAGACTACAAAAGCCAAATTGAGAAGATTTTACAGAGAGCAACAAAGTGGAGGATTTCCTCCTTCCTGCTCAGATTAAGAATGAAGGGCACTTCTGAAACCAGATTAATACAACTGATATTCAGGAAAGAGATTTAAGCATATGTTCAACTCTTTCTTTGAAAGAAATGGGACTTCAACAAGCTTAATGCTGCCACGGCCATGTCCATATAGTGCATCCTGGTTTGAGAAGAGAGGCTTTGTAAGATTCATCTTTATACAAAACTCTGGAAAAAGCAACCCTATTATAAGAACTAGGTAGTCAATTTTTTTTAAAAAAAAATCATAGGACCTCTAGAAGCTTTGGAGATGACACATTTTGAAGACTATTTTGTTGCTGTCGCATGACTTGACCCCTTTTGTAATAATGTAAGCAAACAAAATTAAGGCATATAGGTAAAGGCACTCCGATCTGTTTGAATTTTGTTCATAGTATAATTAAAAAGGGCAAGTGTTATTTCTTTGGGTGTGCATGCTAAAATGGAAGTGCAACTATACCTATCTAAACTCAAAAGCAGTATGTTTTAGGAATAAAGCTTATGAATGTTACAGATTCAGATTTTATCATATAGACCTTACAAGATTTGGGGACTTCTAAACCTTGATTGGTCAATTTAAAATAAGAAAATAAAATCAGGGACCTATTTAGGTCCCACACAGCTGAAGGCACTGGCTGGATTCCAGAGATTGTAACCAATGTTAGTAATACCTAGAGTAAAGTTACAGAAATAAAGGGGACTTATTTAGATTAGCACAGGATACAGCCCTAAATCAACTCACTATCCTCCTTAGTTCCAAATTCAGCTAAGATGGCAGCTTTATAAGATATAAAAACGTAGTTATCACAAATGTGCTTAATTTAAGCTGTAATTTAGGGAAGAATCTTATGCATAGGGGTCCTGGGAGGTATAGGGGCCTTTTCTGTCTAAACAGGCATAGGATTGTTCCTGTAGAGAGTTACATGGTAAGTTCCAGGCTATAGAATGTTTAAGTTCCATTTGGATGCTACTTCTCAAAGGTTCTACTCATAGCAAGCTTGGGCCTTTGCACTCCCTGTACAAGCTGCCCTCATTGTACATAGAAAGCAAGACATGGATCATATGAGCCATCAAGACAAAGCCTAGCAAAACAGCATCTGAGCAGGGCCCCTTGAGACTCCTTTCCTAAATACACCACTGCTTGACTGCTGCTCCTGAAACTTGGGAAATTTGAAATGCTTTTTCTAATGCATGTTGAGCAACATTAAATTTGTTCCTTATTGGCTGAAATATATAATCTGCTGTCTAAACTCTACCAATACAGCAGACCAGCAGATTTCCAGATAAGTAGCTTATGTGTGAAGAAAAAAAAATTACTTTTTGGACTAGTATTTTGCCAGCTTTCCCTTTGAGTTTCCTATTAATCTAGAATAATCTTTTGATAATCTTTTATTTCCAGACCATTTCCTCATAACTGTCCTTAATAAGCATAAAGAGGACCCATTATTTTTGATTACTGCAAAATAGCCAACATACAACATAGCAGAAGTACGCAAAGCTATTGTATCATAACCTTATATATCCCTCTATTCTTGCAATTCTGAGAACACAAGAGTTAGACTACATGCTATACAAAACAGGGACAATAAAGAAGACAACTCGAAATATGTATCATGCATGGGACAGGATATATGCAGCCACTCTTTTCAGTGATTAGTGCTTTTACTTCTAGATAAAACTGTAAATATTTTGTTAAAAGGTTCTAAAGGAGGGAGTTGCCTATTATGTCAATACTTCTCTATCCCATTTGGCAGCGCTGTTAGTGTAAACCAAATAGTAACACCAAACTTTGTGCCAATCACCATACCTTTTCTGATTTGCTCACTTGACTAACAAGTTGATATGAGGCACATAGCTTTATCTAAAATTTGCATCTTATTAAGTACATAATTGCTAGGAATTATGAGTTAGGTGCCAGTTGAGGGCAAACTGTGAGTTGAGGGCAAACTTCTTAAAACATTAAAGTAGGACTGGGATTGACAGAACTAGGGGCTTGTGATAGCAAAACCTGAATGGTATCAAATTAATGGCATTAATAGCATGGTTAAGAGTTTGGAAATCCCCGGAGATATTTACGCTTTTGCAGCAGGTTAATATTGCCATTATCAAGACAAAATGTTGTATTGTAAAAAGGCACAAAAAGCAGTCACCTTATTTTGCTATTTTTTCCTTATCAGCCACAATGCAAAAATGCCAATGCAGTTTATATGAACGAGCTGTGCATGAAATCTGAGTAAATTATTATATGAATTGAATGTTGCCAAGTTTCATAAAGTGCCATTTAACAATTCAAGAAGAGCTTAAAATTCATATGCTACACTTAAACTTCCTTTCTTTTTGTACATTTTGGCAACAGAAGTGCCCTTGTTAAAATTAAGCAGACTTTTGAATTACATTTTGTTTAAATTAAGTAATCAGCACAAAATAAATGAGAGATATGATTTGTATTCTCTGGCCCTCCTTTGAGTCTTTTGCTCTTTAGAACAAAACAAATGGTAGTCTGAAGCAAGGTGGCTTGCTTCAATTAACAGACTTAAAATAGAGATTTCATGTTAATGTAAACTGTTATGTATAGAAACAAACATTGTGGAATAATATGCAGTAAAGTATACAAAATACCCAGAAACCATTTCTTGCAGTTGGTATTACTAAGGTTGCACAGGACTCTAGAAAGGCAGACTTCTGTGTGGCCTGCTATGAGGCTGATTGCTTTGTCCTAAAGAACTACTCATCCAGTCATCCAAGCAGCCTGGCCACAAAATAAACTCCATTTATGTTTATGTGAACACTAAGTGCCTGAAAGTACTCTGAAAGTTTGCATTCTTTTAAATGCAAAGAGGTATTGCCTCACTAAATCATTCTACACAACTCCTAATATTCTGCTACATAAACTTGTTATTCCTTCCTGTATCAGTAACATCTTAAGTATGCTTCTGATTAAAATTTAGAGTTTTGGAGGTCTGCACTTCACATACTACCCATTAAACATTTCCTTCCATTCCAGGTTTCACAAATAAGTGTCCTTCATTCAACTAGAAGCCAGAGAAGACATCAACTTTGCTCCCTTTCGCTCTCAAGACTTTTGAATAAAGATCATACTAACACCCCCTCAAAAGGGGTGGTGGTGGAGAGTTAACTCTAGTACAATCACATCTTTTCTGTGCCCTGGATATTAATGTATCAACATCCATATTGGCAGATGGATACTCATGAATGATAAACAGGTTAAGACAGATCCCAATTTCTAAACGTAAGCCTCCAGTATAAGAGTTTTTCAATTCCCTTTAATTCATTTGTTCCTGCTCATAGCCAAAAACCAAAAGAAAACTTAGGATTAAGTCTTGCAAACCTATCTCAAGGTTTTTGTTTTTGATGTTCACGCTCTCATCCCATCTCAAACTTGGCTTTCATGTATCTCAGACTTCTAAAGGCAAGAAGTGAGGGAATATGACCCCATCCAAATTATCTGAGATCCTATTATAAAGGAAAAGCACCAACGTATGCTGTTCTTTATACAGATAAAGAGCAAGGAGAGGCAGCCAGTGATTCTACTGCAGCACCAATTATTTTATGCTCTACAGCTCCCAAGCGGGATCTTATCAAATTAATGTTAAAATGTGCATACTACTGAATCCCATCTAAGCCAGAGACATCTGCCTAGTGACTATTCAAAGATACCTGACCATCCTTAAGCAAAAATCATTTAAGGCTTTGCAACCAAGCTGGAAAAAAATTCCAACACTATATTTACTCAAAAGAAAGTCTATGTTCAATGGGGTATCTAGACCTTAGTATGTCTTTGCTGCCTTTCTTAGTTTGCCAGAGAGAGGGCAAGATTTTTTTTTTTAGCTTTGCACCTTGAATTTCTAAACTAGAACAAGACTTTCAGTACAATGAGTCTTGAGTTGGTATGCTATAGAGGTCACTTATAGGCTGCAATGATTGTCTGTCTGCTATATTTTAAATACTTCAAAACGCTGGAAATAGAACAGAGAAAGGAGCTTTGACAAAAAGATGTAAGATGCACATAAAAAGCCTGGTATATAGTTGGGAAAGGGACTTCAATTTTCATCTATCCCCATATTCGTCTACTGGACCAAGTGACACACATTTACATGCCTTACACAATTTGCATAGTTACAGCTTGATGGAAGTTTAGCATAGTCTGGAATCTTATGGATGTTTTAATGAGAGAAAAGAAGGCTTCCGTCCATGAGAAAAAAAAGTGAACAAGAGAGGAGGAGAGCACAGACCTTTGCTGGACCATGAAAGACACTGGGTCAGCTACATGGAAGTGATAATAGCCAAGATTCATTCTGCAGAAACTATTTTGCAACACTTTTGACAAAAACTATTTTTTTTGCTCTGAAATCATGATGATTTGTTAATTTAAAAACTTGAACATTACAACCCTTAAAAGCCCACTTAACTTGGTAGGTTCCAAAGAAAATTGCGAAAGTCCCTTACCATGATCTATTACAAATTTTGTTCAAGAGAGGATTCTCAAACTTTAGTGCACTTACTACTGTAGGCTGGTGCATATACAGTGCTGTCTATTCCTTAACCATTTCTAATGGATTGATTATTTTCCCCAAGCCTCCTCATTAAATAAACAGACTCCTCTAGTTTGAACCAGCAGCACTTTGTGTGTAAAGAACTGCAAACCCTGGTCACTAATTGATAGCTAACATATTGGGAGCATTATATACGTACAAACCAGGTACTACATATGCAGATTGTTCCATCTCTCACTGCAATCCAAGTGTCTAAGGACTGTTTTATTTTAATGGAACATACAGACATAGTTTGTGCCTGTTTGCGTAGTATCTATTAATCTCCAATGTGATTTCTGCTTGCCTTTCTTTTATTCAGGACATCCTCAAGGACTTCCCCAGGAAACATTTAATAGCAGTGTTTAGCAACATCAGTACAGGGTAAGAGACTATTGCTTTATGACAGCAGAACCTAACATTAGTTCCCTTCAGCAGCTCTTCCTAGGTTCCAGACAGTCTAAGTATTCTACCATTAGTTTTGTATATTAGATGCAGATAGCCAAATGTCAATATACGCAGTTAGAGATAACCATCTCAAATCTTAACTACTAATACATAGATTTAAATTTAATTTTAAAAGAGCAGACTACCAGGTGGCAATAAAAAGTTCCTTATTCTTCATGCCATCATCATCATCATCGTGCTGGAAGTGAATCACACATAAGGGGACTGAGGTCTCCAGATGTGTCTACTGAGCTTACTTTTCCCCTCTTGGTTGGAATGAGTAGTGATCTTTTATATCCCCTATCAAGAAGTTAGGCTACATCTGAAATGCCAAATTTTGCATGCTCTCCATGATGCAAATTACACAAATTATCCAAATGCCATTTGAGTAATAAATGTGCAGCTTAGGATACACAAGTCTGTTCAGCCTCAATAGAAGTGATATTCTAAAATTTCAACATATGTGATAGTACAGAAGGAAGGAAGACTGGGTCTCATAAAATATTCTAGGCAATGGGCAAGATACTTGGGACAGGACAAAGAATATGGAGCAGGAAATTATGAAGAGTGAAACTACCATTCACTCCAGCCATAAGTCCCCCCCACCACCTTAGACCAGCTCCAGTCTCAGATATCTTGGTCTATCCAGCAAATGAACTTGTTGCATGGTATGGGGAGACCATTCTTCAACTCTAGAGGAGAACAGATCTACAGTAATCTACTTATTTACAATTCCCGATCTAAAACATTCATGCAACAGAACTACTTGACTTCTCCATGAAGTACCTAACTAGGGGGCCCTCCCGTCTATTTTCTTAAAATTAGAAATACACTTATTTGGTTGCAATTGATCTGGTAGTTGGATGGTTTCCTTTGCACCTGCTCAGCAGTCTAGGTTTTCAGCTTCTGAATCAGTTTCCAAAATACTGTAGAGGAGACTCATTTCAAACCTGAAACACAACCAAGACCTTTCAGTGTATCTATCTATATACTACAAGGAACAATTGGACACATTTTCTACATTTGCTAGCAACATGTATATTTCCCCTGCATCCTGAGTTAGTCAGCTCTGCTTGGGAAAAAAAATGTACACACAACTCCTGACGGACCAAATACGTTGCCTTTACCCCCTTAAATAAGGAATGAACATGTACTAAAGTGCTTTAAGAGAACCACATCAGTACATTACTGAAACAAAAAGATCCTAGTCCTAAATCGGGAACAAAATCCGCATTCTAAATATGCAGAGAAATCATTAACAATCTACATGAAATAAAGAATCAAGAGAAATAATTTCTCCCTTGTCTTTTCTCAATTTCGTGGTAAAAAAAAGTGCAGTCATAAAATAAATGCAGTAGGTGAGAGCTGGATTGAGGCAGGCCATCAGTGATAATGTGCAAATGTGTGTCTTAGCAGTTCGTCTGCAGATGGTCGCAACTTAGCCTCAATAAATATCCGCTTTAGAAAATCCCGACCGTGGTCTGAGACATGAGGTGGGAGCTGGGGATTGGTTGGCTGTGTGGCAATTTTGAAGATGGCAGCCATTGCTTCAAATTCTGCCCAGGGTGGTTTCTCAGTGAGCATTTCAACTACTGTACAGCCAACACTCCTGCAAGAATGAAAAGTGAGTTAAAATCAAGCAGAGTAATAGTATCTCCATTATGTGCAGGAATGATAAGACAGCGTTGCTTAAAAAGTATGGACATAACCAGGTTTGTGCAATCTGTTTCGTGTATATTTTGCAGATTCTTGGGCATTGTTCATTCTGTTGTCTGTTCACAAACAGAATAAAAATTATATTGCAGAAAAGTACCCAAAATCTTGCCCTGAATTTCATGGGTAACTGCATGGGTAACTGCAAAATAATGCACAGATTGCACAAAAACAACACTACATTTAGAAAGTCTACTTGCTAGCATAATTTTTCAGAATGGCATCTCTATAAGCATATGTTCTAGTAACTTCCAATACTTTCCATCACATATATTTGCATAAATTTGAGGAAAATAAAAACAGTCTACAAGTCCATACAACGCCATGAGCTTGGTCTGCCACAGAAGCCACATGTTGAATTCAGAGAAATCCAAACATATTTTAATCCATCTTGGATTTCTCTGGCATCTCTACTGAAGAACAAAACTTGGTTTCAATTCAAAATACAACATCTTATATACATATCTTGCGATGCAAGTGGAATTTTGTACAGTTATGACAATAATTAGAATATAACAACTGCTTTGCTGGATCAGTGGTTCAAAGCACTGATAACTTATTTTGTACCAAGAACATAAACACTTGTATCCACACTAAACAACCTCTGTAGACATAACCTTATGTGACATTCCTACATGTTGAATTGAGACACTGCCTTCAATACTGACAGTTCTAAGAAAGGCTTCCCCCTAGAGAAAGGAAGAAAAGCTAATTTTCAGCCTCCAATAACATTTCTCAAACTACAGTGGTACCTTGGCTCACGAACGTAATCCGTTCCACAACTCTGGTTGTGACCCAAATTGGTCGTGAGACAAGTTAAATTTCCCCATAAGGGTCAATGTAAATAAGGTTAATCTGTTCTGTAATCATTTTTTAAATCAGAAAAATGTGAAGCAAAGTGATAACAAAGATCGTGGTCATCTCTCCACTCCAGGGGTGGGGGGATGGCTGTGATCTTGGTCACCACCCAAAGTGGCGTTCGCGGCCCATGTCAAAATTTTAATGAAATTTTTGTTTGTGACCCAATTTGTTCATGAACCAAGGCGTTCGTGAGCCGAGGGACCACTGTATTCTGGAAGGTCTTCCAGTATTCCAGAACAGCTTTTCAGGGGCCAGAATTAGTGAAAATTGCCTCCCTCTGGTATAACCTCATGAGAGGGAGTGCCACTCATTGGACGTATGAATCCAGTTCTTTGTCAACACCAGTGTTCTGTGCTGGAATGAAATGAACAATTCTTTTATGTTGGTGGAAGCTTAGAATTCTACTGGAATAAATTTTATGTGTTCTTATGAACTGCTCAGAGAGCTTCAGCTACTGGGTGATACAGAAAAAAAAAATAACAGCAACAACAACAACAGGGACCTTGTGATATCACTAACCCTTTGCAATGTAAAACAATTTGAAGTATAATCTATGCAAATTTAGACAGAAAAAGGGCAATCATTCCATGATTTGTAGGCCATCTTTTCTGTCTAGACTTGCATAGAATGGCTCCTTGTAATCAATTTATAACTGGCGACTTACTTACTTACTTATTTAGAGAAATTCTATGCCGCCCCATTCGCCAAAGCCTCGGGGCGGCTCACAATCATAAATAAATAAATTTATTCAGTTAGACTTCAGTTTGTGTGCCTTGGATTCCTCTAAAATTCCAGGTCAAGCCAGACTTTTTATCAAAAGACCCACTAAATTTGGTGAAAAATCAATTCATATTTATTGGGAACATTAAAATAACTCAACATTAATAAAATGACCCAAGGAAGTTAAGAGGAACAACATCATCTTTACCTGAATGCAGGAAAGATGTCTGAGACAACTTAGGAATTAGTTGCGTTTCCACTCTCAGCGAAACAATTACAGCAAAACAATTGTTGAATCCAAAACTATCACATACACACGCACACACAAATAACTACTTGTTTAACTATCATATAGTTTTAATTCCCACTAAGCGGTTAACCTTTATCTAGACCATGGGTCTCAAACTCGTGGTCCGTGGGCCAGTTGTGGCCCGTGGGATGATATTCTGTGGCCCCCACTTGATATCAAAGTTTAGTGACAGTGCGGCCTGCACGTTTTTCTCACACATACCTGCGTGAGTCATTACCCTGGGCACAATGTTCCCTCTAGGCTGCGCGCCGGGACGGGCAGGGCACGGGGGAGGGGCCCTGCGGCCTTCAAAGCGCCGGCGGCACCCGGGCCGGCCTCCGGGAGCGATGCGGGATGAGTGGCCCAGCACCACCACGGTGGTGGAATACTTGATGCGGCCCAGCCTCACCCAGACTCTACTTCCAGCGGCCCCCAGGTAAGTTGCGTTGGAGACCCCTGATCTAGACCATGCATGTTAGAAAGATCTGCAACTGATTCAAATGAGTTTGGATTTCAATTAATCTGATCCCCAAAATCTGCAGTAGACTGGCTTGTCTGAGTCATGCTGACCTTGTGTGGACAAATCTGGAAGTACAAAAATACTAAGAAAAAAGGAACAAACAAAAACATGTATTTTCCCCAATATAACAGTGCAGATGGGGAGGGTACTTTCATATATTCTTTTTTCCTATTTTGTGTAAGAGCTGCACAAATCTCTGTTAACACCCAGCAGTAATGAAAATTAGTTAGTGTGGATCTGCACTAATATGCTTTAGCTAAAGCAGAGTAGTGCACATTCATGCAAGTGCACATGTGATTCAGCACAGATAGAAGAAAATTCTATGAAAAACTGAATCAGTGAATGAATGATAGAATGAAAGACAATCCATGAAATACAGATAGAAATTATTTAAAACAATTCATACATCCCTAATCTAAACTTTGCTATTTCATGCTGCAGTTGGAAGATATCATAATTGAGTTTGAGAAAATCTCTCACAAAAGCAGGCTTATAGCCATGTTTTCTTGGTTATGTTAAAAAATCTAAAGGGATTTCTTAAGGTAGATGAAGAAAGTAAAGACCCTACCTACAGTCTAACCACAGGTTTACTGGTGCCTGGCTTTTAGGTGTAAGGTGCTGGTGAGTCTTTGGAGTGGATCATTAAAAAAACTATAATCTATATCAAATTATTTCCCAGAACTAAACAAATATAGCCAGTAATATTGTCTTGCTTACTAAATGCCAGGTAACAACTTTCTGATCCAAATGCATGAACAGAGCCTCCCAAGTACATACATACTCAAAGATAAAAGAAGGACAATAAAATGGACTGCAACAGTATTTAGCAAGGATATCTCTGCTTTTTGGTACAGTACTATAGACATACCAAATATCTGCTTTTCTCCCATAACCTTCTCCACTAATAACTTCTGGACTCATCCAATAGGGAGTTCCTGTAGCAGACTTAATTCCTGTACCAGACAGACAAATTGTTTGAAGCCGCTTGCTGGCACCAAAATCTCCCAACTTAACATTGCCTGCGGAGTCCCGGAGAATATTTGCTCCTGTAAAAAATATAAAATTATGGTATGGTGTATTTGACAGCACACTACCTTCAACCAAGACTTGGTTAGGGCAGTTTATACATGGTCCTATGGGGCCAGTGAAAGTCTATACAAAAATATATTCGCTGTACAATTTAATGTTGTTGTTTTTTTCAGTAGACCTTGCTTCCAAGTAAATAGATCAGGTACACAGAACAATACAAAGATCCAATGGATGTCTTAAGGTTTCTCTCACAGATACAGACCACACCAGAGGAAACTGTGAAGAAAGTCTGGAAGCAATCAGGTTCCAGTTGTCTGCCTTGTAAAGCTAGTATGCATGCATGTTGCACAGCTCTCCAAGACAAAACACATTTCCAAAATACCTCCAAAGAGAGTTGTTATACAATGTTCTGCACAATGCCTTGCAGAAGTATTCCTACACACCCCCTTTGACTTTTCCATATTTTGTTCCATCACAACCTGGAATGGATTTAACTGGCACTGTTACCACTTATACACAAGATATTGGACACTGAGAAGGTGCAAAATATTTTAATTATGGCACAAAAATTAAAAAAATAAACACCAAATGCGCTCTTTTTGGTTGCATAAGTATTCCCCTCCTTTTGCTGTGGCATGCCTAAAGTAGCTCTGGGAAAACCCATGGCATCTAGAAGTCATATACTTTAAATAGTTGAATGGTGCCCAGCTGTGTTCAATTCCAATGCTACATGATTTTCGTTTAATATACCTGTTTCTGAAAAGCTCCAGTGTTTGTTGGAAATCGTATCTAAGCAAACAGCATCATGAAAGATGGAGCTTTCAAAATAACTTTGGAATAAAGTTGTACAGAAATACCAATCAGGATTAGGATATCTATCTATCTGTCTCCATCCCCCAAACTATGAACAGTACCTGAAACACCACTAAACCCATTCTTATAAAAAGAAAAGAGTATGGCTCGATTGCAACTCTGTCCACCAGGATTCAGTGACCGGGTAAGAGAAGCAATGAAGAATTAGAGAAGGAACAGTAGTCATTCAATAGTCAGTAGTCATTCTGAAGAGATTTGCAACTCAGATGGGGGAAACCATCAATGGAACAACCAGCACCCAAGTGCTCCAGAAAGCAGGGCTTTATGGAAGAATGACAAGAAAAATGGTGTTGCTGAAATAATCCCATGTCAAAGACTGTTTGAAATGTGTAAAGAAGGTATGTGAGACACAGCAAACATGCAAGGAAAGTCCAAAACTGATCTTTTTGGCCTTGCTGCAAAACGCTGATCACCCCCGCTCCCCGCCATGGTGAAGCATGGAGGTGGCAGCACCATGTTGTGGGAATGCTTTTCCAAGGCAGAGACTGAGAAACTGGTTGAGACTGAGGACAAGAATAAGTCAAATACAGGGCAATTCTAGAGAAAACCCTGTTTGGGTCTGCAAAGGAAGGCAGAAGTTCACTTTCCAGCAGGACAATGACCCTTAACTTCCAGTCAAAATAACATTGAAATAGTTTAAAAACAAGAACCTCAGTATCTTAGAATCGTCCATCAAAGCTCAGGCCACAATCCAATTGAGAAACCTTGGCAAGACTTGAAAGGTGCTGCTCCCCCATTTAAAGTGACAGTGCATAGTTTTGCCAGGAAAAATGGTAAGGATCTAGATGTGCAAATCTGACAGAAACCTAACTAAGAAGATTTGTAGCTGTAATTGCTGCCAAAGGTGCTTCTACAAAGTATTGTCTCAAAGGGTAAATATTTATGCCACTAACAAGTGCCAGTTTGTTCTTGTAAACACTTTGTACCATAATAAGCATATTTTTCACCTTCAGTGTTAAGTGCTTGAGTCCATTAAATGGCAACAATATTGAATAAATCCATTTCAATTCCTAGTTATAACGAAATGTGAAAAAGTCAAAGGGGTGTGTATGAATACTTCTGCAAGACATTGCCTCCCTGCTGTGCTATACAGGCAAATGACTGTAAGCAAGTCAGGAGGTTTCCTCTCCAAATTTCTTCTTAGCCATGCATTCTCTGCTTCATGGTTTTAGGTTTGTCACTGTTTCAGTTTCATTTGCACTATGGGGATAATATTGTCCAACATTAGTTTAGTAATCTGTAAAACACTTCTGTAATGTGTTTAATGCTCTTTCAGCACTTAGAAAAGCACTGTATTATTATACAGAATGATAAAAGGTACAGAATCACTTATTATCACAGAGATTAAATAATGCTGTTTAGTGACTGCTCCCACAGCATTGGAGTTGGTTCAAGGCTTTTTGACAAAGCAATGGGAATGACTCAATTTCTAAACATCTCACTTAAAACAAATATTTTGCTTCTCAACTCAAAACACTGACAGCTAATAACAATATTTTTTTAAATTGTCAGAAAGAAAATAGGTAGAAACATAGAAACAGAGTGAGTCATAAGGGGCCTCCCGGGCCATCTTGGCTGACCCCCGGCTCCGCTCACAACATGCCCACCATGTACATGACTAGCCCATCTTTGAACACCCTCAACAATGGGGCCTCAACGACCTCCCATGGAAGCCCATTCCATACCCTCGGGGTCCTAACTGTCAGGAAGTTCTTCCTGGCATCTAAACTGAACCTGGGTTCCCTGAGCTTTGCTCCATTGGAGTGCATCCTGTCTTCCTCTGCAGGGGAGAACAGGTCTCTACCCATCTCCGTGTGACACCCCCTCACATACCTGTATGTCACCAACATATCCCCTATGATCTCCTCTTCCCCAGGCTGAAAAGACCCAGCTCCCTCAGTCTCGCCTCATACGGCATCCCCTGCAAACCTACACTGCACTGACTATAACCTGGCTATATACTTCCTGTAACGAAGGGCCCAAAACTGAGCACAATACTCCAGTTGTGGGCGCACTAGAGTCGTATAGAGTGGTAGTAATACTGCTCTCGATCTAGAAGCTATGCTTCTGCCTATGCAACCCCCTTGACCACCGCATCACACCGCTGACTCATGTTTAAGCTTGCAGTCAACCAGCACTCTGAGGTCCCTTTCACAAGTGCTGCTCTCCAGCCACTTGTCCCCTAACCTGTACTTATGACACCCATTCCTATGCCCCAAGTGCAAGACCTTGCACTTATCCACATTGAATGCCATCCTGTTGTCTCCTGCCCACTTCCATAGTCTATCCAGATCCTTTTGGATCTGGAGTACCCGCTCCTCAGATGTGCTCCTCAGTGGTTCTACCCTGAAAATTTGAACCATTATTTCCATTTAGCTGGTTTTATAAAAGAAGAAAAGACCACATTCATAATCCACAATCCAGTGAATAGATCCCTGCAGTTTCCCCTTTATTACCTTTAATATCTCTATGTACAATCATGTTGCTGTGCAAATAGTGAACTCCTTCCAAAATCTGCCGGGTATACTTCCGCGTCACATTTTCTGTAAGTGCACCATATGCCTTCAATTGATCTTTAATTGAACCCTATGAGCAAGGAAAGAAAGCACCATGTTTGAACTGTAAAATTTTTGTTTATAGAAGAGGATCATACGTAGGCACAGATGCCATGCAAGTCTGCTTTGGAAACTTATTGTGGAAGCCACAGGTGAAAAAAAAAGACTTTGCTGAGAGAAGGATCACTGTCCCTGGCTTACCCCTGGCATATATTCCATAAATATAGAAAGCGTTCTTTCAGGAGGGTCCCTCAAGCAGCCATAATACTGAACAATTCTTTCATGTAGCAGGTTTTTCAGCAACTGAATCTCACATTCAAGTGCATTTACTTCCTGAAAAGCAAAAGCACCATATTAAAAACTTAGCAGAATTTGACACACATCTTTCAGGAAGTTATTCATACTAAAACATGTATGATGCACACATACATACAAGCAAGGGTAAGTATGAAAAAGTTTGAAAGGAAATTCAATAGCAGCAAACCACACAAGAATAGTAGCAGATTTCTGAATAATGATCTCCATTTCTCTTACCTTACTAGTCTCCGGGCTGTCAGGATCAAACTGGACTTGTTTAACAGCTAGTTCTCGTCCAGTGTCTGCATCATAGCACAAATATACTCTACCAAATGCACCCTGGCCCAATGGTTTACCAAGTACCCAATTAGTCGGAGCTCGTGGAGCTGAAACAATGTGAAAAATGTTAAATATAATGTTATTCAAGGAAAAAGATCATAAGCAGGAAAAACGTATCCTTGCATCACTTAGCAGTAATTACCAAGAGACCAGACAGCAAGCCAACCCAAACCAAATTGTATTGCCCACATTAATGCAACTAATGATACAATCCTATGAATGCAATCCTATGAATAACGAGATATTGAAAAAATCCTAGTCAGCTATGTCTAAACATGGCCAGGATTGCATCCTAAACTAGCTTAGAATTAATCTTTTTCCAATTTAGCTTGTCTGTGGTCTAAGCAGAAACCAGGGTGGATAAAAATCAGTGACTTAAAAAAATAAAAGAAATTGGATATTTAAAAGTTATTTAATTCACATTGGATTTTTTTTAAATAAAATGCTTTTTTGACAAAAAATCTATCTAAAGATATTTTTCTATTTAAGGTATATTATAACCCAAAGGTTATTCATCATGAAATTATGTTTGGTTTTTAATTATGTAGTACAATGCTGTATATTCATGCAATGTGTAAATACATTGGTAAATGAATGCCATTTATCCACTCTCAATGTCATGCTCTTCCAGAGCTTTCTGTAAGATTACTGGGCAATTTATCTAGAAGATATTATCATACATGCTTAGTTTTACCAAAACTGTGAATTTGTGTCTACAGAAATCACGTGCCCCCTCTTCACAGCAAAAATGTTATAAAATAAACATACAGAGATGAGAAAAGACCTTAATCCCATTGTCCCTTCTGCAAAACTATGTACACAGAAATCAACCCCTAACCTCTTAAGTGCTAAGTTTCAAAAAGGACAATGAATAGAAGAAACTTGTTGGGAGTGGAACAGATCTGCACAAGAAGCTAAGTGTGAGAAGGGAAGGGCAAGCACTATGAATGATAAAGAAACCTTTTGAAAAGACTTTTCCTCAAGTCTTTGAGGAATAGCCTGAGGTTTGTAATATTATTCTTTCCCTGGAGTAGAAAACCTATAATGGCAGCAGGACATAAAAGAGACCCAGTTTGGAAATATTTTTATGAGGTTCCTCTCCTTACAGGTAAGGCATGCATGCATGCAAAACCATGATTTAAATCAAAGCCATCCTAAGAAAAACTCATTAAAAAACTGAAAAAGTTCACTTATCAAAAACACAAAGCAAAGAATACCATATTCCTTCACATAAATCTTAGCATTATCATTCAAGAATGTACTAAAAACATCTCTTTTGCTAGGGAATAGCTAGGGAATAAAGGGCAGAATATTAGCTAATTAATTCTTTTCTGTAAAACTATACTGAAATAGGAACACAACTAGTATGAACTGAAAATAAGTAGTTACTTATGGTATCACTATATTCAATGAGGGAAACAAAGTAATCCATCTACTGTATATACTGACATATAGGACGACCATTGATATTGAGAACAGCAAAGCAAAAATTGGTATTTGTCTTATACACCCAGCATGACAAACACCAGAAAAACAGCCCAAAATATCAACCTCATCTTATATGCAAGTCACTTAATACACTGGCAGTATGTGCATCTGATTTGCTTCCACTTGGACTGGTCTTATCACAGGATATCCTCTGAACCCTTTCATTCTGGATGGTAGCATTATTCAGGTGCCCTCTTACAAGCAGATAAAGCCTTCATGTTCTTTGTATCTGTCTGTCCCTGTATCATTAAGAACATTTTCTCTCACAAGCTATCTGAAACAGTGGGGTGAAGGTTTCTCCTAGTGGCTCTACCCACAAGACAGGGTGATCATTCTTTTACTTTTTTAAAGGATTTCTAACACACAAACAGCAACACAGAGAGCTTTGGTAAAGAAATACAATAATAAATAATTATTACACCAAAGAGAATCAAATCTGCCAAAAAAAAAAAAAAGCAAGGGTATGGATACAAACTAACTGTCTGAATAACTGACTTAACAGTTGGAATGAGTTGCCACAAGGAATTATATACATTTTTCCCCTTACAGCGGCTAGGTGGGCTGATATCCATTACTGTCAAAGTGGGATTGTCTATGTCACTTCCTCTCCTCCGCATCCGTCCATCGTCATATTCTGGAGCAAAAATACTGCTCCCACTGCTTGTACTCAATGAATGATCAGTTGGACTGAAGCTAACTGGAGACCGTAAGCTGTTTCCCTGGGTCCTTCTAGCCCTTGGAAAAGTTTTACGACCTGTAGAAGCAAGCAAGGAAATTCTATAACACAGTACCATGAAACACAGCATTTTACTGGAAGGAAATGACAGCAGGATATCAGATCTGTAGTAATACTAAAGATCTCAGTAGCAAACACAACTTTTACCCATTCTTCCATTTGCTGCAGCTCACTGCAAACCTGCTTTGTTATAGCATAGGAGGCCTTCAGGGCAAAATCAGGAAAACTTTTATCCTCTCCTCCTCTGCCAAGGGTTTTGGGAGCCCTTCTATTCATGAAATCCAACCCATAATAATTATGGCATGGAAAATTACATATTACTGTGCAAGGTCTAGCAATGTATTAGCAATATATATATATATTCTCTCCCTTAATTATAGTTACCTCTAACTTACTGCTTCTTCTTTTCAAGTTAGGAATATTTGGAGTGACATTCAGATGTTAAGGCTGGTTAGTAAGCAGAAAGCATTGACAATGTTGCCCAGATACTTTAAGAGAAAAATCCTCAGCAGGTGACATAGCTCAGCTTTCTGTCTGCAGTATTTTAATTATTATGCTAAAAGACATCAGGACCTATCCCATTTATGTTGGTTCTGAGGTACATTCCACTGGAAGTATGTCAGCAAAAAAAGAAAGGAGATGGTTTTTGGCATCACAGAATGATTTTTCTCCCATTCTCCTGGAGTAGTTAAGGGGAAACAACACAGGTTTGTTGTTTCCCCTTAACTCACTCCCTCTTTGCTTCACTGATAGAAGAATCCACCAGATCAAAGAGACTTGCCACAGTACAAAAACACCCTATTAATTTCAAAGGGCTTACCTTCAGAGTAAAAGTACATAAGATTGCAACTTTTATTTTATCATGTTTGTGTTTTATTTTATTTGTAAACACAACCATTTGTCTACAGTGCAACTTTAAAAGTTTTTGTAAATAATTTGTTACTATAAACCCATCACATATGGTTGAAAATACTTAAGTTAGATCAACGATTAAAAGACTCTGCATTTCCAAACTTGGAACAACTAAACTAGGAAAAAAATCGTATTTCAAATATTTCAAACACAAAAGAAAATTAAAGCTGTATCTCTTGATTTCTTGTAAAACATGCTATTTTTCAGATAAAAGCATTCACCAAAAGTAAGACCCCCAAACTCACCATCGTTGTAGTCTTGATGATGGTATGAAATATGATACCTTCGAGGGTAAGTTCCACCTTTGCCAAACTTCTCAATTATTGGAAGGTCATAATCTGAAGAAAAATTATTATTGTTTTTTTCTGAGGAAAATGTTAACTGACTTATTTAAGATGACATAAAAGGCTTTGAGCTGTTTCTCATATTAGCTCCAATTTCAAATCTGAAAAATGTGCGTATCTTTCAACATAGAAAAGTGAAGTATTCTGCATATAGAAATCATTCTTGATGTGTGGGCAAAACAAGCATTCATGTTGATTTTCATATACTGTACTTAAACTTGTTTTAGGTTATTTCCGGGTCCCGGAAACTTTCCTGTTATATTTTTATCTTTGGTACCAGACAGTGATTAACAATTTAGTGCACAATGCTATGCACACTATGCAAACAGAAATAACTCCAACAACATAGAGGGCTGGCTCGCCTGTCAGGATAAGCCAGGCTGAAAACAAGCCATGGTTGGGTTGCTCACTAAGCCACTCTGTTGACAAGAGGGGATCAGGTGCTTGCTGAGTTGCCATGGTTTGCTTCTCCTTCTGTCATCCGGACCACTCACCAGCTTTCGGTACACAACTCATCTGTACTCCAGCTGTGATAAGATTCTCTTTTCCCCCAAGCAGTTTATTGCCTTGCAGAGCAGATGCTTTGAATATATGGCATATGAAGTGCAGGGCTGGAGGAGGCGAGAGCTTACCTTAATTTTTAGGGTGAGGTGGCCAAGGGTTTATTTTATTTCTTTAGAACTTATACAAATCCTTTTGGCTGCTCCTTATAGTCAGGGAAGCACAATGGTCCTCAGCCTACCACAGCTGTGCATAGATGAATGATTGACTGACTTCTCTGTAAGACTGCAAACTCTCAATTTGAGACTATGGCAATTCAGAAGAGAGAATTTAAACTCGTCTCCCTCCCATTTTCGTGTCAAAATTACCACTTCCTACAATGGGAGGCTTAAAAAAAATAAGATTAAAAAAAAAAAAAACTTCCCTCTGTGTGTGTGTGTGTGGGGGGGGGCTTTCCTGAAAACAGGAGGGGGAAGACTTAAATCTTCCATCATGAACTGCTGTGGTTCTGAAATGAGGTCATGCACACGTAGCCAAATGGAAATCAAGCATATATAGATGGATTGCTGTGCTAACTCAGCTCACAAAGGAATAAAGCTGGCCACTGACAAATGAAGTGCTGATCTGGAGGAGGCTGACTGCAGGCCGTTGTGAGCAGCAGGTTTGGTTTTTTTGCTGTTCTTGCCAGGTATTTTTGTAACCCTTTCAAACAAACCATGCAGAACGCAAAATGCAGGGAAATCATTCTAAACAACCCAAAGCAAGCAATGAGTTCTCAGGGTGGGTTGTGTGTGATAAATACTTATTATTAAGCAATACTCTTTGATTTAGTCAGAACAAGAAGTTACTCTGAAACAAGCAAGAGTGGTACCCCACCATAGATTGTCATGTCCCATGAAGTAGGTCATTAGGTGGAGAATGCTAGATGTCATATTAATTTTTGCCTAAGCATCCAGAGATTGTGCCCTTAGAGCCTGGGAACAGTGACACACGCATTGGTCACTTCCCGATTAGACTGCTGTATCGCGCTCTATGTGGGGCTGCCCTTGAAGACGGTCCGGATACTTCAATTGGTGCAAAACAGCCAGGCTGCTGATGGGGACTGGGTGTTGTTCTCATATAACCCCAGTCCTCCGTAAGCTCCACTGGCTCCCCGTTGAAGTCCGGGCCCAATTCAAGGTGCTGGTTATCACCTACAAAGCCCTGAATGGCTTAGGTCCCGGGTACCTAAAGGAGCGCCTGCGTCCATATATGCCCTCCCGCCCCTTGAGATCGGTGGCAGAGGCCCTTCTCCGGGAACTCTCCGTGAACGATATTAGGAGGGTGAGTACTCGGAGGAGGGCTTTCTCTGCGGTGGCGCCCAACCTATGGAATGCGCTCCCCAGAGAGGTCCGCCTGGCGCTGTCATTGTTTTTCGGTGCCAGGCCAAGACCTTTTTATTTAAACGCTATTTTAATTGTTAAGGTTTATTTGTTGATTTTAAAATAACCAGGCTGTTTCCACTATTTTATGTATTTTATTTATTCTATGATTTTTTTTTGTATTTATATGCTGAATTTTAATGATTGTAAGCCGCCCCGAGGCTTATGCGATGGGGGCGGCATATAAGCTGCCTAAATAAATAAATAAATAAATAAAATGATTTAAAGTGCAGGTCTTTGATTTTAAAGCAAACTCTCACCTGTAAAGACCACTTTCTGTCCTCTAACTATTGGACAAAGTTGATACATATGAAGAACTTCCAGAATTATGCTTATATGTATAACACTTCATTTTAAATTATATTCAATGTGCAACAATCCATTCCTAGTTCTAATAATATTAATGCTCTCATAATTTTTTTAAAAAGTCTATCAGTTCTTAAGCAGCCTTTATGCATAAAGAGCTAATGGATTTTAAAAATTAAGTTCAATTGCCCTTCTCTAAGACAACTTTTGGTAACTGTACAACTGCCTGAGTTGCTTAAATTTGGTGCAGTAACAGTAACAAAAGTTTTAGAGAATTTTATTTTCTTTTTGCTTTTCACTGCCATGCCATTGCTTTTCATTTCCAACCTGTAAAAAATATTCCCTTTTTGCTGCTGTACTACTGAAGTTCAGCAGCAAATGGGCTGCAGGGTGTGTGCGCACTGGGTTTGTAAAAGAACAGACAGGGGATCTTATTGTCTGACCTGGTCTGCTGCATCTTCATGAGAAGGTGCTCTTTGGTGTTGAATAGTACTTTACTATCTTAAGCATCTGGAAGATCAGAAACCTCTTTATGATCTTACATTTCTAATCAATGCAAGCAAGTATCTGAAGACCATGTGCTTAATATTCCATAGCAGAATAAATTGTTTGCAGCTAAGCAAGTACAAGATCTGTCAAATTATTTGTCAGCTGTTCACATATACATGCAAATCAGAAGAGTGTCCTGGAATTCTAAAATTATTTCCCTTTTTCCAATTTAAATCAAATCTGGTACTAATAAAAGAGGAATGATTTTGAACATCTGCAATAGGGATGATAGGGACTTCAATAAAGTATTCGTAGCTTCTAGCTATGTGTCATCTCTGATTGATATATACATTTACCAGTTTTTCCAAGAAAGGTATATATTGGACTTTTTAATGTTCATGCATTAAAAATACATATAGTTCATAACTGTACTCTTTGCATTTTCGGTACTTTTGTTATTAATCCTATAGGCTTTGGCTAAGATAGCTAAATAATACTTTAACTTTATGCATGCATCCAGAGGCACATTAGTTATAACAGAAGAGTTCTTAATAACACTGAAAACTGCCCACTTGTTTTACCCACCAGAGAATTCTTGGTGGTTATCTGGATAGCTCTGTGCTCTTGGCATCCGGGACTTGGGATAGCTGTCTCTAGAAGCACAAAACATTGGACTATTACAGCCGTGTGTATACAGCCATCCGAATGCAATTAGATTCTGCAGTGAGTAATTTTAAACACAACAGAAAGATGTCCCTACCCGTCTAAAGGGCTGTCAAGTGATGGGCAGCTTCCGGATCCAGAGTTTTCAGGACTACTCAGTGACAATGGATCTAGAATCTGGAAGAGAGCACAAGAGATTGACTGAAACTCCACTGTATTGAAGGCAGTGTATTTGGGAGATATTGTTGAGTCCCATGGATTCTGCAATATGAAGTTTCACAAGTTTCTGCAGTTTGAAGTTCAATTGTGTACTCCATGCTGTATAAATCTGAGTGGGATCATCAGGATTTTGAAGTGGATTATCATCAGTATGCTCATGACCTGCAGCTCTATTTCTTCTTTTCATCTTCATCAGGTGAAGCGGCAGATGTGCTTAATCAATGCCTTGTTGTTACAATGGCATGAATGAGGAATAATAACTTGAAACTTTATCCAGAGAAAAACCAGATACTGTTACTGGGTGGTTCTTCTGATCACATGCAGGATGTTCAACCTCTTCTGGCTGAGACTGCATTCCTTTAGAAGAAACAGGTTTATAATTTGGGGGCCTGGAGACATCATTGTCACTCGAGGTTCAGGTGACTTGAGGTTCTATCATCTTCAGCTGCTGACTCACCTTTGCTCATACAGTAATAATCTGTATTTGGTAGTTTATGTTCCAGCAAACTCTAAATTGGATACTATAATGTGTCATGCATGGAGCTTATGAAGAAAAGCGACAGCTTGCACAAAATGTGGCAGCCAGACTGAAAATGGGGAACAGAAGGTCCCAACATATAACACCAATTATAACCCATTTATACTGGATACCTGACCCTGACTCAAGGTGCTTGTTCTAACCTATAATGCTTTACATGGTTCAGGAAGACAATATCTGACAGAGCACCTATCCTGGTATGAATCTACATGTACAATGCAGTCAAAATCCCAGGCACTCCTCTGAAGGAGGCTTTGAAGTTTGCAACAGTGGAATGGGCCTTCTCAGTGGTGATTCCCCAACTATACAATTCTCTCTCCACTGAGGGCCACCTGCCAGAACACTGGCATCTTTAAGACTGTCCTCTACCGCCAAGCATTTGACAGCTTGTTTTGGTATTTTAAGGTAAGTTTTCTCATGTATCGTCTTTTACCATACAAATTTTAAAAATGATTTAAAGCCTTTATGTTTTGTTTTGTAATGTTTGCAAACTGCACAGAGCGCCTGGCTATAAAAAGGTATAAAAATAAGATAAATAATAGCATTAAAACAACAATAATGATAGCCCTTCAAATGGTACAATAGAAATAGACAAATATTTTCAAATACTCTTTGTTTTATGATGTTTGGTGTTCTTCACTGCCACAAATACCCTCAAAAGAATACAACTTCAATTAAGGAAAGTGAATTTGGCTTTCTAGATATTGTATTATATTACCAAGTCTATTTGCTGACGTATACTAAAAAATTTTTTGGGGGGAGGGGGTTCTACTCAGATTAGATTTTGCACCTGGGTCAGTTTTGGACAATATTGTATCAGTCACCATTCTCACATGCTACATTGATCTTATTGAAAAATTCAGACCTAAAAATGGATAAGAAAATATTCTTATGGCAAACTTCAAAGATAAGTTGAATTTTAAACTTTGAATCAATTCACAGAGAAAGATGAATTCTTGTTATTTTCTAATTTGTGTGCCAAATATGATTTTTGCCTTTGGTGGCTGAGTGATAATGTGTATAATTGCAACTTTTGTTGGAATCTCTGTTCGGCTTTGCAGCTTTTACAGCTTCACTGTCTCCTCAGCTATTGAAAATACTTATTGAAGGTGATCAGTTATACCCACCCACAATTTTTTGAGAAGACTTCAGATCACTGCCATACAGAGAGAGTAGGGAGTTTTCCCAATCAATTTTTCTGCCCTCCCAACACATAGGGTAACACTGCATCACTGTATAAAGCCCTGAGGCCCAAGGGAAATGCAATCCTCCTGAGGGCAGACCTTGTAGAATTAGAATTCCTATTAGCCCCTTGACTTTGTACCAGGTTTGCTAGTGTACTGGGATGATGGAGAAGGAAGGTGGTAAAAGATACTAATAGAGCAAAACTTGCATGCTGTAGCCCCTTTCATCAAAAGTAAAAACAAAGACAGCCCTTACTTGATCTTCTGGAATGAACTCGCCCTCACTGTTGATACTGGTAAATGACCCATTCTGTGCAACATCATGCAGGTCATCTGGAATGTATCCTGGAGGAGGAGAGCTTCTGTCATGAGTATAATAACCTGTTGATTTTTAAAATAAGTGATAAAATTTTAAATATCCTTTACCATTTATCTGCCTGGTTTAAAATCAAAGAATGTGACATTTCTTGGCATAATGCAACAATCTGGTGTAAGTTATTTAAGCCATGATGAGACCGCAGCTTGTGTGGTCACCATTTTGAATATATAACCTCCAGTCAGACATTGTTTTTAACTTTTGCATGGGCTATGAGTTAAATGGCACTTGCATGATCTACAGCATGGCTCCTCAAACTAGGTTTTGAAGGTGGCTTGCTCATTCAAGAGATTGTTTTGAACTTGCTCGGAAATATCCGAGTGAGCAAGCTGCCACCTTGCCACATGTGCTCATGCCCACCACTGCTGCCACATCACTGGCCCGTGCCCGCCACTGCCGCCTTTCAACTGGCCCCCTGTTGAAAAAGTTTGAGGGCCGCTGACCTAGATCATTAGCTTCCACAACGTTGTTACAAGATGTGCCTCCTTCTTTGTCCCTACTAGCTTACCCAATCTGGTGATCAGAAAATTGTTCTTCCATATCATGGGCTGTACCCCTAGATTATTTTTCATCCTGTCCAGGAAATATATTTGTCCACTCCTTTTGCTTGGTCCTCCTTCTCATTCCTGCCTCTTATTTCTCTTCCCATGGCACTAATAGCAGCAGGAATTAGGTTAGGGATTGTGTAAATACTTCTTGTAAACACATCTTGTGTTTTACCTTTATCCTGCCTTTCTGCTTTCCTGCCATTCTTTTCCTTTGTACAGTTTTGCTTTATCTCCCTCCTCCAACTCCTTGGCATTTCCTCCTCCTGCCTCTGTCTTATCACTTTCTTATCCTCTTGCCTGAGTGCTGCCTCATTAAATAGCATTTCTTGCCACAGTCCCCACCCCTGGACTCTGGTTAGCTGAGCAGCATCTCCCTACTACTTCCAGGATGTGCCACTTCGTAGTTTGCCTGGCATCCTATAGTGATCTGTAAAAAATGGGATATTATACAATTCAGGTTACATTCCCTTGCCCAACCATTTCAGAGACGTAAAAAAAAAAAAAAAAGTGTTACCTACAGTCAGTGATATGCTCCCAACAAGAAGCATGCAATTTTTAGGAAGGTCTAAGTGAAACAGAAAGCCATTTTTTATAAATGTGCATTGCACTATAATTTGGCTAAGCTGGAAAAGGCAAGTGAAACGGCCTACTCCATCTTGCAATCCATTTTTTAAAATGCTACCTTTCAATTTAGACAAAAAGGTCTGTCAGCACAGCATGCAACTCAAAGCAACAGATGTATTTCCAAGCTCAATTCTAACGAGATGATAGAACTAAAAATGGAGTATAATGCAAAATATTTCATTGAGTTTTACAAGTCATCCCAGGAACATGAAACTGTGAGAAAGATTAGCAGCTATGCTGTGCAAAGACTTATGTTAAGTGAATAAGCTATACAGAAAAGTGGGATACTCAAGTAAAATGTACAAAATACAGATTCATACAGCTGCTGGGAAACACTGAAAAGCAACAGAATGTACATATTTCAAAGATACATGAAACCATTCTCAAGCTTTCCAGAGGTGATACTGAAGCTTTGACAAGTATGTTTTGATTTATAATAAACATAGTCACAACACAGTGAAAATATTACATTGAAGATGTGCTCACATTCATTGAAGTTGCAACAAAAATCAGGAAGTAGTTGAGTGTACTAAATTTAATGAAGAGTCAAAATGAATGTCAAATTAGATCTGTATTCCACACACTGCTTCATGTTGTAAATGAGATTCTTCATGAAAATGTTGGCATTATTACGAGCATTCTCTTACATTATCACAGCTTGATTTCTACCCCACAGTTTTATATCCACCTATCCATTTTATTGTACCATACCATCTTATTTATCTCTTGAGAAACGTGTATGTGGGTCAAGAAGCAACAGTTAGAACTGGACATGAAACAACCAATTGGTTCAAAATTGGAAAAGGAGTATGGCAAGACTATATTTTCACCTTGCCTATTTAACTTATATGCAGAGCATATCATGCGAAAGGCCAGGCTCAATGAACCAAAAGCTGGAATTAAGGTTGCCAGGAGAAAAATGAACCACCTCAGATATACAAATGATACCACTCTAATGGCAGAAAGTGAAGAGGAACTAAAGAGCCTCTTAATGGGGGTGAAAGAAGAGCATGCAAAAATTGGCTTGAAACTCAACATTAAGAAAACTAAGATCATGGCATCCGGTCCTATCACTTCCTGGCAATTATATGGAGAAGGAATGGAGGTAGTGGCAGATTTTATTTCTTTGGGCTCCAAGATCACTGCAGACAGTAACTGCAGCCAAGAAATTAAAAGACACTTGATCCTTGGGAGGAAAGCTATGGCAAATCTAGACAGCATACTAAAAAGCAGAGACATCACCTGCCAACAAAAGTTCGTATAGACAAAGCTATGGTTTTTCCAGTTGCAATGTATGGTTGTGACAGTTGCATCATAAGAAAGGCTGAATCCTGAAGAATTGATTATTCTGAATTGTGGTGTTGAAAAAGATTCCTGAGAGTCCACTGGACTCCAAAGAAATCAAATCAGTCAATCCTAAAGAAAATCAACCCTGAGTGTTCTTTAGGAGGACACATACTGAAGATGAAGCTCAAATACTTTAGCCACCTAATGAGAAGGAGGGACTCAGTGGAGAAGACCTAAACGATGGGAACGATTGAAGGCAAAAGGAGAAGGGAACAGCAGAGGTTGAGGTGGCTGGATGGGGTCACTGGGGCGGTGGGTGCGGGGTTGGGTGGACTCTGGGGGATGGCAGAGGACAGGAGAGCCTAGAGGAATGTAGTTCATGGAGTCACAACTTTGCGACTAAACAACAACAACAATCCATCTATCACACAGAAGGTAACTTTGTCTCTTAATGCTGCCATTAGATATTGAAAACTTCATCTGTGCTAATGTGCAAATCTTACTTTGAGAAAGAAATGTTAATTTATTTAATGAAATTATATAAAAGAAACACATATGATCTGCAAGAAGGAAAAGCAAAGGGAAATGCCAGGGTTTCTAAGCCCTCTATTGAAATCTTAAAATGTATATAGATTAATGAAATAAGCTACATTATTGCTTATTATATTGTAATGAGGAGGCTGTATTTTATATGCCTTTTAATGCTTTTTATTGGAGATGGTTTTCCTACAACTCCAGTGATTTACTTAAAAATGCATTTTTCAGTTTCATCATTATTTTACTAAAGACTGAAACTAATAATGCAATACGTAGCTAGTTTGTCTATTTTACTGTGCTAATGAAAACATATTCCTGCTTTTCTTTTACTCTGGACATATTTTATGGTTGTTCTGAGAAATGCCTTGACTCAAAAACCTAGACACCACACACTTATATAATACAGGAAATATGGGGAAAATTTACATGGTTGTCATATTAGAAATTGAACATACAATAGATACAGGTTTTTTGCGAGGTTTTTTGCAAATGGGGCAGCATATAAATGTTCCAAATAAATAATATATAATTTTATGCAAGAAAGGAGGCATCTTACTACAATCTGTAGCCATTATGGTGATTGCCTCACTAATCTTGTCTGCTCTAATTCTTATTGACTGTGAGGTAAATGCATATGTAGGGACTGGCAAAATTGAAGGAGGCTCAAAACACAGCTGGGGGGTGGGGCTGCAGATGCTGGGAACTATGCAGTTTTAAAGAGAAATACCCATACAATATGCAGGAACAGAAGCCCTAACAGTTGATGCACATGATTAAAAGATATTTAAGAAAAGCAGCTTAATAACCATTTCTTTATTGTAGTGAGTAAACTCTGAAGTTCTAGTGAATTCAGCTACAGAACTACAAAACATCCAAACCACAGAGGCCCCACAGTAACAAGCAAGATCAGCCAAGCAGCATAAAACAAAGTAAAATATAACCAAGAACGGAGCACAAAACTACCATGGTTGTCTACTTAAAGTAAGAACTTTGACAAGTTTCATCAAGGAGTCAAATAGGCCAAGAATCTGGGAACCTTTGCAGACAAGTCTTCCTACAAATAGCTAGACATATAATAAGTGTCTACAATTTTTGGCTGGCATCTCTGGCCAAGTTCATCCCCACTGCCAGCTGGACTGAAGCAAGCAGCTCCACTGAATTGCAAAGAAGTCTACCCCAACTTTTCTCATTGGAAAGTCTGGAGAGGAGCATTCCAATTTCAGCCACTATTCAGCTAAGAAGTTCAGAGTTCTTCCGCCAAGCAGCAGGATCCTCTCCCCCCACCTACATCTCTCCTCTAGGAAAGAAAAATATGGTGCACACAAACTTTAGCAGCTGCTCAGTGGTGGAGTTCAGAGCTGCGTCATAAGCAATTACTTCAGGATCCTCCCTCTCTCACTGCACACTTCTTTCTCCTGCAGGAAAGAAAGGGAAGAGCATGCTCCCCCATCTCCAGCGATCTTAGATCTATTGCAGGAGACTCATGCAGTGACTCTCACCAGATGCTAATACTGCATTCACCCTGGCAAAAGTAATAATTGAAGCTTATATTTAAACCTTTCCAAGTATCGCCACCTTAAACACGAGAGTTGCTTTTTCATAAACCAGTGGTTTGTAGTATAAGTCTGCCCCCATCTATTGGTTAATTTATTTACCGTATTTTTCGCTCTATAAGACACACTTTTTCCCCCTCAAAAGTTAAGGGGAAATGTCTGTGCGTCTTATAGAGCGAATGTGTGTGTGCCTGATGCCCAGGACGCTGCCGGCCACCTGCACCACGTGGCACCACCCGGCCAGCACACGTTTGGTGTGCCCTGCTCCACCCCGCCCCCCCGGCGCAGGTGAGAGCTGTACCGCTCAGGGGGAGAGGTGTGGAGGAGTCGTCGCGGGCTTTAACCCGCTGCCCGCCCAGAGAGGCGGACTGCTCACCCCCACCGCCTGGGAAGACCTGCCGCTGCTGTGCTGCCTGGAAGACCACCGCCAGCACGCTTCTGGCCCCACGTGGCACCACCTGGCCGGCATGCACTCGGCACGCCCTGCTCCGCCCCCCCCCCCATTATTTACTAGTAGGGCAGGGTGGACATTACTGGCTTTTTTAGATTTGTTATTGAATTGTCTGCAGCAGCTCTTGTATAACTGGTGTAGATTGTGGATTCCTTCAATAATTCCACTACTGACTAAGAAAGCGATGTCAGTGATTGTGAGCAACAGAGCTACATAAATTCTGACTCTAGTGGTGATGAGTTCTATGGGTTCAACAAAAACTAGAAGAGTACTCGAACTTTAAAGTCTCTCTTTTGTTAATGACAGCGATGATGGTTCTTAATGCCACTGTTGACTGCTGTTCACTTTACAAGGTTGAAATACGGTATTACTGTATTCTGTTATAGTTTATTAAATAGTTTAGTAAACCATTTGATTCAGAATATTTTTTTCTTGTTTTCCTCCTCTAAAAACTAGGTGTGTCTTATGGTCAGGTGCGTCTTATCGAGCGAAAAATATGTATATTCTACCTTTTTCCAAGCACCTTAGGGAGGCAAACGTAGTCCCCCCACCCCCAAATTTTATGCTAATGATTAGCTTATTAAGTAAATATATGAATGGTATAGTAAATTACTGAGGGAATGTCTTCTCCCATATTTGTCTAATGGAACAAGAAGTTCCTTATTTGAGAATTATTCCAGATGCCCCCGTCAAATGGGGCGAGGTGAGTGATCACAAGAGAGAGGCCTTTTTAGTGGAGGTGCTCACCTGTGAGAGACTCCTCCAGGAAGCTTTTCTTTTGGTGCCTACAATTTGATCTTTCAAGTTTTTTTAATTTTCTTCAGTCAATTTTAGGAACTTGTGTTTTTGAACATTTGCTTTGTTTAACATGTTTCTGGGTTTTTCTTTGGTGTTATTATACACTGCTGCATTTTTATCCAACTTGTTTTATTATTGTTTTATTGCTACCTTTATTTTGCTTTTAACTTGTATACTATGCAGAGTTGGGAAGTTTTAAAAAGTAATAAACACTCAAACATTACCTATTACAGAAACTCGGCTTTTCCTTTCTGTCACTCTGAAAACAGTATTATCTAAATCTTCCAGTGATGGTCGGGGCTCCATGTTACCCTGGGGGTGAAATCATAAAGATGATTATTTATTCCTAAAAAGAGTAGGGATTTAATATACTAATAAAATAAGCAAGTTCTTTTAAATATTAACAATATTTTTCTATGCCATTTCTCAACGAAAATGCTTGAGAAACAAGTAGGTGCTGTTTGCTCCCAAGTCCAGACAAACTCAGAGTATTATGATAATGTTCAAATTACAAAAGCATCAAGAAGTCGGGTTAGATCCTGACTTGTCCTACTAGTCCCAAAAGGTCTCTTTCTATTCACAGAATGAACTAATTTTCCAACAAGGGCTGTCCTCTGGAGGGAGGGACAGGGTGGCTGTTTTTGCTAATCCCCTCTTCCACCTATACACAACCCTTACACAACCCTTGTGCTGTTCCAGAGGTTCTTCAACCTGGCACAGCAGCTTATGAGGGACACAGAGGGCTGCAACAGGAAGGAGAAATTGGTTAAAAATGCTATACTTTCTCCTTCCTCTGGAACAAGCCAAACTCTGCTGAGCAGAACTATGAAGCCAACCCTACATGTACAAAAATCCATTACATACAAACATGCACATACCTGTGTGTTTCCATGAGCAACAAGCAGTATCTTGAGGCTCTTCATATGAACACTTCGATCAAGGAGCTCTACAGCTTTATCCAAGTCATCCTGGGTAGCTAACGGGATCACTAACTGCATGGGAAAAACACACAGAGATTAAGGTCACAATATCCACAGCTGATGTGTGTAGTTAAAGTACAACAGTATCCCTGGCCTAAAGGATTAAATTGACCAGAGCAGGACCCAAGTACCTTCTGTGGATAACACTGGCATAACTTGACTGGCAGCAAGGCTGAAAGGAGGAGTGTGACTTGGATATGAGCATTACAGTGAACTGGCTATCAAGGAACAGTAGCCAGAGGAGCACTGAGCTGTGCAAGGTGCTGAAATTCAATCCACTATGCTCTTCTGTCTTTTACTCAGTTTCTAAAGTTCCCCCAGACACAACAAGTTCTTTTATAACCAGATTATTTTTAATAGTCAAGAGAGTCTTAGGACCCCAAATTCTCTATAAGATATTAAACATTAAATATGCGAGTTTTCTTCTAAAAAGGTAAAGGTTTCCCCTAGTCATTAAAGTCCAGTCATGTCTGACTCTAAGGGGCAGTGCTCATCTCCGTTTCCTAGCCGAGGGAGCCAGCGTTTGTCCGCAGACCATCTCCATGGTCATGTGGCTGGCATGACTAAAAACCGAAGTGCACAAAACGCTGTTTACCTTCCCACCAAAGTGGTAGCTTTTTATCTACTTGCATTTGCATGCTTTCGAACTGCAAGGTTGGCAGGAGCTGGGATGGGCCAATGGGATCTTACCCCATTGTGCAGATTCAAACCAGCGACCTTTTGATCAACCAGCCCAGCAGTTTAAACCACTGCGCCACCTGCATCCCTAGTTTTCTTCTAGATAAAAATTATTTGCAGATTTCTCCCAAGAAACCTAGTAAACAAACAAACTAGGCAGATTACATTACCTGCTTGCCACCGTACATTGGATCTAGCTCACCACCCAATTGTCTGAACCAGCCCCGTGTGTAGAGAATGCCGATGGGAGGAATGTTTACTCGCAAATGAACTGATCACATTTGGATGTACATACTTTCGTTTGGTAGGATTGCCCTCTGGCTTAATATTTCTAACATTCCACTTCAAATACTATTATAGTTTTAAAATTGTTTTTTTGGCTTCACATGATACAAGCCTAAAGTGAGAAGGAATGTGAGCTTTCAACATCACATACACATGTTAATAATTTCAGCTATAATGTCGCTTGGTATTTCACTCACTGTGCACAAACTAAACACAAAAAATATACAAATCGGGGAAACATATTTAAGAGGTCCTAATGTTTCAACTAGTATTCAGATTTATTTTTTGTACACAGTACTCCATCTCATGGAAGCAATGTCAGTTTCAGAGCAAGCAGCAGGCATCTAAAGAGTGCTAACTAGAGCAGCCAATAGTAATAAGAAGGGAGACTCAGTTCCAGGAAATAGATTCCACTGATCTTCCCAGAAAGGATAAAGAAAAAGCATTCTCTTTAGTGTCTGGCTCTCAATAGTCATAGTCAAGTTAAAATTGGCTGCCTCTACAAATGGTTTTGTTTTCCAAGCTTGGCAATAATGATATAATTGGAAGAGCTCTCATCTGGTTTAATTTTAATTGCTGCCTAGTTACAAAGATGGCTGTGTCTTCATTTTCACACAGAGGCTACATTTGTATAGAACAGTAAAACAGGATGTTGGTTAATCCTGGCTTAAATGAATGGTATGCTTCTAATTGTCTCCTTCCATGAGCAGTTAAAGTAATAAAAATAGAAATCTTTACCATGGTGTCCAAATCAGGGCTACCCTTTACAAACATGGGTTATTCATGGTTTACTATTGTTGGCTTTTTCAGATACCAGGATCAGCTTGCATTTCTGGTTAGCAGCAGGAGCCAAATGAGAATGAGTGGACTGGAGACATGATACAAATGTGTAAAATAATGCTTGGTGTGGAGAAGCCGGATAGGAGACATGTTTCTCCCTTCTGCAATATTAGAAGCTGGGGCAATCCCATGAAGCTGGTTTGTGGGAAAGAAAAATGGAAGCACTTCTTCACATAGCACATAGAACTGTGTTAAGACAGCACATAACTAAATTATGAAATTCACTTCTACAAATTTGTTTGGCTACAAAAGGGTATTAGACAATTTCATGGAGGATAACGAAGAAACCAATAAGGATCAGACAGCATTCCCAATGGCTATATGCTACCTGGTACTACAGTCATGTCCTACTTCTAGATTTCCCACATGTACTTCATTGGCCACTGTGTAAACATAATGTTGGTGCAGAGGGACCTTTGAGCTGATCCAGCATGGCTCTTATGTTCTTGTAAGTGATCTGCCAACGTTCACCAGCTCATTCAAAATAAAATATTCACTGAAAGACATATTACATCTAAATATTATTTGACATTAGGAAGTGGAATGGAATGAACAGTAGAGCTGTTCAACTGTTTTCAAAGCAAAATGCCACATTGTTAATTGGAGTTTACTGCAAACTTTAAAAGTATACCCAAGTTTGGTTGCAATTACATATTTCAAGGCTATTCAATATTCACTTTACCAAACCCACAGATAGCTTTAGAAATCATTATTTTACCTCGTTATTGCTATAAAGCAAATTCATAGGCTGTCCAAAGGCAACTTTAGCTTTTGATGCAAGATTTTCTAGCTTGATAGGTCTAGAAAACTGTAGAATTCTGTAATACATGAAAATAAGTGGTTATGTATTACAATGATGGAAGTTAAGATTTTCCTCATGAAATAGCAACATCTAGGAGGAAAAACCAACTTTTTATAACATTTGGTATCTTCTCTCAATTACTAAACCCTGTGGGATGTATCAAATAGTTGTGCAAGCAAAAGGCAGCTCACACAGTTCTTTCTCTTATCTTCTCCCCTTTCCTCAGGGGACCTCCTGAACAGTGAATATGCCATATTGGGTTGAAGTTGGAGTAAGGAATTGCCTGAAATCAGGCAGAGGAATTTTGTGCCAGTAGGTGCACTGGATACAACCTTACTATGTACATACATTGCTGACAAGAAAACTCAAGAAGAGCAGCAAAAACGAATAATCCTAAATTTGGAAAACTGAATCCTGCCATGCATCTGGTTGTGACCAGATACTGCAATATTCCAGCTGGGGACCAGGCTCCCTGTAAGTCTGCTTACTCTCGTATGAGCCAGCTTGGCAATTCAGTCTTCTTTGAGGCCACTTTCACATTGGTGGTTACCTTTATGGTGACTAGGTAATTCCCTCCCAAGGAAGTTTACTTCCTTTTTGCTGCCTTTCTCCAGGCCAGCAAAACAGCTTTATTCAAAAAGGCCTTTAATCTCTAAGTAGGTCTTTTGGATTAGGTGCTATTTCTTGCTTCTCATTCTGTTCTAGGAACACAAAAAGCAACATGAACTGCTATGGGACATTCATCCATATATTTGCATGAATTTTAACAGAATACTTAGATTTCTGTTCATGAAATATCAAGATTGGCCGAGTGTCTATTTCTCTCAAGTACTCTACAAAGCTGTAAAATATTCTGTATGGATTCTGGAAACTAAAAAGGGGTTCAGCTGAAGTCATGAAGTAGCAAAAGTGATATCAGAGTGGATTACTATGTTTACCTTTTCTCTCCTCGATGTTCAAATTTGACTCGGATGTCATTCTGTAGAAAAATTATACATATGTATCAAAACTCAAAATCAGAAGTAAGTAGCATTTGTTAATGAGAGTTTCCAAGTTTTCCTCCCTAGATTACAGAGGGTCAACACACATTCCCACATATTTGAAACAACATTCTTCAGCAATGGAAAAAAAAATAGGAAGTGGGAATTTGGGAAATGCGTTACCCTAGCATACAGCACACATCTGTTTAAGATCTGTTCTGCTACACTATATCCCTTTCATTTTCCTCCTAATTTGGAAAATATGCACACCACAAGGTGGAACATTCCCAGGAAGTGAAAATCACACACTTCAAATGCAAACACAAATTCTTCACTGTGTTAGACAAACACATTACAGGATTACCTGCTTTTTCGGTGAAGACGACTTTGTTTTTCCCGTTTCTTGCAGAGGCAAGGCAGGACGACTTGCCTTATGAAGGACTGCCAAATCTTGCATGATTGAATTCAAAGCCTGCTGTTCATCTGTAAAGAGAGATGTCACTGAAAGTTTTAAAAAGCCTTTAGCAACAAGTAAGAGTTAACACTTTAAGAACTACCTCCAATAATACAAGTAGGATCTGAAGATGGATCAGATGATAATATCTTCACTCACTAATTACGTTGATCTCAAGACTCTCCAATATTATTACATGAGCTTCTTTGAATTCTAACTTGCATTATTAGGGTAGTAAGCGTCTGAATCATTTGCTGGAAAGCAATCTACTACATGAAGTATCCCACTAATGCAACAATTTAATTGAAAAGCTACAAGATCTCTTCCCTATCCCAAGAAGCATTACTGAAGACAACTTTATAAATAAAATGTAAAATATATTAATTAGGATATAAATTAAAGATAAAGACTAAGAAACAAATGATACAATCAGCCCACAGAATACATAAAAGAACAGAAAAATATTTATATATTAAATCTCCTGCAAAAAAGGAAAGAATAACCAGCCTATATGTTCTAGCCTAGTGGTCCCCAAACTGTTTTGTGCTACTGCCTCCTTCTCTCTTGGGCAACAACCCTAGTGCCCCCATGCCTGTATCCACATCCTGCTTGGCCAGTGGGACTAAACAGTAATATTTGGATTTTTCAGACCATTTTGATATGGAATTTTTTCTGATGCTAACTATGCTACCTTCCATAGGTTCATTTACATCAGAAAACGACTAATTTAGCAGATATACTAGGTACAAGTAAAATAAACAAAGCTAAAACAGTACCCTATGTACTGTTACTTAATATACTGCAAATATGAGACATGAACTATTTGTAGAAAAAGTTCAAGCATACTTTGGGAGCAATCTAATTCAGATGCCCATAGTCCTCCAAAATCAGAGCATTATGGTAGCCCTATCCAGAGTGGAGGGAGTGTGCTGCCAGGATAACACCTATTATTGAAGCTGTGACAGTCTCCTCCCCTCCCTGCCCTGAGCAATGCCACGAGACCCTTTCTCAGAGGTCATATTTGAGACCTTGAAGTAACAGTGTGGTTCTTTCTGCACTGGTTGTGAATGAGGGAGGGTACTCTTTTCCATTCCTGCTTTTCTAGGTCTGTCTTCTCACAATGTTTGAATTGGTTGTTTCAATTCCCTTCCAGAAGATAAAATCAGGTTTTTAACCTGTAAAATGAACTAATCCCTAGAGGCCATCAATTATGCAGATATTTGTAACTTTCCTCACCGTATGAGCCTAGCCAACTCCTCACAAAATGCTCATCTCCATTTTAAAAAAAATGTCACCCACTTATTTTTATTTACTGAGCAGTACAATATTCTCTTTCTCCTTTCTGTCACACTGCTGACCAACCTTTTCCTCAGCCATGAACTAAAATTGCTTATGGATTATAGTGCTTGTGGGAAAGAAGAATGATGTCCTCATAAATTACAATGGCACAAAAATGGAACCTAGGTGTGCACTCTTGGGCCAAATCCTGAAGATAAGTGCATCTTTAACTTCACCATCATCAGAGGCCGAAGGTAGGGGACAATGTACGGTCGGTACCTTACAGATGAGGGAAATTTATATTCAAATCTCTTTTCAAACATTGGGTTTCATTGCATCATCGGTCGCTTCCTCATATCAATTGCTGGTTTTACAGGGGACAAAGTGACTCTAAGGACATACTGGGTAGCATCCAACATACTGTTAGGGGAAATGAAGTTGCACTAGAAGAAACTTGATTCCAAACTGAACAGAAAAATCCAACTAAAGTTATGTTTGTACAGTTGCAATAGTTGTACAACAATGTACATTCTTCTTGCTCAATGCATTGTACAACTGGTTATGTAACAGCTTGCACAACCAGTTGTGCCAGTTTAACAGGCAGCTTCTTGCGCAAGAGAAAGATCTGGCAGAACTCCAGTACCATTATTTGAGTTCTCAGAATGACACTCTTGGATTCTACCTACTGGGACCCCAAATGGACAGGTTTGTGCACTATGCCATCTCACCCTGGCAATAAGCCACCCACCATATGCCCACCATATGCCCAACAGGCTGGCAGTCTTACTATGCGTTGTCACCCCCTCTCCTCCACTTCAAGCATCACAGAAGACTCGTTGGCTTAAGTTGTTCTCCCCAATGCAATTAGAAGCTGCTTTTGCTCACCACAGCTATCCCACCATTTTCTCTCTCACCATTGCTTTTTGCAATGTCCATTTTGACAGCCACTGGTCATGCCAAAGCAGCACACTGGATGGGCTGTAAGTGGTCTACCAACCTTTTAAAACTTACTTTTGCCTATCTCTCTGTGAAAAAGCATGGGCAGCCTTGTTAGAGACAAACCTTACAAAGGAAGCAATATTTTGACAGCTGCCTATCAAACATCTGTGCTCCACTTAAGAGGGGGTGGACTTTACCTTTCCATCCCATGAATGGGTGGAAAAGTTCAGGGCACAAGGGCACAAAAAGCTCTGAGGATTCCAATGCCAGCAAAGGATGAACCATCTTTTCCTGAACAAATATCACTTGTATCTCTGCTTGGAATTGTCACCCCACACCTTGACAGTTACCGGTGCAAAGCCCCAAAACTTCCAATTGGAAGCCTCTCTAGGTCAATGTCTGTGGGAATCACCTCCTACTTTTGATAGCAATTTGGCCACAAATGTTTCAAAAATAAGTTAACAAAACTATCCATGCATATTTGGTGCATAAAAAAGGGGTGGTGAACTATTCATAACACCTCCAATGTGCTATCCTGGCCCTTCAGAGGGGCTGTCAGTGACTGTTCAAATTGATCATGAAAAGCTGAGGAAAAAGAACTTTATGTATGCTGCTTTCAGGGCCAATCTATCTCAAAGTATTCATAAGACCCATAAGGAATAAAATACCTGTAACCAATATTATTTAATACTAAATCTTACAAGACATCAATATGAAATCATTGATTTAATAAGTAATCATTAATGAATTATATAACTTAAGTTATAATTATATTAAGAAGTCCGTTAATATGCCATTAATATTCAAATTAGCATTAATATATGGTTTAATATAACTCAAAGTAGAATCTCCCAATATTATGCTTGCATATGAAAATCCTTTTTGGGCTAATTTAGAGAGCACGCATGGATGGAAAACAGTAGCTCAGTTCATAAAATTACAAGCAATCCCTAATTTAATCTAGCAATATCTTATAGCAAAATAGCCCAGGAGTCAGCAACTGGAAGATGCAAAGCTATTTCTGATCCCTAGCAGTAGGGGCAACTAATGCATTAGAAAAAATGGTCTGGCCTGCTTTTATAATAGTTTTAATTATAGGTGAGCCTATCAGTAGATGAACCTGTCTCAACTTGGAGACAGAATCCCTGAATAATGATGTCTGCACATCAAGTCAATGTTAAGATGCTGTCTACAGAAGTTAGTCGAAATATTGGCAATGCTAGCTAGAGCAAATTGTGTTGCTCCATAAAAGAGGTTTGCCTGCAAAAGCAGCATCGATAGCAAGAGAACATGCCAGGAGGCAGTTTTAGCCAGGGAGGAGGGCAAGATATGTTATTAAGCAAAACTAACTGCTGATTAGAGCTATACAAACATTTCATACTTAAAAGGACACTCATAATTTCCCCCAAATTAACTATCCTGAGACTGACACATTTGTGTATTTGCAAATTGTAATACATACACTTAAATTATCAAGGTTTTCCCCTTATTCAGAAACTTCTGCATTGAGCCCTCTATTAAATTCAAGAACTCACCCATAGCGGCAGCCAGCCAGCCAAAACCGAAATTCAGAAGAACGGTTCTCCCATTAGAATCCTTTTATTCTCTCTACAAATGATAAAAAATGACAATATTGAAGTGAATACACAGTTCAGAAAGGATTGTTACTGTAGGCACCCCCGCCCCTGATCCCAAGTACCACTGCCCAAATTTTAACCACAAGAAGTCACTGATGGAGGGAAAAACAAACATGGCAGTACTGAAAATTAGCTACAGTTCTGCCATAACAACCCCCAACAGCCTTGTCATGGGACTGCTTTGTCTACTTTATTAGATACAGCAGAAGGGCCAGAAATGCAAAGCAATGAACTAAGCTGTAGTTTTTCTTGGATTATCACAATCTCAAACCTCAGTCCCCATTCATAGATGTCCACTTTATTATGCAATGGAAACATGTATAATATTGATATGGTCAGCAGAATAAGTTTTTGTTTATGTTTTAAGCCTTGTACATCTTAAAGCATATACAATAAAAGTTCAGTAATACATTATTTATTAAGAACTTTTATCTGCTGTCCCTTATGCATGGCATCTCAGGACAGCTTACAATAATTAAAATCAGAACACAACAAAACAAAACAATACATACCAATATAATAAATAACATAACCAGTGAAAATAAAATTAAATCAAAAGCGAATGGTGAAACATTATAGTTGAATTGCAAAAAAAGTGGTGACTAATGAGCAAGCAGTAGGCTTGGGTTGCCTGGTGCATAGGAGTAGGCCAGCACTGGTAAAATTTAAACGGTTCTTTATACAACAAATTTCAGAATTTGACACCATCAGGAAGTCAAGCAAAAACTAAAAACCCCTTCTAATAATTTGGCTGCTAGCTATTGTATGGTCTCAGGGCGGAACACATTTATCTGGCCTTACATAGGTTATGCATCCATTATTAAAGTGCTGACACTGAACTTTAAGGTCCTACACAGATAGGACTGTATTATCTCAGTGACTGTGTGCTCCCCTATGAAGCTACCCAAATTTTTAAATCAGCTTTGGATGCCCTGCTCTTTGACCCATTTATACTCAATGCCTTGTGGGCATCAACCTTTTCAGAGGCTACAAACAATGATAGAACTCCTTCCAGGTAAAAATTCAACAGGTACCTGCCCACTGTTTTTCACTGCCAAATAAGCACATGTGACTTCAAGAATGCCATGGGACTTTAGTGGACAGAATGACAGTTACAGAAACTCATGGAGCAAGTGATTGTTTCATACCTAAATTTGTGATTCTAAATGAAATAAAAGCCAAGTATAGCCAATCATGTACACTGAAATTTAGGAAAACCAATTTTAATAAATTCAGAACAATGATAACTGAAGTCTCATAGCAATGAAAAAGGAGTGCAATATGGGCGGGGATTTTTTAAAAAAGGAAATTCTAGAGCACAATTACAAATAATTCCAGTAAGGAGAAAGGATAGAAGTCAAGAGAAAAGCCTAAGTGGCTTCACAAAAAGCTTAGAAATGATCTGAAAACAAAAAAGGGAATGCATAGAAAGTAGAAGGCAGGCCAGGCTACAAAGGCAGAATACAGGCAGGTAGCATGGAATTGCAGGGATGGTGTCAGGAAGGCTAAAGCTAGGCATGAACTGAGAATAGCAATGCATGCGAAAGGCAAGGAAAACAGCCTTCTTAAGATACATCCATAATAAGGGAGTTCAACTACTCATTGTGGATGGAACTATGATAACAGATAGTTTGCTTCAGCCTTCTCCCAAACGAAGAACTACAACCCTCCTGACAAAGGTATAGTACAAGCTGATGGGGCAGGATGGAAGGTCAAGATTGTCAGGCAAATGGTCAAAGATCTTCTAATTGAGCTAAATGAGTTCAAATCTTCAGGGCCCAATGATATCCATCCCAGAATCATGAAAGAGCTAGCAGAAGAACTCAAGGAAATCACTATCAATCATCTTCAAGAATTCATGGAAGACATAAGAAGTTCCAGATAACCAGAGATGAATTAATATTGTCCCTATCTACAAGAAAAAAAGAGGAACCTGTGAACTATATACCAGTTAGTCTGATATCAATCCCAGGAAAAATTCTACAGCAAAATAGAAAACAAACCATCTGCAAATACCTTGAAGACAACGCATTAATTACTAGAAGCCAACATGGATTTCGCAAGAACAAATCCTTGCAGACAAATCTAATGTCATTTTTGACTGGGTAACCTCCCAAATGGACTGTGGGAATGCTGTGGACATAATCTATCTAGACTTTAGCAAAGCCTTCGACAAAGTGCCCCATGACATCCTGATTACCTAACTAGCAAAAAAGGGCAACCGTTAGTAGATCCACAACTGACTGCAAAAATGGACTCAAAGAGTGCTCATCAACAGCACATTCTCAAAGGGGAGGGGAGATGACAAGTGGTGTGCCACAGGATTCCATCCTGGGACTAGTGCTCTTCAACATTTTTATTAATGATTTAGATAAGTACAAGGAAAGATAATTAAATTAGCAGATCACACAAAGCTGAGTGGAAGAACAAATACCCTGGAAGATGGAGATAAGATACAGGGTGATCTCAATAGGTTAGAACACTGGGCAAAGAGTAGCAGAATGTAATTCAATAGGGACAAATGCTAAATCCTCCACTTAGGAACAAGAAACAAAATGTACTTCTACAAGATGGGGAGCACTTGGCTCAACTGTGCTGCTAATGAGAAGGATTTTAGAATCATAGAAGAGTTGGAAGGGGCCATGAAGGCCATCAAGTTCAACCCCCTGCTGTCCAACCCCACAACAATCTTGTAGATCACAAGCTAAATGAGCCAACAATATGATGCAGGTGCAAAAAGGGCAAATGTTTTTGTTTTGTTTTTTTTTTAATATCCTGCCTTTTTCCTACAAAGGGCTCAAGGCAGCTTACATCATTCTCCTCCTCCATCTTATCCCCACAACAACCTTGTGAGGTAGGTTGGGCTGAGAGTCTGTGACTGGCCCAAAGTCACCCAGTTGGCTCCATGGCTGAGCGGAGACTAGAACCCAGATTGCCTGAGTCCCAGTCCCATGCTCTTAACCACTACACCACACTGGTCAATGTTATTTTGGGCTGCTTTATAGCAGAAGCATCACTTCCAAAAAACATGAAGTACTAGTTGCACTATACTCACCACTAGTAGACTAAGCTGGAGTACTGCATCCAGTTCTGGGCACCTAAGTTTTAAAAAGATGCAGAAACGCTAGAAAGGGTACAGAGGAGGGCAATAAGGATGATTCAGGGACTGGAGGCAAAACCCGTTAAGAAAAGATTGAGAGAACTAGACATGTTCAGCTTCAGGAAGAGAAGACTGAGGGGAGATAGGAGAGCACTCTTCAAGTACTTGAACGGTTGTCACACTGAGGAAGATGAGGATCTCTTCTTGATCACTCCAGAGTGCAAGACACAGAAAGATATTCTTAAATGACAGCATACCAGGTTTTGGCTAAACATCAGGAAGAACTCCCTGACTGTTAGGAGCAGCCATCAGAGAGGGATGGTTTAACTTTGAATCCTGCACTGAGCAGAGGGCTGGACCTTATCACCCCCTTGGCCCTTTCCAACTCTACCGTTATATTATTCTAAGTGACCTATGGTTTTACTGAGATTTGTTACATTGTTTTTGCTGTGTTTATTAATGTAAACAATGATATTGTAAAACAAAAAAAGATTGTGTGATTTTTGTGTATTTGTATTGTAAGTTATTGTATCTATTACATTTTTAGACTGTAATTCACATTCAAGCTGGTGTACAAGTAATTTAAAAATATGAAATACAAAAATAAAATAATGACAATAAAGTACCACATGATAAAACCAGCGGCAAGGATAAAAACAAGGTGGCACATAATAAAATCCAGAGCAAGGACAAAACACTTTAGAGATCTGAAAAACTACTAAAACTGTTCCTAAAAGAAAAGGACTTCAAGCAGCACCAAACAGACAATATGACAGAAAATGTGATATATAGTAATTAGAACATTGTTCTGAGACTCAGTAGATCTGGGTTTTAGTCTGCTCTCATCCATAAAGCTCACTAGGTATGCTAATTTTTCAGACTAACTTCACAGGCCTGTTATGAGAATAAAATGGAAGTGGTGGTTGTGTAAGCTGTCTTGGGTTCCTTGGAAAAGGTGAGGTATTAATGTAATAATAAATCAAGCAATATAAAACCTAGATGCCAGGCAAATGTAGCTTTGAGGGGGGCACTCTACAGATGGAGCAGAATTATTTCTTTTAGCCATTCACCTTGCATCATTTTAATAGAAAACTGAACTATAGATATTAAACTAAACATAAGTGGTATACTTTTAAAATGTGATTAGATACTTCATGTTTATAAAGTATTTTAAATTACTATAAATATAAATGATTACCTAGTTAAAGAACATAACAGATATTGAACCTGTTCACAGATCATGACAATGCACCAAAGTTTTAATCAACAGCTTATTTATTTGTTCTAAGCTGTCCAGAGACGCATAGTGATTGGATGGGTTAGAAATATCCCAAATAAATAAATAATCTGCAGTGGAAGCCATGTTGTGCTGGATGGCACTTGTAGTTTCACATGGCTTCATAAGCTGGGCAACCAGGTAGCAGGAGCTGTTTGAGGGTTTGACACATCTTACAAGTAAACCGACAACAAGTCATGGGTTATTTGAGCCTTGTCTGATCCTTAAGCAAAGCCTGCCACCCAGGCTTACACAACACAACAAACCACACCAAATTGGATAGTTGCAAGTACCATGAAAAATGGCACCCAAAGCAACCTAGCATAATGCAAGAGTCCCTGTGGGTAAACTAAGCCATGGGAGGCTATTGTATTGTGTGAACCAGGCAGTGAACCTTAAAAGAATTGTATAATATAAATCACTACTAGCTCTGGCCTATATTACAGATGAGGTGGGGTGCTACTGCTGATGAGAGAACAGATTCTTGGCTAAGACTTTGTGGCAAGTTGCCAATCACTATTTTACTCCTCAATAGTAATCAGTAAAGAATCCAAAGAACAATATCCTAAACATACTGTCCTTTTAGCAGGAAAAGCTACTAAGGTACCCACAAAGAGGCAGCAGGGAGGATTCGGTAATACCTTTTTCTTAGATTTATGGTCATGTTCCTATCTCCTTGCATAGAAACTAAATTTTGAAGATAAAGATGCTAAATTAAGATAAATAGCAGAAATATTTCTAAGATCAGGTAGCACCTATGTTGAATCTAGAAAATTCTATGTTCCTAACAGCTTTGAAACCAGCTTCCTTGCCCAGTAGATTCTTAAATAAGCAGAAACTGATTTGAAAGTCTTGGTAGTCTTTGTCACAATATATGAAATGAAAGCAATTATTTTTAAACTGTTAGTCTCTTTGTAAGCTAGACATTTCATAACACTTACACAATTTCATTGCACAGATGAATACTGCCCTAATCTGCACTCTAATAAACCCATGATATGCCAAATTGTGAGGCAGGAGACCCCAACCTGTAACCCCCAAGCTCCTTATGTGTGGCCCTCCATCCCGCTTGCTTACTGTGTCACCCTCAAGTCATTTTTCCTTAGACCCACACTGTTCTTGCGGCCTCAAATGGCACCAGCTACTGCTGTTTTTCCCATACCAAAAACACAATAGCAACCTTGGTTCTTCTGGTCTCCATGGATCATTCTGTCTTGGTCCTCCATACTAGCATTTTGGTCATTCTGGGTGCTTCGCTTGCTAGCACAGCTCAGCTACCCATTACCACTCAGCTGTTTCACTCTCCCTCTCCATGCATTACCATGTTGAAAGCTACGTATGTGAGTAAAGAAGATAAAGCAGTTATTGGAAACAGAACTGGGTTTTGGAAAGGCATGAATGGTATAGTGAAATATGGAATGTGGTAATTAATGATAAACTGACAACAGAAATAAAAATTAAAAAAGGATTAATGAAAGCAAATGAATATAATGAAATTTGGAAAGATTTTGTAAAAGCAGTACTGATAGAAGGCAAAGGCTGTAAATCCAATCAAGATTATATGAATTTCTGGAGGGGATATGGGTATAATTGAAGTATATTATATATTATTGTTATAGTATGTGTATGATGGTAGTATTGGTATCAGGGGTGGGTGCACTCTTTCATTTATTAATTATTGTGTTCTTTTTATGTTATCACTGTTGTGATTGTATTTATGGTTTTTCTCCTGTCTAAAAAGAAAAAAAAAAGATAAAGCAGCTGTGTGGATGGGTGCAAGAGATGTTTGGCCTGCCCTTGCAAAAAAGGCAGAAAAAGGAGAGTAAAAGGCTGGTATTTTTGCAAAAAGGATGCAAAGAGTTTTGCATACTGGGCAGTTCTAGAGGCTCCACCCATCAAGGTTCTTCCACGTGGCTTCCAAGGTTACTGCTACAGGCAAAATCATTCTTCCTTCCTCAACAAGAGCTGGTTACTCTGACTTTTTGCCTTGCTTGATTTTGCCTCTCTTCCTTGTCCACTCCAGCTAGGAGTCTTCTCATGCATCTGTGATTGCAGGGGCTGGTAAGTAGCCCGTTGGGTTGAGAGGGAAGGCTTACTCTCATAGCAGGGAAGCTTATGGGATTCCCCTTCCCACATCTTCCTCCCGCAAAGTGCCCTTCCCCCGGCTGCCATTTTGCTTCTCCTGACAGGCTTGGCTGGCAGGCAATGATATATACACATCACTGTGTATGTACCCTACTTATAATTTGAAGTCAACTCAATGGCATATCCTTTGTTTCAGGTGGGAGACTTCCCTTTCATTCACACTCTCTATACCCGCTCTTTTTTGGAGGGCTTCCAATTAAAATATATTTATATATATTAGTATGGGTGGATTTGATGAGGAAGGGGTAAGTTAGACCCCTAAAACTATACTTCTCTTATTTTTATATATTCAAAGAAACTCTACAACTGCTGCTCTGCTAAAAATTCTGTAAGATGTCTGCAAAAGAAAGTTCTGTTTCAAAGAAATGAGAATCTGCAGATGAACACTGTGTCTTTCATGACAAATGGACTACTGAGTGGACTACTACTTTGTTTTAAACAAGGATAAAGGATAAAGTCACTTCATGGATCACTGCCTTGACATGGCAAAGGGGCTTGTGTAGTGCAATGAAGCTATGAGCTATGCTGTGCAGGGGCACCCAAGACGGTCAGGTCATAGCAGAGAGCTCTGACAAAAGGTGATCCACTGGAGAAGGAAATGGCAACCCACTCCAGTATCCTTGCCATGAAAACCCCATGGACAGTATCAACAATGTTAAGGGGTACTTTAAATCCTGTCACAAGAGCTAATCAATATATCAAGGAGAGGTGCAAGTGAACAAGATAAATTCTCTTTAAAAAAATCAATGTTTTTACAGCAAAATAGTTTTAGAAAACACATTGAGAACCTGTCAACTGTGAGGGCAAACTATCACATTGCTAAATGTATTGCTGAGAGTGGTAAGCCATTCACTGATGGTGACTTTGTTAAGGAGTGTGTGGTTAAAGTAATGGAGGAAATGTGCTCTGATAAGGTATCCTGTGTAAGTTGTGTCAGTTGATCTGTATCTACAATCAGCAGCCCTTCTGAAGAACTAGAAGAGTTGCGTATGTCACTGACTGTCAGAGCAAAAAGTTTTGATTTTTTTTTCCTTTGGCATTAGATGAGAGCAATGACATTACAGACACTGCTCAACTACTAATATTTATCGGGGGCTAGATTCCAACTTCAGAATTATGGAAGAATTCTGTGTGTTGCAGAGTTTGAAAGTCTCTATAACTGCAGAAAACAAATTCTTGAAGGTATGTGAATCAGCAGAAAATCTTGGTCTGAGTTGAGATAAATTGAAAAGCATCACAACTGATGGTGTAAGAAATATGGTAGAAAGTAAAATAGCTGCAAGAATCAGTGAAGAAATATTGAAAATAAATTTCACTACATCATCCATCAGCAAAAACGTGTAGTAAGATGCTTCTGTGGGAAAGGATGGTGTGTACAGTTGTATCCTGCATTAATTACATCAGGCATCATGACCTTACTCAGAGTCAGTTTCAAAATTTTCTCTCAGGGATAGATGCAGAATATGGAAATATATTGCACCATGCAGAAGTCTGGGGGCTTAGCAGAGGCAAAGTCCTCAAAGGTGTTTTCAGTCTTCATCATGAAGCTGATGTCTTTCTCAAGGAGAAAGGGAAATGTCAAGAAGTACTTTCTCACCCTGGATGGATTTTTTATTTGGCTTTCTTAACTGACATCACAGAGCATCAGAACACACTGAACCTAAGGTTGCAAGGAAAAGTAAAGATTCTACGTTACCTGTATTCTGAACTGAAAGCTTTAGAAGCAAAACTAAACATTTTTTGTGAAGCAAGTTAGTGAGAGTAACTTTTCAAACTTCTCATGCTGCAATGAACTAAAATTGAGAAGGATGGGAATTTACAATTCAATGTTGACACACCAAAGCACTGAACCTGTTGCAGGTGGAATTACAAAAGATTCACTGACATAAGCATGAAAAAAGACATAAGAATGTTTCAGAATCCATTTGAAGTAGCACCAGAAGATGCTTTTTTCAGATGGAACTAATGATTTGGAAACCAGTGATAATCTCAAGAGACATTTACAAAGGAAATAGTCTGTTAGATTTCTGTTGTGGTCCACCTGATATATTTGGGTAATACACATATTACCTAACGAATTTTGCTGCAGGAATGTTCACAGTCTTTGGCATCACATACATCTGTGAACAAACTTTTTCCAAGATGAAAATTGTGAAATCCAAATGAAGGTAAAGACTTACAGATGTATATTTACATGATATTTTAAGGGTGTCTGTCACAAACCTTGAGCTGGACATTAATGTCTTAGCTAACAAGAAACAGCCACAAAAATCACACTGACTGGTAAGCATGTGCAGCTACATAAAAGGATTCAACAGTAAAATATTGTTCCAAAATGGATTGCATTCAAATTAACATTTTACTGACTCTGAATGTTTACTTTTGACCTAAACTGGTAGGTTAATAATTGTGTTACAGTTTGATTTAAGATGTGTCCCTCCTTAGACACTGGGCACTTTAATGAGGCCCCAGAAGGTTGGGGATCATTGTTTTGAGGTGTGCAAGAGCTGCTTTCATTCTGCATAAGTATCTTCCTATTAGCTTGAACAGAGGTTGCTGCATGACATGTGAAACTGGACACCAGTGGATGTTTGTGAGTTAAGCAACCTAAAGTTGACACAAGATTTATTAACTTATGAAGTGTCCGGGTCTTCCTGTTCATGCAAAATGAAAGTAGTTTGCATGTGGAATGCAACCTGGCATGTGAACTGGACTTACTCATTTTTATAGTACAGGTAAGGAAGGAGGTGGTATTCTGGGATCTTCTTAGTAACAACTATATGATGGAAAGTCAGCACACATACACAGAAATAAGAATCACAGCAACTACAAAACAAACAAGCAAACCTCAAGGAAGGTGAGGACTATATGAATGAAGTGTTCCTTTAAAGTTAAGAGAACACATACCAGAACTCAATGCTTAAAAATGTCTTCAATTGTGCAGTTAGTACCAGATGTGCCCAGAGAAATCCAGTAACAGAACTCCACTACATTTAGTAGAGAAATCACTATGTCTAAAGTGATTTAGTAGAGAAATTTACTATGTGTTTTAGTAAAATATATGCATCTTGATTATCTTAATTCTGCAGTGCAACACAAACTGATAAAGCAGATAAAACAGAGTAAGAGTTCCACAAAATTGAGAGTACTCCCGCTAAGCATCTGCATTACAGCAAATACAATAAGGTATGTATATTTAATTTTGTTAAAATGTATTTTACTCAGGAGGAAGAAATAAGAAATTACATACATGCTTTGTCATGAAATTATTTGTAAATAAATGTAAATAAAAGCAACAAAAAAGTGATTTCAGTGAAGTATGGTCTTGTGTACCCTTAGTGCCCAGGTAATAAACAATTTAATGGCTATTAGACCTATTTCATTAAATCAAAAAACCCTTGCTGATTTGTCTTTTTACCACTGAGTTACTCGCTTTTTATGTCCTATTCATAAGTGTTATTTTCAACAAAGGAGATAATTAAATCATATTACAGTTTCACTGTTTCTAGAACAAGTTTGTATTATCACTGACTTGTGCTGAGAATAGTCTGAATACTGAGCCGGTTTGCAACTTTAACATTTGCAAGTACTGCTTTTCTTTCCCAAAAAGCACTAAGTTGTATAGTCCTCATACTTCTCTATTGAAAGGAATATTCTGCAAAATATTGTTTTATTACAATATTGTGCAAGCTTAAAAGCATTTCCTCTTTCTTCTACATCTTGTTTCTCTCTCTTTTTGGTCTGATTACACAATTGAAAATTAGGCTGACTACATATGAAATTTGGGAGCTTGTTTCTGCTTAGCATAATCATACTACAAACAGAAAGAAATTTAACCATCCTCATTTATGTGTCATGCTGCAAGTGTAACAACAATTGTGCTATTGGTTGCATTCACACATTATTATTATTATTATTATTATTATTATTATTATTATTGCATTTCTATGCCGCCCCTTGCCGAAACCTCGGGGCGGCTTACAACATCAAAATTATAGTTTAGCACAATAGTTGCAGCAACCCTCAAAAGTGCTTGTGACCAGAAAGAGGAGTTTGGAAGCTTCAATTTATAAATAATCACAGCTTCCCATGCGTTTGGGCCCCAAAAATATAGTTAACCTTAACTGCAATTAGTTTAAACAAGCCAGCTTCATAAACCAGTTAGAAGCCTTGTTTGAGAATAAACATAGTTAATGTTAAACACAATTTATTAGTTCAGTCAATTTGAGAAGCCACAGTTAAACAAGACTCACTCCTCAAACTGTATAGGAGGAGAAGAATGGCACCTTCACAGGATTTTGTTCATGTCACACTAAAAAACACAGTTTTTTGTGGAAATGAGAACATAGCCACAGTGTGGCAAATTAGCTCTAATAATAAAAAGACTATACTGTTGCATCTTAACACAGATATGTCAAACTTAAGCAAAATCTCTTCACACTTGAGACATTTGTTATGTGCACACCCAGAAATTCAGCTTTTAAGCATTTCAATATTGCTGGTAAATCTTAGTTTTTATAAGCAATATTATGTAAGGCAACTAATAATGCATATATTTATTAAGTAAATTCCATTCAATTCAATGGAACTTATTTTCAGATATATATAGATATAGATGATATAGATATAGATAGGCAGACTCCAATCCTATGAGCACTTATATCTAAGTGAATACATTAATTCCTAAATTAAAGCCATTCAGGCTCCTTAGAAATCCAAAAATTTAAGTGATGGTTAAAAATCTGGTGTATTAAGACTATATGGCTCTGTAGGGAACTCACAGGCACAGAGAAAAAAATGACTTTTTTTTACCGAACCTTAACTTTACAATTAACTCAAAGCAACTTTTTTGCAGGTAGCCAGAAATGGTGGCATCAAAAAAAGCTCTTGACTCAAGGAGTTACTATGGCTCAAAAATAAATTACAACCCCAAAATATACATGCCCAATTGAAAATACAACTGTACTGGTTAATGTTCCTAAGGTATCAATACTGGTCATAGTCCACTGCTAGCCTTTATGTAGCCAAAATAGTATCATCTACCACTACCATCTTAAGACCCATAAGAATCCAATGCTGTTCATTTGCCAGCAAGTTCTACCAGTGTCACAGCATGAAGTTAGTGCATCTAAAAACACTTGTTGCTGGAAAGGAGCAGGTCCACATGAATGAAGCTCCCAGAAAGAGAACTCCAGTGAGCTGCCCCATTCCAGAAATGAATGTTTTGGCTCTTTTCCAGGTTTGCTCTAGGAAATGCTAGCTTCCTGTTTCACCAGCAATAGCTCCTGCTTGCACAACATACTCAGGCGACACACAGTGACAGTGCTAAAGACACATTTAATCAGCCAAGCCAGAGGAAGCCCAAGGTTTGCAGAAGCACAACGAATCATATGAAAATGCACAGAAGTCCAACCACCCCCACCAAAAAAAACAATCCAGAGAGGACTGGGTGTGCTTAGTGGACACAGAATGGCTGTGTTCACACATAACAAGAAGCCATGGTGGAAATCATGCAGGCAGGGCTTGCTGTGTGTGAATTCAGCATCTGTGGTAAAGCATGGCATGTTTGGTTTCCATGAATACCCAGAGAATCAGTTTGTTGCAAGATTTCCGTGCTTCACCATTGCTTGTTATATGTGAATTCAGTTACAATGCTTTCCTATGGTTTCCACATTTGCATCATAGAGTCTGGCAGCAGGAATGGCTACAGCAGCAGCAGACACTCCAGCATCCATTTTTAAATCTATTTATATCATTTTTATACTGCTCAATAGCCAAGGCTCTCTAGGCAGTCCATTTTTCATTGTCTTGTTCTGCCTAGCAACTGCTGTGGCAGCTGCACTCTGATTGGTTGCCCTGGGCTGCTCCCCCCCCACCCCTCATGCTACCTTCCTGATGCCCAGCTGCAGTTCTCAAAAATCAGGGGCAGCAGGTCATTATACTACACCACCTGTAGCAGCAGTGACCTTGGAGACAGGCACACCTAGCACTCCTGTCTGGTTGCTACAGTTTGCTCAAACACCACTTTTAAACTACAGTGCCTTTGCTCTACTGTTTGAGTCAGTGGTCTCCTCTTGTGAAAGTTGCCCTACTCAAGAGGTGCACACACATTGCTAACAAGGCACTTGCCTTGAGAAGCCCAGATTCCCCAGTGGCTCCCATCTGCCCTGCCATTCCTATCTTGTCCTTGGCATTCCTGGGGGCTGTCAACAAGCCCAGCTGTCCCCTAACCCCCCACAACAGCTGCACAAAACATTCCTGGTAGCCAGCTAGAAAACTTTCCTGGAAAGCTGCCCAGATGGATACCCCTGAGAAAGACTGACCAGCAAGAAGCAGTCCCTCTGTCCCTGGCAGCGGTGCTTGTGTTGATGCCCTCCATTTGTCTGGCTGCAGGGGGAATGCAGCCTGCAGAAGCATCTGTGAGTCCCGCAAACCAGGGTGTGTGAACACTTGTGCAACGGGGTGGGATGATGGGTGGGTATGTTGGCACAGAGCAAGGCAACAGTAGGGAGTGGTTCTGTAGTGCTACTGTAGAGCAACAGTGCTACTCTAGTGAGCGAGCAGTTGCAGAAAAAAACCAAACAACAACACACACAAAAACAGGCAACTGGCTGAGGCCATGCTCAGGGCACGCGTGGACCAATGAGGGAAAAGCAGGCAACACAGACAGGAAAAGTGCACCCTCGGATTGCATCTGAGCAGCACGGGCTGATAGGAACATACCACCATTTGGAGGGAAGTTGGAGAAGCATGAAAACCAGGCATGCACAGAAACCCCATGAATGAGTGAAGCCGGGAGACAAGGTAAGATACCATGCTACATAAATACTATGTAGCATCAATTAGTGTTGTGTTAATACACCCAATGAGTATTGTTGATGTGAAATGGAATGATGTGTTGTAGAAAGTACATGCTGACTGACTGAAACAGTAAACAGAAATGCTGTCAGGATCTGAGTTGCTCTGGGGCTTCACCTGATGGTCAGAACCAGAAACTCACAGGATCAATCTTAGGCCCTGCTGAAGCTTCCAGCCTCCTGATGAGTGCCACCTGGGAGCCTTAAATGAACAGCTATGCAAGAACAAGCTCCAAAGGCTAGACTCAGCAACACAGGTTTCCCTGTTGGCTGAAATGCCTACATCTTATCTGACCTGCTTCTTACCTCAACAACATGGGTCTTCTTGCTGGCTGTGGTTCACTTCCTACACCTAACTTGACCCTTGCTGCATTGCTTCCTATTGGATCCTGCCTTGCCATGCTGCATCCTGCCTGAACTTTGTTGTATATTTTACACTGCTGTATATCCTGTCTCAAGGTACCTGTACCTCTGTTTGCCTTTCTATTTTTAACTCTTGGCTTGTTCATGACCATGTCCTTGCTCTGTCTTGATACATATTTCTGGTTCCTGACCCTGGTCCATTTTGTAACTATGATTTGGACTTGCCATTAAACCTTGCTTTTGGACCTTGGACTCTGTCTCACCTCAAGTTTAGTTGTCCTAGTCCCAATGCCTGTCTTGCCTCCCATCATCCAGATCCCAGCCCTGGACTCTGACAAATAATCCATTGTACATTTTATGCCAGGTTCCACTTGTCAACTAAGTTGCAAAAAATAAAAGAAAAACTAGTAGTTCCTTTAAAGACCAACAAGAAGCAGCTTTCATGGCCCATTTCACAGATACATGACATTCATCCTCAGCTGGGAGATTTTATACACAGACGTAATACATAAACACTTTTTTTTGGCAGGAGCATGTAAGCAAGTAGGCCAGATTATCATGAAATGCAAAAAGGTCAGTCAGTGACTATTTTATGACAACCTTAAAATATAAAGCAGTATCTACTCAGGAGAGCAGTAATAGTCACTTATAGCATAGCTACCTAGATTATCCCATATTAATGTTATACAGTGATAAATTATTCAGTGTAAAATACTGTATTTGTGAAAGAAAGTTGAAGAAATCATGCATATCTTTTTTGGGCTCCAAAAAGTCAGTGTTAACTTGCCAAATTTTTTTAAAACTGTACTTCCTTGCATACACTATAAAAACTTTTATAGAATTGAACTTCTAGTGATTCTTTTAGTAATTCTCTTTAAAAAGCCTGAAACATAAACATCCTGAAGATGTGGTCAGTTTCTTTACGCTTTGATCTTCCAACCAACAATGTTGCGGCAAAGTTTGAGGAATTGCCTTGCCAAGTAGAAGCGGAAGCCAGAAAAATTCCTTACATGTTATTTCTACTCTTCACAACTTGGGACTAAAGAAGCCTAGTGTTCACTTTTTCCTTGCAAATACCTAATGATATGAAAGTCCCATTACTTAATACAGAAGAGTTCTAATCAAAAAGGGCCCAGATCCTTCAATTATAATCAAGAACTCATGCAGAGTGAAATTAGCCAGTTTCAAGCTATAAAGTTATGCAAAAATACAGTCACCAGCAACAGATTTCATCAACAAAATTCATTTGATCAAATCATAACTTTTTCTTGCTATACTCTATTTTCCACAACCACACACTAAAGTTTTTCACTAGCCAAGATGGCTACCAAAACTCACCAGATTTAATCATGTCCAACAAATAAGTTCAAGCCCCTTTTCCTGAACAGTTTTAAAATTTCAGTTTTTACCAACAATACTACACTGTATTTCATTCCAACACTAATTATAATCTGTTTCTTTAACTTTCTCCCTAATCTATATTAAGTAGTGTCCTTCTTTGTACCCAACACTATTTTCCAAGGTATCCTTAGATTCTTGCTTATTATCTCTGAAGACTGCCTATGTGCAAAGAAAGCAGATTCCTTGATTCAGTTGGCATCAATCACTGATTTTTATATGCGGGGGGGGGATGGATACAAAAACAGAAGAATACATTTCCTGAAATATATTCTGTTCTCAGCAGCATATCTGCATGTGTTCATTTATCTATCAATGGCTGAGAGACTTGACTGTGGATCCCAAACTTATTTTTCCCCTGAGGACACACAAACCAACTATGTAGAGTGGAAATTATTTCCATGTAAACATACCTTCTTTTTTAAAACCCACCCCCACAACAGTTGAACTCCTAAACACACATTTATAGCACAGTAAGTCCTAGGCGGTACAATAAGTCTCATTTCGGAGCAGACACCCAGACTTACATGGGAATCTTCCCCATCAATTTGCTCCTACTCTTACTACCTAAAACCGCCTCATTTTCCCCTTATGCCGCGATGACAAGTCGGGGCCCTCCCGAGTCTTGGATTCGCAATGCTTTTCCCAGTTATCACCACAGATAGGAACAGTGAAGCATAGCCACCCAAGCTGAAACTCCTAACGCACATCCCCAGCAGCTGTGCGCCTTTCCAGACCCTCGATGAGGCCATGACTTCCACCAATACTGGCCACTTACTTCCCCACCGCACCAAGCACCAGAATCGGTGACAGCAACACTCTCCATACCGCGCACTCTTGCATACCTGTAGGGGCAGAGGTCCAGGTCCGGGGTGGGGGAGCGTCTGTCCCCGGACGCCGAAGGGGGCCAGGATCCCGACTTTGAGCGGAGGCCCGGCCACTCACACCCCTACCCGGGCGAGATGAGGGAGGGGATGGCGTGAGCGAAGGGGGATAACAGCAGGCCCAGCAGCACCCTCCCCAGGAAGAAGAGGGGAAGCAGCACGCTTGAGGGGGAGGACAGAGCCCCCGAGGGAGCGAGGCGGAGGGAGGAAGGAGCCTCGCCGCTCGCCCCGCACCTCGCGCCACTGGGGGGCAGGGGGAATAAAGACGGCGGGAGTCCCGCCCCCCCCCCACCCCGTCGCCGCCGTCAATTCGGTCAGACCTCTCTCCCCCACCCCCTCTACGCTCCGGCCGTTCTTTTCCTTCTCAAGAGCTCCTCAGGCTCCGCCTCCGGCACGCAGGAACCCGTGACACAGTACGCAGCGAGAACGTGGCCGTCATGACGCACGGACGTCGTAGGAAAAGAGGCGTCGAAAATAAGGCGTCGGAGCTTCCGCGAGTGCGTTCTATGTGCACTTTTATGGTCTCGAGACATGAAAAAAATACGCTACTCCGGTTTGCCAGTTGGAAGCTGGTACAGGAGGCAAGGAGCGCATACAGTCGAAACTTTCAGAAAAAAATAAAAAAACGGAATCTATGCTTTTTCCCTAGTTGTCTAGCTAGGCGCTCTAGGACTAACACTCTCTATAGTTGCACGCACGCACCTTTTAAGAAGTAAGGGAAGGGTAACGCACTCGCGTTCAGAAGCAACTTCCGAGTTCCTTTAGCAGCAACGCTACACACGTACGTGGGAGTAGTGCTCATTAGATTCCAGGACTCTCTTGAAAAGACACTGCACTCTTACAATCGCAAACTTCAAAGTCCTCCTCAGCGTCGGTACTGCCTTTTCCGCTCTGAGATTGATCAGGATAAGCTTATAAAAGTAACATATATGAAGTAAGAGGGGCAAACGCGTTTACTGCATTTCTCCCTCTCGAGGAGTGGGAAGAAGGAGAAGCGGTCATAGAAAGCAATGAGATATCGATTTAGTGTAAGTGTCCTATTTCGCTCCAGATCCTACAAAAGGCAGCGGGAGGAAAAAGAAAGCGTATGCTATATTGATTTAGTTCTTTGTTGCTTCTTGTGCGGAAATGCGTTTTAGCTTGAAACATTGAATGTCCAATAGGTTTGTGTGCAAAGCAAGGAGCAAAAACCTTCTGTGTGCAACTGAAAGCTGGATTTGGGATCGGAGGGCATTTGAGAAGGCACCTTAAGTTGAAAAGGACGCTTTGTGCGGGAAATCTGGAATGCAAAATCTCAGTCCCGTCCCTTTTAACCTACAATATTAACAGTTTATCAATTGCTATTGTAAGCCTCAATAATTCCAAAGCTGCAGAATTAGATTACTAGATCGTATTATCTTTGGCATGGCCGTTGATTCAAAATAATATCATTCACACAAAGTAAGATCCTAATTTGGATGAGTTTTGTTGCTGATCCTTTTTGCCTCTGATTAACAAGCTCGTATTCGATCACAGCTATATAAAATTCCACCCATACACACACGTGTATAATTTCTATGCAGCTCTCCCGTAGAAATTATATATAATACAAGTAATTTTAAAAATGGCTTCTGGGGCGCGAATCCAAAAACTAGTTATGCAGTCTCCGACGTCTGTCGCTCTAATTTTGTTTGTATCTCGGTGGTTTTCAAGTAATGTTTTTCCCACATTTTGACCGAAGCGAGTGGGGAGAGTGAGCGCATGCGCGGGTTTTTTCAATTTTCTTTCTCCTCTGTGCCCCTGTAGGTTAAACCCGTTAACTCCTTAAGACGCCTACCATCAACTGGTATGTCTCGTTAACTGTAAGGGTTTCCTTTACGCCATTAAGTACTATCCCCTCGGATAAAATTGCAAAGCCCTCTTGGAAGCACATCTGTTGAGTTGTCCGCTGGTAGGTCCGCAATCACCCCTCTTCGTTTTTCTTTGCTGCGGGGCGATCGCTCAGCCTTTTAGATAGTGGGCTTTCATATCCGAAGATAGGTGGTTCGGATGGAGATACAACCATAACGTGAAAAACGAGTGCAGGAACTAGGCCGTGTTGCTCTTCCCTGGCTTGTTTCTGGGCTTGTTTCAGCTCCTGGATGCGGAGCCCGCCGAAGTGCACTATAAAACAGACCCTTAGTTTTTGCTGCAATAGTAAGCCAACTCTAAAAATAATAAACTGATGTTGCCTTATAGCATTTGCTTGTTAGATATTTAAGACTAGTAAGTGCACACCCTTGGTCTTCTATTACAATTGTTAGGCAAAAAGCGGGGTGGGAGGATGAGAAATGCACCTCTGCTAGGAGTGCGAACTTTAGGAGAGAGTGATAGAGCAGTTCATGATTAGTGCCAGAGATTGTAGCCCAAAGCAATTTTATAGCAACAGGAATTTTTAAGCAAGTAACCTGAGGTCTTCTAGTACAGGTGTGCTTTCAGATGACTTTATTGCTTTTGTATTCAAACTCTTTCTCACATGTGTAGAATCAGGTGCTGTTGCACTTTATAATAATCTTTAAATAGCATTAATTCGATTGAAACAAGAGTGGTTCAATGATATGTCACCCCATTGTCCTTATTGCAGTGGCTTTACTGGGCAGATTTCAGAGTACACAAAAACTTGTCCCTGCTTACATTTAAAGAATACTCTCTAGCCAACAGGAAAAACAAGCTGTCTTCTTGTAACAAGCTCATGAAATGAGGAAACTTTAGGCTACATCCAATGTGTGAGCAGAATTCCAACTTGTGAAGTGGGAAATTCTGTTCCCTTTCTCCCCAGTGCAGCTGCCTATGCTCTGCTCTGGAGGATCTGCCCTCTGGAGCATATTTTGGGGTAACAGGGACTGCAGGTGGAGAAAGAATCTGTTTTGCTAGACTTTAGAGCAGACCTGGGCATTGTACGGCCCGCGGGCCACATCCGGCCCGATGGCTGACCCTGACTGGCCCGCATGAGGTCACTGGCAAATTAAAAGTCAATGCAAATATATATCGTCGTCCAAGCCCAAAACAGACTAGATTTTTCTCACTGAACAACAACAAAAAAAAAAAGAACTGAGGTAATGCAAACAAACAAAGCTGGATGCATTTATAGGGAATCCAAAGGCAACTTGGATTGTTTTCTGTTTCTCTGTTCTGTTATCATTCTTAAGGTCTGTACCTTACTATGTTAAGCGCTGGGAGATTACATATGTTGTAAATGTGCACTATATAAGTAAAATTGAATTGAATTTATTGCTTTTCATGTAATGTTAATGTTTTTGTGAATAGTCATTAAATAGTTTTGTTCTGTGCTCCACATTTTCATTGTATCATCGTAATGTTTCATTTACTGTTTTTATAGAGATATATATTGAGCAGAGCTGTAAGTGTATTGGTCCGGCCCTTAACAACTGTCAAAGTTTCTCATGTGGCCCCATAGGAACATTAATTGCCCGCTCCTGCTTTAGAGGATGCCATTGTACTGGTGGACACACACTTTTAGATGCAACCCTTAGCCATCATTTCCTTCTTTGGCACAAGACAAGAGTGTTTCCCTTTCCAAAGTACAGAATGGACAAAAGATGTTCAAGTTACAGTTAGTACTGGTGTTGCTTACTTTCACTGAACAACCCAGAACGCAGATGTAAGTCTTCAGTTTATTATATACCATCAGTATCTGCCAACCTTGGCTGCTTGCAGTGTTATGGCAGGAAAATCACTGCAAAGCAATCGAAGAGCCCATAGAAACAAACTGTAGAAATCCAACCTTATTAATTTCAGTGTGGAGTGCCATCTGCTCCCCAACAACATTATTTTAGCAGGAAGAGTTTAGAGTAAAAAATGCAAATACAGAGGGCACGAGACCTTTTCACATCAAAACCATTAACAGCATATGCTGACAACAGGTTCTTCCTGTAATGTGTTTTGAGTGCAAGTTTGTATACTGCCATTCCAAATCATCTGAAATACATATTTATAACCTCAAAGGGGCAGAGTTTCTTAATATTGCAGTAAATTACTGAAAGGCACCATTTCTCCATCAACAGGAACAAAAGGGAATAGCCCCATTTTAAAATTTATAGTTTTGACGAAGGTTTTCTTGAAAGAATGGTCTTGAGTGCTTTGGCATTATCTCCATCTGGAGCAGGTGGCCACCTGTCATGATCTGCAAGAAAGGATACAAGAAGATTAGGTTATCTTTGAAAGTGAGCTACTGCTTTTTTTTTTTACTCTGCCATAGCTAAAGTAAAATCTTAATGAATAGCTTTGTTAAAGAGATTTTTTTCTTAAAGGTAAGACTAAAGGAATTAGTCAATTGGCTCAAACTCATCAAATGCCCCAAAGAAACTTAACTAGTACCATTTGATGCACGTGGACTGATTGCACTGCCTGAGCTTTTCCAGAATGCAGGACAGGGTGACAAAACTTTTCATGATGGAAGTAGTGGAGTAGGCATGGGGGACAGCTGGAGCATACAGGAACTGCCTTAGTGGAAAACTTGAGGCCATCCAGATGTTTTGGACTATTCCTATTAAACTATTCCTATTATATGCCAGAATCTTGGTTTATAATTCCATGTGAATGAAGACAAAACTAAGAACATAAGACTGTGAGCATACTTAATAAATTGCCATTTAGTAAGAAACAAAATCTTAAGTCAATAATTTCAGAACGCATGTACAGATCTGGAAAATCTAATATTATTCCTGGACAAGGATTTTAAATGACGTTAAACTCACAGAGTCACAGGTTTAACTGGTTAATTAAGGTATGACAAACAGCACTAGAGAGGCCACTTTTAAGAGATGTAAGGCATCTCAAGGATTTGATGTTCTGTGCCAGATTCCATATTTTGTACTTCATAACAGAATCATATTCTGAGGCTGCACTCCTTCATTCTCTAACACTATCTCTTAAACATTCAAGTGTTTACTACAGTTTTGCAGGGCTTGCTTTACCTGGAACTTTCCAAACAGAACTGTAGAGGCTCTGTCCACCATCAATTTTCACAGTTTCTCCAGTTATAAAGGAGGCAGCCGGAGAAAGCAGGAAACACACCAAAGAAGATACCTTACAAAGAATAAGGACATTTATTTTTTCATCAGATTCAATGTCTCCTATGCTATAGCATCTTGCACATATTCAATAAATGAGTGTAATGGCAAAATGGCACTGTAGAATCAGGCTTCCCTTACCCACTCGCCCTGTGTACATTCTAATGCATCTCTGCAGCATACAAACACTTTTATACACAATGAGAGCCAGTGTGGTATAGTGGTTAAGAGCACAGGACTCAAGTCATCTGGGTTCTAGTCCCTGCTCAGTCATGGAACCAACTGGGTGACTTTGGACGAGTCACAGTCTCTCAGTCCAACCTACCTCCAGGGTAGTTGTGGAGATAAGATTGAGCGCAGGAGGAGGAGAATTATGTAAGCCACTTTGAGTTCATATGAAAAAAGAGGGATATAAATCTAATAAATGAGATGTATATCAAAAGGGCTGGTACAGAACCTGCTGCTGCCATGATACCCTACTATAAGTGTTGCTTGACTGTATAGAGGAACATTCACTTCTGTTAGCTATATCTTGCCAAGGTGATCTCTCTCAATAAGGTGGGGTCAAAATACTAGGTTCTATCAAAATGTAGTTTTGCTCTACCCAAACGTCCTTCTAATAAGGTAAAACATGTCCTAATTTATTTCCAAACCCCCCTACTTGGTTCATCCCTCTGTGCTGCATCCAATATTGTTCTAGAGGGTCCTGCAACTCCAAGAAATGTGGCATGGGGCTACAATGGGTAGGAGGGATTGAGGAAAATTAGGAGCCCAGTGTTGCAGAAGTGGAAGTGGCTTTAGCTCAAAGCCAATATTGAACCACCAGCTAAAGATATAATTGTCCCAAAAAATAAATTGATGGAAGCTATTCTGTAAGGCCTGCTTACTGTCCCTTTCTATCTTCTGACCCCCACTATTTTAACCTAACATCTAGTACAATCTTCCCCAACTTAGTGCTTTTCAGGCAATGTTGGCCGGGGATAATTGGGATTATAGTTTAACACATCCGCAGGACAGCTGGGAAAAGGCAGATCTGGACAAAGCAATTTTTCTTATTCACACACTTGCTTCATTAATGCTTCATTTACTATTTCCAGAATTCAGAATATCCAGTTTAATAATACTCTTATTAAACTAATTTATCTGAAGTGGTTTGTAAAATCAGTTGCAATATAAAGTGACTGGCTATGCCTTTAGAAAGAAAGCCAATCTGTGACTAAATAAAATGCAATAACTGGCTCATACTTCTTCCTAGAAGAGCCTTTCCCCCCAGATTGGATTAATTTCACAAAATAAATTGCACAGCTGTTGCAATCATTTCTTTCCAAAGGTAGCAGGTCTTCTGCACAGAAGCTGTACCCTTTTAACACTGAAATCAATCATTTGACAATGGGGAAAATACAAACTCACACCCCAAAGCGCAGGTAAAGTATAAAAATGAAAGCTGTGTGGAAGGTGGCTGTGCAAGAGATCATGGACATATATTGCCCATGTACAATGATTGCCCCCGCAGCAGCCCCCACCCCATGGCCAGCCTTTTGTCCCAAGGATTGTTCTGGGTAATGAGTGATCAGTCAATGAGGGGGCCGCATCCATTCTTTTTACTACCTACGTTAGCACACAAGGATAAGCCACCCCTTCTTGAATGCTGAGATCGCTCTGGGGGTAGCGTTGCAATTTTTGCTGTGTTCCTGGCAGCCCAGGACATGAAAATGCTGGGGAAGAGGCAGGTGAGCAGAGCCATTCCAACCATCCCTCTTCCCCAGCGGCAGCATTTGGGGCAATGAAATTCAGCAGGGGGCACCTGCAGTGGGCTGTGCAGATGACCTCCATGGGCCATATGTGGCCTACCCATATGTAATACACTCCTTAATGCAGGAACCCTTCTGAAGTCCTTTCATATTATATGTATATGCAGTTTTGAGGGTAGGCATAAAACAAACAGTTCCATTCACAGCAATGTCCTAGTAAATCTTCCTTTTTAATTTAGGGAGTTATTTCAGTGTTATTGAGCATCTTCTTTTCAGCGCAGCTGCACAAATCCCCCTTAATATTACATATTACACGCAAACACACACACCATTCAGAAGTACCACCAGTAAAGACATCCCACTGCAAAGTCATTTTACACTGAATCAGAGGTAGCACAAGTGTTGTGAAGAAAGAAAAAGTCTAATGTCTGCTCTATTTCCCTGAAAATTCCCCTAGTGCCTGACAGTTAAGATACTGCTGTACCTCTTCTGGAACTCCTAATCGTTTTGCAGGAATTTTTTCAATGCTGTACATAAATAGTTCTTCGCCATCCTTGTAATTTGAAGCAGCTGTTTCTGAAAATATCACTCCCTGTGTAGAAAGGACACAGTCATGATAAGACTACATTTTGTATTATGCAGTAAAATAACCCAGAAGTTTTTTTTAAAAAAAGAAATTATGACCTAAGAAATAGAATATGGATATATTTATCTCCCAACAGACAATGCACATAAAATACAAGATATTCTGTTGAAAATCAATAGAATTTCCACAAGTATTTCCATACAAAATCCTAGCTTAATTCAATTTGCTTTTAATTCCCTCAAATAAGCAGGCCCTCATCCCAACAATGCATTGATCGGATTTGCACAACACAACAGTTTGCTGTGGCATGCAAACCCAGACTGATTCCCGTAGATTGTCTTGTTTGATGGCAACAAATGTCAGCTCATGGTGACATTTGTACATTTAAAAAAATAAAAAGTGATAGTTCTTTAGTGGCTGCCAGAATGAGGATAATCATGAGAGTTAGTGATCAAGTCAGCTTCTGGAATATCCCCCACCCTCAACACAGACACACACAATGGGAAAAGGGAAAAAACAAAGGGAAAAGGGAAAATGCCAAAGTACTGCAGCAGCCTGGGCATAGCTCTTGATAGCAGTAGTAGGGAAGTCAATTTGTCCCTGCTGCAATATAGCCCCTGGGACATATGTAATAAGGAAAGAAGGATCAACAACCTACAGTGAGCCCTATGTTCTGTCCCATGTACCACAGGTTGTCTGGCTAACAACTAGGTCTCCAACTTATTGCCAGCATGCTATTCACGTGTGACCTTTCTGCATTCATGCGATGCAGGGTTCCCCATGAGGAAATTCCCTTGCATTTTAAAAAGTACAACAAAATGCATAGACACAAATCAAGGCCTCTCTAGTCGTCTGACTCTTCAAGTACACAGAAATGCTTTGTCAAAAATTCTCAGAAGACTGGATGTCTGTGGGGGCAATTGGAATTCCAGTAGTCGGGGCAAGCTCAGTAACTTAAAGAGCTTGTTCTTTTTCTCCTTGATGAATCCCAATGGAAATCTTTATTTCTATATTCCTAGCCATAGGAATAATTTTCTACCATCATAAGATAATTGTTTTATTTAAACTCAATTCCTGTTTTCTTTGCTTGATGGCATTTAATATTTTGTATCATTTTATATCACTAGACTGTTGTGTGCTTTTTGAATTGCTGCAGGTGAGTGTTAAAGAGAGGTCTTGCCCTCAAGTTCTGGACCTTGATGAACAGTGCAATCTGATTCAAGTCTATGTGGAAGCAAGCTCTTTTGAGGTCATAGAACCTCACTCCCAGGAACACACCTAAAACCTATAGGAGTGCTGCCTAAAACCTTTGCCTGAAACTCACAACACTTTCACAAGTTTAGTTACACATTTATTATCTATTCATTTACTGAAAATGTTTCTTTTAAGCTGCCTTTAAAGTTCAAGCCTCCTCAAAGAAACTCTTAGGACAATAATTGCCCACCGAACCTCCTGCATATGAAAAGAGCAACTACTTCTAGGTCAGTTAGTGAGGTCATATAGTGAGTTAAGGGATAGTTTGAACCTGCCTGTATATTTGGCTTGAATCTCTTGGGTGCCAAAGCTTGTTTGCACCTACCGGGGCAACGGCATTAATTCTCACACCTCTGTGGGCCCACTCAATGGCAAAGGATTTGGTCAGGTTGTCAACTGCAGCTCTTGCTGCACCTGTGTGCCTGTGAAGAAAGGAAAGCAAAAGACAATATCAGTATCTATCAGCAGGGTTACTCGGGACCACCTTAGATGGTGTAATAGCGCTCATCAAATCTGGATGTTATATTACCCTTAAATAGCAAAAGCAATACCTGGCCAGCCTAACTAGGTTCAAAGGTGGGACATGTGGTCTTCATTGCACAGATATGCATGGTCAGGGAACAAACCCCAATGATCTAAACTTAGCAGAACAGAGCAGTCAAGTCAAGAATATTTACCAGCCCAAACATTGTTTAGATTGTTAAGACACAAATCTCTCTCACAGCAGGAACAGCCAACTAATATCCCATGGATTGTTTCCAGTGTTTGCCCTACTTAGAATAGGCCCACTGTAATGCTTAGGACTTAGATGACCATTGGATACAACCCCATGTTCTTCTACTACATGGAATAGAAAAAGCATACATGGCAAGCAAGGAAAGGATGCTCCATGAGCCCCTGGGGCATTTTTCATTTCGCACCGGGAAGGGATCCATTTGCTCAGATGAGAGACTTTCATGCCATGGCTATACTTCTTTCAGAAGGCTGTTGGTTGCTTTGTTCATGGGAGCATTCTCAGACAAGCCATACTTGCTATAGTCATTGATAGCTGTTTCTGTGATCCACAGCTAAAGATCTTAAAAACAGGCAGTAACCCTGAATGTCTCAAAGACTTTTGTTGAAATATAATCTCAGAAATTTATCTGAAGACAATGTATTAAGAAACCATCGTTTCATACCTTTTCCTGACTTTGAAATAAAGAGCAAGCGAAAGTTTGCTTTCGCTCAATCTGCTAGTTGTGATTAAAACATTACAAATTAAAGTAAATGACATTGTCCTGTTAATAATATCCAATTTTATTTTTCATTAACATGGCTTACGACATTCCAGGAAACCCTTTCCACATATCAGCCACAATGTTGACAATAGCACCTCCATGATCTTTCATCCAAGCATTGTACACTGTAGGGAGACAGAAAGAAAGTAGTAGTCTTTAATTCCAGATGGATGACATACAGGGCTTAAGGCAAGCCCTGCTTTTGCTGTCCTTTGAGCATGGCCTGTAGTACAGCCTTTTCAGTGGTGGCACCATGGCTACAGAATGCCTAGTAGAGTTCCCATGGTCCCCATGTGGTTGTCATTTAGGCACCAGCTAAGAACATATTTGTATGATTTGGGGGGCTGTAGGCAATTTCTCTCCATTTCTCTATTTTAGCTGACAGTTCTATGAGAATGTATATTTGTGATTTCAGAAATACACTTTTGTGTTTGTGCATGCATGGTAATGTGTTTACTAAGACTGGTAGCTGTTCCGGGCTTCCTTTGAAGGGGGTGGGGTATAAACGTAGTAAAAAATGAAATAGTGCTAAATATAAGAACACTGACCCAATCTGTGACTTAAGGCTATGGATAAAACAGTATTATGTTCTACATGTCTACTCCTCACTGATTGAAAGGGATTTATTCCCAGAAAAATGTGCACAGGATCACCCTGAAAGTTATCAGCTTGGATAGAAGTATCTTTGTAAACAAGGAGCAATGTTATTAAATCTGGATATGCATCAGAATGTCACAACTGCATGTATCTTGAATTTATCCATATACTATGATCAGCATCTGAGACCCTCCACCAAGGGAGGCTCAGAGCATGGCAACAAGGGAGAGGGCCTACTCGGTGGCAATCCTCCAACTGTGGAATGCTCTCCCCACTGAGGCCCACCTGGTGCCCACAATGTCATCTTTTCAGTGGCCAATCTTGCTTGCACATGGAACATTTTATATCAACTGTTTTATCAGGTCCTGTATTAGCTGTTTTGAATTATTTAATCTTTTTGTATGTTGCATTCTGAGCTTTCATTGTGAACTTCCCAGAAAGTTTTGGCTATTGGGCAACATAGAACTAAAAGAAAGGAATTAAATCTCCATGTATACACAGGGTAACAGTGTACCAGCTTACACAGGGTAACAAACCACCTTGCTGCCATCTGATCCACTAGTTCCAGAGAAAATCTGTAAGCTGGTAAGGTCTGAAAGCCCAGGGCACTTTTGACATGCCCTGGGCCCATGGCACTTTTGACATGAAGAAAATTAGTGCCTTAAACATTTTGGAAAATGTAAAAGCAGAGATCTTTTACACTGCCCCAGTGACTTTATTTTTTGAAAAAGGGCAGTATTGCAATATTAAGAATGTATGCTCTTTTCTCCATTCATGGCCTGGCTTTCTTTCTTTTGTTTAAGTTCCTAGTCAAGATTAGGTAAGGCAACAGTGTTTCATCACCCATTATTTTCTAACATCAAGAACATGGTCAACATTCAAATCGAGATTTTACAGTATAGACTAGTACCTGAAAGAACCACTCTAAATAACATTAGAGCAACCCCCCTAGGCAGTATCAGAAACCCTGTTCTCCACTGTGATCGTGGAAAGGTCAGCAGCAGCTTTTCTCCTGAGGTCAGATCTCTGGGAGAGGGTGGGAGGAACACAGGGCAGGGAGAAAGGAGATTTCTGCTTCACTGGTAGAGGCCAAAAACTTCTGCAGACCTAAAGTCTTTTGCAAGGCAGGTTTTTAAGCACTTGGAATGTAGTTCTTGAAGGAACACTATATGTGTGATCATTTTTCTTGTTTAATAAATGTTTTATATGTTATATTTAGTGGGTTATTTCTCACCTTGTGAAAAAGATACACATGTATGAATGAACACCTGCAGCTTTTGTGTTCTTTTCACTAAAGCAATCCAGATTTGTCCATTTGACACAGTAACTTCTTGTTTATACGAAGGACCCTAGTATAATATTTAAAGTTTATTTGGTGTTCTGAGTAACAGCTGCTGTGGCTATGTTGGTACGGCAGAATACTTTAACAACCTGTGAAGAACTCTACACTTCTCAAAATTTCCAGTTATGAAGAAGATATCAAATGGAGTAATTAAATAAAAGTCATCAAACAGAACCCATGTAAAGCTAATGCTAAGAGATTGAACCAAAATGCAAGGAAAGGAGAGAAAGCATTCACCCCATAGCTTAGTAGCCAATATTTCTATTTATGGCAGGGGTGTCAAACTTGTAGGTAAAAACTGGAGGGCCATAACTCATCAGCTCCAGCCAAGTTAGGAAACGCTGAGAGAAGCTGTAGACCAAAATACTGGAGGGCTACAAGGAGGCCATGTCCAGTTTATAGCGAGCACTCACCTGCTTTACAGCAGTAGAATGTTCCAGTCAAGTTGGTTTCAATGACCGCATTCCAGCCTTTTGAGCTGATTGCTTCTGCTGGGCTAGGAAATTGGCCTCCTCCATTGTTGACCAAGAAATCTATCCTACCATAAAGCTTCAGTGTTGATTTCACCAGGGCCTCTACCTGCAACAAGAAAACAGTTGGGTTTTCAAGACCATGTGGAGTAGCCTTTAGCAGCAGTCATTTTCACTTGCTGGTTTTCTTTCACACATTTGTCCAAAAATATAATTGTTGGTAGTAACAGCCCCCTAACATAACAGCAAGAACTTATATTCCTGACTGTGCCTGCTTATATAATCCTGTGTAATGAATAAAAATAGCTGAAAGAAACATTTTCTCCCAGCATCACAAGGACTGTCATAATTGTTTACCCTTTGGGACAGCCGCTCCTCATCAATCAGTAGGCAAGGCCAACATCATGCTGTTTTTTTCCAGAGAAAGGAGTATCCCTAGTTCCCAGACCAGCCCTGCTTACTGGAAGTACAACAGGGCTTCCAATCTTATCTTGCTTTCCAAGAAAGATGGAGATGTGAGAGCTGTGTTGAATTTTAAATGGCTGAACAAATTCATTCAAAAGAAGTACTTCAAAATGGAAACTATGAAGTCTGCTGGTTCCCTTGACCAAAGATGACTTCTTTATGTCAACAGGTATATCAGGCTTCCAATATATCATTGGGAAAAAAATGTCTAACCATTCCAAATGCTGCCAATGCAGAGCAATGTCCTTCAGGTTGTTGTCAGTCTCACAGGCATTTACCAAAATTCTAGCACTCAGTTGAGACAGAGGTGGATTCACCTGTATCCCTATTTAGATGACATACCAGCCCAGTCTACAAACACAAACAAAGGGATCAAGGATGTTCAGATTATTCTGGATTGCCTCCAAGTGCACAGCTTCATTCAAAACATGCAGAAAACCTTGTTGAAACCAAGTCAGTGCCTGGTATACCTGGAAGTGATCTTCTGGATACAAAAATGTAAGGACAAACAAAGTTCTTCAGATGGTGGCAGAGGCAACACACACAGGATATATGGATCTGATGTCCCTATCAGCTTCTAGGCTTGATGGTTTTGTGCCAGGAGTTGGTCAGTTGGTCACTTCCAGACTTGATCACTGCAGCACCTACTTTGCCCTCTGAGGTTCATACAGCATATCAAGTTCACTTCATGACAGAGTTTCCCACAATGATTCAGCTGGTGTTACAGTGAGGCCTGGCCTTCCAGACTGGGATTTGGAATGTTGTCAGCAAATCCTGACAGATGTGGCATTACCACAGATGCCAGTCGATTCTGTTGAGGAGCCCACATGGGATCCCGGATGACTCATGACACCTGTTCAGTGATGAAAGGGGGGGAAAGCAAAAAAAAAAAAAAAAAAAAGCACTGCTAGCAGTGAAAGCCAGTTCCAGAATGCTGTTTTAGAATTTGACAAGATGCAGGATGTCCATTCTGAGAATAGATGGCATAGCTGCAAAAGCATTCATGTGCAGACAAGATACCACAAGGACCCCGAGGGTGTGGAATGGGCTTCCACAGGAGGTGGTTGAGGCCCCATCAGTGAGGGTGTTCAAGAATAGGCTAGACATGCGCATGGTAGGCAGGTTGTGAGTGGAGCCAGCTAGAGCCTGGGGTCAGACTAGGTAGCCCAAGAGACCCCTTCTGACTCGCGCTGTTTCTATGTTTCTACAAGACTGGAGATGTTACACCTAGAAACGTGCAATAATGACCTGGGCGGAAATGAATCTGGCCTGACTCAGAGCCAAACACAAGAATCCAGCTACATTGCCAATTAGCTCAGCTGTGAAGAGAGGGTGGAAATATATCTGCTTGCTTGGCCACAGAATGCAGCCCCCTTTGGTTGATGACAAAGGGTCATTTCCACAAGCCACTTGGCCTCCAGGTCGTCTATAAGGCTTTCTGCCTCTATCATTGCTGCCAAGGGCCCTCCAAAGAATCAGGGACCACTGACACAACCTCAGCCTCCATGTTATGGAGGCTGAGTGGCAATGGTTAATCGATTGTGAAATTGAAGTGGTGCTGACAGTTACTTTGGACATATTCTAACACCTGGAAGATTGATGTTTGTACCTTGGTGTAAGAATGAGGGAAGGATCCATAAACTGGGCCAGGTTCAGGATAACCTCGATTTCTTCAAAATTGATCTATCAAAACATTTGTGCACTACCATACTAAAATATCAGACCACAGTCCTGAATAGTGTCAAGGGTTGTTCTCCTGTTGATTCTTGAAAGGGGCAAGACTGTTGTACCCTCTCCCAGCCATCGGTTTTCTTCAACAAATTTAAATTGGGTACTTATTGCACTAATTGGATCCCTCTTTGAGCCTATGGTAGCATTCTTACCTTAAATACTATTTTAGTAGTTTTTTCATCTGCTCACAGGATATCAGAACTGGGGGTACTATCGTCTCACCTGCAATTATATGTGTTCCACAATAATAAAGTGGAACACGCAAAATAATCGTTTTGCTCTGATCTATCATTTCTTCCCAGGATTAATTTGGTGTTCACAGGTTTTAGGCAGTGGTCCTACCATCTTTCTACCCTAAATCAAAGCACCAGCAACAGAAAAAATGGCATGTGCTTAATTTCAGAAGGGCTCTCTGTTTCTACTAAAGCCTTGTTCATGTCCTTCATGGAGGCATTCCAAGAAAAAGGGGGCCCAAATGGCTTAGAGAGTCCATTCAACTGGTACACAGTAGTCTTGAAAAACAACTTCCCCCAGGGATGACTGCTCACTCTGTCCAGGAAGCAACCACATCTTCTGCATTCTGGGGTAGGTCCTCCATAGAAGAGATTTGTAGGGCTGCAACATTCTCTGAACACTATAAAGTGTACAAATACTCTTCTGCTGATACCGCTATAGCAGGATGGTGTTGGAACAGGTTGTACAGATTTGAGATTACCTAACTAGTTTCCCACTCAAGGATGGCAGTGCTTTTGTACATTACTAAGGATAAAGAATTATGAATGTCCTTCATGAATTGTAGAGAATAGGAAATTCATTTCCAAAACTCATTGAGCATTCATTTCCCTATTCAGCCCAGTCACTGGCATGAGGAGCAGGTGATATGCAAATTTGAGACAAACGTCCCATTTTTGTTAAACAATTGCTCTGTTGTGTTAATGTGTTTCAAAACTCACATTAACTGGCATGTTGCCAAGAATTATATTACCGTATCATGTATTCCTATTTTTTGAAGGTGGTAGGGGGTTTATGCTTTTGCAGTACTGGTCTGGAGACCAGGGATGCTTCCTTCCACTGGAAGAGATGATAAAACATTGCCTTTGCCTACTGATGGAAGCAGAGGGATTATCCCAAAGGAATTATGAATGCTCTCCAGAAGTCCTGGAAACAAGAATTTATAGCAAGAATTTCCTTCTTTCTAATTACACTTGCAGCTTTTATGTGAAAATGTAACTAAAGGAAATCTGGATGCTATTCCAGAATATGAAGTCTTGCCTGAATAATTCAAGAGCAGGCATGGAAAATAGATTTAAGAAAATGCTAGCATACTCTTAGCAACTGCATTCCTACCCCTGCCCCATCTTCTGTTGACAATGAAGTAGTCTTATGCTAGAAGGAAAACAAAAAAAAGTGAATGGATTTCTGTACATATACCTTTTATGTGCACTACCTTGGCAACAGATTCATTCTTTCCTTCCCATCTCTTTTCCTCATCAGTCTTGTCTTTCATATTCTCACTGTTGGGAATCTGGATTTTGCTCTCTACTGTTTCTGGCTGCATAGGAGTTAATTATTTAAGACTATATCAGCTTTCTGCAGACTCCTCTCTGCCTTGCATTAAAGAGCTGCAAACCTTTTGCTTCCTTTTCCAATAAAAAAACCCCCAGAGAGTGAACTTTTCCTAAGCTGGTACAAATCCTTTTGCAAACAGACCTCCTTCCAGGACAAACTCCAGAAACCGTTCTACAACTGTATTAAATCTGCCATAGGTTTGTGTTAAAAACTAAGCAATATCTTGTACAGGGAAGAACCTGTAACAGGTGTAAATACTGTGGCAGAATCAGCCTCTTTATGCTAACTTGTTTCTAATAAAAAAGCCAACTTCCAAATCATCACACGGCTTAAATGACTGCAGCTTTATAGTTATTCATTTGGAATGAGTGCAGTTTCAAATGTATGCAAATACTAGTTAAACCAATTGTACAGACAGCCAAATACCTGAAACAATAGCTTGGAATGGAAGAAAGATATTCAGTTTATGAGGCTGAATGCCACCCTACATCTGATGGATATTCTTAAATCCCCATGGAATGTGTGTACTGCAGCTGGCAATACTTTTTGAAATTATATGGGGCAGCAGGGTGGAAGGAAGTCATTTTGTGAAAGAAAGCCAAACTGATTTCCTGGATGAGAAATTTTCCTTCTTGGAGAAGGCAGTTTTGACTACCAACTTATGCACTAAGTGCATGCCAACCGTGGGAGTAAGTCCCACTTAGTTCAGTGGCATTTACTGCTGAATAGTCATGTATAGGATAATAGAATTGCAGCATTAGAACTTTATCATCCAGGTTTCTTCTACTGTGGATTCTAAGTTTTCAACCATAATGTTTGGCTTTCCTGAACATGTGCTGCATATATAATCCCTTAATTATTATGAGAAAATATGAAGGGATAGTCCTTCCTAATTTTTGTCTCCTAACCTTGGATTTAATTACATACTATTATTGTACACAGAGGCTGCATTTAGATATCATTGTTAATAGATCTACTTTCCAGTGAAAACAAGACATCCCCTTGTAAGCCCCCATCACTATACACATGAGAAAGTTAGCAGAAATAACCAGTACTCACCTTAAGGCACAACACCTTTAGATTTAAGCACTGTCTGGGTCAGAAGTTTGATTTCTAGAGTTTCCTCATTTTATTAATCTTTGCTCTTTTATTGTTGCATGGGATTTTAGTGCATACGCTGCTGCAGGAGAGCCTTTCCTTTAAGGTGGCCTAGATATATTTTAATTAAAGCAATTAATTGATTAATTAATTCCAGGTCCTGGAAACCTACAGGAGGGTGCTCCCATTCAGATGCCTGTTTCCAGACATATCAGGCTGGCCAATGTTGGAAGCAGAATACTACCAGAATGAGTTCTTTTATAACTTTATCACTTACCCAATCTAATTCTCCCTAGATTTTTGACTAAACTCCCCTTTAGTCCAGGCCTGCATGATCAATGGTCTGAGTTTCTCCAGAACTTCAGAAGGGCACCAGGATGGAGAAGACTGTCTTATCAGACATATGGCTTAATCAGTGGAGAGCCAGTGCTGTGTAGAGGTCTTGGTCTAGGACTTCAGAAACCTAAGTTCTACTCCCCAGTTGTCCATCAAAGTCATCAAACTGGTCATCAGTGAGTTACTCTGGGTCATTACTGACCCATACCCCAACCTATCTCCTATAAAGAAAGGCACAATATATATTCTATTTATAAATAAGTCAGTGGTGCTTTATAGCTTGATATAGATTTTGTTCAAAAGGTCTATAGTCCTCTAAATGCACAAAGCATGATACAATGCCAGCTGTTAGTAATCACAGGGAGCTTATCCTGCCTACAGCTGTACCATCCAGATAAGCCCCAGGAGGGAAAGCTTAAAAGAACTGAGATCATCTTCCCATGTGTGACAGCATCCACTAGCCCCATGCTACCTTTTCTTAGGAAAGATTATGGAAACTGGTTGGACTGGCTACAATCAACAAGCTAGTCCATGTAGAACAGCAAAGAGCAACAGAAACTATAATGCAGTATCACTGTCTTCTTAACAAAAGAATCTGGCAGGCTGTGCAGTGCTTGGCAGCCTGGTGCCAAAGAAGCAGAATTATTTATGGCACACTGGTGAGAAAGAAAGCTTTGTTAGAAGCAAGGAGGCCCCTGAGGGTATAGATGAAGACTTTGCAACTGCCATTCAATAATTTATTCCCTAGGTGCCTCTCATGAATCAGCTGGTGCAGATCACTCCAGAACACAGACTATAGAAAAGTTCCAGAAGTCCAGCTTTTCTATAGCTTGTCCATATAGTGTTAAAAACAAAATCAGTCTATTACACAACATGTAAACAAACAAATGTCTGCACTTTGATCTCAGAGGAAAGGGGGAAAGCTAGCCAAATTTTGAAAGACCATCAGGTGATCTGAAAAACCAGAATTCACAAATTAGGAAAACAACATGTCACATACTAAAGTAAGGAATATAGCATGGTAATGTCAAACTTTAGATATTTATTAGTGGATATGATAGACAAATAATTCCAGATATATCCCTGGTTTCAGATAGACAGCACTCCTAATTCTTCATATTTCAATGATGGGCAACCTGTGGACCACCAGATTCTTTGGTCCACACTTCCATGAACCCTAGCCAGCAGTCAATATAAGAGTGTATGCAAGTTGTAGGCCAAATATTTGTAGAGCACCAGGTTGTGCACACCTCATATAATTAATAAGTTTTCATTGACAAAGGATAGTTCCCCCTGCCCTGAAAAAAGTGAGGTTATGTTCCAGTTAAATAACTAAGTGAACGACAAAATATTCTCCAGTGAGCTGATTATCTAGTTATCCACTGTACAGATCAGCACAAGAATAGATTTTTACCTCCTCCTCTTTGCGAATGTTGCACTGTATAGGGGTCACCTGGGCAGAATTTGTTTGAGGAATTTTGTCAGCCAGTTCTTTTGCTGCAGCACTTAATCGGTCAAATTTGCGAGAGGCAATGACAACATTGCATCCTGTCCAAAAATAAAACACAGAAGTGGTTTAGACATTCATAATAACTACATGAGGCTTTGTGCAAGATCAGCAAGATGACTTCATGAAGTGGCACTGTGTAGAGAGTGGGAAAACCATCCCCTATGTCACTTTCTGGATTATCATCTAAAGGTTACTATCATTTGATATTCAGCTTGCAAATTATACTATCTCCACTTCTAGACATAAAAACAATATTATTTATTTATTATTACATTTCAATATTTCCCAGCAGTCAAAGCTCTCCACAGACTGCTTCACAGCAATTTCACTTATAGTTCAAACACAGGATCCAGATATTGTGCATATATCCAGCTTATTTTCTTTCTGCCAGTCCCTTTCATTACTGTTCAAAGTCCAGTAAGAGCTTAAATATGGTGTAAAAAGAACCAAAGTTCACAGTCTGCCTTGTTGGAGCTAGCATAAAGATTAACTAATTATAAGATGAATGAACAATTCCACAGAGAGTGACCATCTGGGGAACTCTGTATTATCAGATTTGCCTCTCAAGCCTGACTTCCAGTTCCTCTGCAGTAGAGCTATATCATATTGTAGAGTTGTACAAGGAAAGAGTATGCAAAGGCTGTCTGCAGGTAAAGGTAGCTGAAGTTGCCTTCTCTCCCCACTGCATCAGTGGCCCAGATGGAGCACAGATATGAAATAATGCTTGTGTGCACTGCCATTCTGGTGGTGTAGCAGTTTTTGCCAACCTGCAACTCTCCAGATGTTTTAGACTGCAACTCCCATCAGTACAGCCCAGCATGGTCAATGGTCAGGAATGCTGGGACTTGTGAACCAAAGTATCCACCAAACACCATGTTGGGGAAGGTTGTTGTAGAGTGTAAGACAGAAAGAAAACAGGAGAGCATTGGCAGTGTCTGAAAACAGGATGCCTAAGAAGTTATTTCTTGGGTGAACACTTCAGAGATGTGTGCATATCCCACACTAAAGCAAGAGCACGCCTCAGAACATTTAATCAGAGACGTAAATCTCAACCAAAAGGTGTGAATTCAGTGATCCATTCTTTACACTGTGGTGACTTGTGGCTCCAATCCAGCTTTAAGAACTGGGCAATTATTCAACAGCCATGAAATAGCAGCCAAGGAAAGTATTGTTATAGGAAGAAAAACTGTCTTGCTCCTTCAATTTTTTAAAAATTAGATGTTAGCACTTGAGCTAGAAAAAAATGTGTGTGGGTGTGTGCGTGGAAGGATAACTATGTCCTAAGAAGAAGAGTTATGCAGGTATCCTGGCATGATTCTCTGTTCTGAGAGGACAAGCTATACCTAAGCCCCAAACAGTAGAACATAGATTAATCTTTCCTCCATTCCTTATAGAACTGGTTTTGGCTCAAAGCACAGCAAAACCACTAACTTAATCAGAAATACCAAAGGAACTGATAGAGAGGGGATACACTTCTGTAATGTGGACAAAGGTGATATGGCTTCACCACTCCTAAAAATATATTTGCCGGTAGGCCAAGCAATACCAGAGGTTGTCTGTAATATACAGGCAAGTCTCCATTGAGTTACAGTATCTTGTATATAGAATAAAATGAGTATAGGCAGCTGGGAAAATAGAATTAAGAGTTGTTTCAATGCTTAGGCTCCCTTTACTGAAATAATGGTACAGTTTTTCCCAACCTGGTATCCTAAAACATCTGGGGCTACAGCTCCTAGCATCCCCAGCCAAACCTAAAATACCTGGGAAAGTATATATGCAATCTGTTAGGATGTTCCATATGCAGCCCTGAAATTAAGAGCAACATTTATTTAAGATTTTTGTATTCTGTCCCAGTTACTAAAAAGTCTCTGGGCAGCTTACAGAGAGTGAACCAAAAAAACCCAGAACCCATAACAATGACAAAACACATCTTTTATTTAAAAAAAAAAGTACACTGCATCTAAAATAAAAACAAAAACAATAAAACCAATTAATTATTAAAATACTGGGAAAATAAAAAGGTATTTGTCTGGCGCCGTAAGGAATAGAGCAACGGCACCAGGTGAACCTCCCTGGGGAACGTATTCCATAGTTGGGGTGCAACTGCTGAAAAGGCCCCTCTCTGAGTAACTGCCCTCCAGATTGCCTTCAAAGAGGGTTCCCGAAGGGCTTCTGCCTCTGATCTCAAGGGGCAGCACATTTGCCGGCACATTTACCATTCACTGTGTAGTTTACACATTTCCAGAATGCCACTCCTTAGATTAAGCTTCTGTCATAATCTAGGTCAGCCTTGTCCACCACATACTAGCCAGGGATGTGAGGAACTGGCCTCATCTGGAGTGCATTAGATGGGGAACGTCTAGTCATGGCAGTAATGGTGAAGGTGCAGGAGTCAAACACAGCTGAATGTGCACCAAATTGTTCAGGGGGAATGAAGCACAATTCTGTGAAGTTGCCCTACAGGATGGTTAAAATATTTTGCCGTGAGGCTCTTTATGACATTCACCCACACACTTTCTGTGGAGGCTGCTCCTTCTCAATTCCTCAGCACACCCCTGGCCTCTCTCTTCACGGAGGCAAATCCTACTCCCATTACTTCTATCTGTCACAGGGAACGCTTTTTTCCCTCCAGACCTGAAGTACTCGTAATTCCTTAGTCCAGAGGGATCCCTTTGTCCGTCACTGGAAGACTAGTTAGTTCCCGTGCCTGTTGCGATGTCTTCATGCCTACTCGATATCCAAGAGGTAACGTCACCCCAGGCCCAGTTTGCTCTACGGTGGAGCAAAGGCTGCACCTGTTGAACGCCTGCCTGTCCTGTCAAAGCCCCACGGAGCACGGCTAGGAACAAAGTGACAGGAGGCAGCCCTAGTTTTACTAGCAGCAAAAGCAGCTGTTCCACCACAGCCCTTCGCCGCCTCCGCATTCCCACAGCTACACCCCCTCCCATTCCAGGCATCTTTCCCCCACCGAGCTGCAGCAGGTCGGCGGTGATGGCCTTGCCGATGCCCGTGCCGCCGCCGGTCACGATGGCCACGCAGCTGCGAAAGAGCCCATCCACCAGAAAGCGAACTCTGTTGCTGCCGCAAATCGCTGCCGCCATCTTAATCCCGGCTCCGAGGTCTCGCCAACGCCGTCAGTGGCCTCCAAGGGCTCTGACCCCCTCGACACACGGGCCTGTAGCCCCGCCCCGCCTCTGAAGTAAAGCACCAGCGGAGCAGAAGTGGGAGGCGCCTGTGGCAGCGGCTGCCGCCAGCGCCGCCGCCGCCGCAATACCGGGGCCGGTAGCAGCCGCGCTCCCGTTCCCTTTCGCAGCCCAGGGGGCGGAACGACGCCATCCTAGTGTAGCCCAATAGGATGCGGATAGGGCTCTTTCTTCTCCTATTGCATCAGAGAGAAGAGGTGGGGGTCGCCAGGGGGCAGTATTATCGCCCCCTCCCTTCCCCCCACAACACAAAAGGTCTGTCCCTGCCTGGTTCCTCTTCCTCGCCCTGCGTTCGAGGGAGGAGTTGAAGGCAGCACAATTACTCTCCCCAGTCCCCAGCTGCACACCTCAGAGAATCCCGCGCGGAGGTCCCCTCCTCCTCTTCTCCTCCGGGGGGGGTGGGTCTCACTAGCCCAGGGGGAGGAAGGAAGCGGCGGGGTGGCGCTGGATCGCTCATCGCGCTGGATCAAACATAAATCGCGCTGCAAGCCCGGGAAGCGCAGGTATTGCGCTGAACGTCACCCACCACCGCCTCCGCAACTCCAGGGACAAAAACGGGAGGGTCCCGCAGTGGAGCGATGCAGAGACCCGATAGTCTGACGGATGGTCAGCTCAAACTGTCGGGATCTGGACCCACCCCCTTTCTCTCTTTGAAGAGCATCCCTCTGGCGTCTCTCGGTGCTTCATCTCCTTCACCGACGATCCGTTTGGATGAGGAGGGAGAAAAGGCCCTAGATGTCTGTCTGCAATGACCTTACTGAACTAAGGCGGGCGTAGAAGAGGCAGCGGCGATCGTGGTAGTGACATTCACGCCCCATCTCCCCACCCACGTCGCAAGCCAAAGTGGCGAAAGAACAGGGAACTCATCCATCCTTGGTGGCCCCGATGCAACCCCAAGGTGTGTATCAGGGCAGAGCCAGCCGCAGGCCTCGCTGATCTTGCAGGAGCAGGTAAGCGCGGGTTTAATTGCATGGATTTTAAATTTTTCAGCATGGGTGGCCGCATGTTCTTTCTTCTTCTAATTACAGCAGGTGCAAACCAGATGTCTCCGTTCCATGCCCACACTCCTTTGTAAATAGAGCTGTGGTCTGAAAATTCATGCAAGGACTGCCAATTCTAGGCAACTGTGTCCAGGTAATTCCTACTGACAAAGATCCCATTAGAACTAATTCTTCTGATGAACTTAATTCCTTTTCCATGATGTTCTCAAGAAGCAGATGCTCCCTACTCAAGCAATTCATGGAGGTGATTCGGAAGCTTAAGGTTTGTTCCAAATCTCTCAACCGAGGACATATTTGGAATATGTGAATATTAGTTACCAAAGTGTGTCCCCGAGCCCCAAACTGGGGCATCCCCTGATTATTTGAAGAATCCTCTGCAAGGAAAGAGAACTACACCCCCAACTTTGCTTGCAAGCAAACTCCTGTGTGGGGAACCTCATGTAGGTCTGGGTCTGCTAAAGTAGGTCTGGATTTTAAAGCGGAGTGGGGGAACTTTGTGTGGCAGCAAATGTCTTCCCTCGTGCATATACCCAGAAGCCCATTGTTGACAATTAAACAAAGGGAATTTATTACTATGTTCGGTTGGATCACTCTAACAGGAAACTGTCTGCAAATTGAAATGCTCTCCCAGGCTTTAGTCTCCTAATTGAGAAGCTGTTAATCCAAATGCTGTTTTCTAGCAGCAGCTTCTGGAAAGCAGAGGTGGTCTTTCTATGATTCAACCACATGAACTCATTTTCTTGAGAAAGAGACATGTGATTGCCACCTACCCACCCACCTTTGTTTCTGGATTAGATAGCCTGAAAATATATACACATGTAAGTGGGACTAAGTTCCACTGAATTCCCTGGAACTTATATTTGCATAAACCTGCATAGGATGGCACTGTTAGGCTACAAGGTTATGCACATTTATCTGGGAGTAAGCTTCTTTAGACACAGTGTGACTTCTAAATAAATATATATAAGATGGTGATATTAAAGGTGCAAAAAGAATGGAATGTTTGCCACAGGAAAAGCAAGCATTCCTTGTGTGCATTATTGGAAATAAATACTTTTAACATGTGAGTTCATAATTAGTATGCCAGTGGTACCTCCACCCAGGACACAGAGAGCTGTCAAGCTAATTCTACATCCCATATAGTTATCTCAGAGTAAAAATTTGTGTTGTGTGATGGAACAAACATGGGATATTTACATGGGTAAATGCTTTATCTTTGTACTATCATGTCTGTTCAGAGCCAAGTAGACCCCAATGTGTACAAACAACCCAGGTATGTAGAAGATTGGTTCCTATATAAGTAAAAGGGCATTCCATTGTGCTAAAATAATAACTCTCTTATAATAGGCCTATAATGATGTTGTTTGTCATCTTCCTTCCCAATATCATCACCTCTTTAGGCTTGTGAAGCACAGCTTAGTCCAACTCACTAGCCCAGAGCACAATTCTGGGCTAGTAAGATGAACATTTGCACACATTACCACTCCATACCAAAATCTCTGCCAGATCTACCCTTCATACACCTTTTGGTGGGTGCTGTTTGCCTTTGCCTTTTGGAGAGGAAGACATTTTAAAGACATATTTCTCTAAAAATTGGCTGTAGATTTTCACAAGTCTCTCTGAACTTTTCAAGAGTAGCAATAAGTCACTGTGGCTAGAAGCCCTTAAAGTGGTTATATGAAGGGCCCAATTTTAAAGATGACAGGATAGAAGTAGATCTTGTTGAATACAGTGGGACTATCATCTGTATAAGTATACTTCACATGGGACTACTAGTTCCACTGAAATCAATGGAACAGCAGGTTTAAGTGCAGTTTGCTTGCCCAAGTGACTTATAGATTCCAGCCTCGTATTTTCAATCACACTCCTAGAAGTGTTGTCCTAATGGAACCCTGTTGAATTAACCACCAGCCTGAATCATCCATATGAGCTCTAATGTCTTCTGACAACACAATCCTATGCATGATTACACAGGAAAAAGTCCCATTGATTTCAGTGGGCCTTGCTCTCAGGTTTTAAGATTATAGCCTAAAACAGCACTTCTTTTTATGGTATGCTTTCCTTTATGTACACTCAGAATTTATTCTTATTCTTTATAAGCATGTGTAGGGTTCTTGATTGAAATGCAGGTTCTGAAGAACTGGAATAGGAACAGAACAGCTCAAAGAATCAGTAAGACCTCCCTTGACTCCCCTACTTTTTTTTTTTTTTTGAAGAAAACAGGGATACAAATTAAACAGTTTTAGTCCAATTCTTTGAGGCTTCAAGCCAGCTTGCTTGCTTAACATTTTTGGAGTGGGAATATATTCTGATACTGATTAGCAAAGACCTCACCAACCTGGTATCCTTCAGATATTTTGGATTTCCGCTTTCAGCCCTATCCAGCATAGCCAGTCATGAAGAATGTTAGGTGTTTTAGTCCAAAATCAGGCTGGGGAAGTCTGGGCCAAAAAATAACCATTAGTAGGAATATTTTACTTCAAACATAATTAGAAAGATAGAAAAATTGATAGTTCTGCATTTTTGTCTGTTACCTATAAGGGTATTCACTTCCACAGAAATGGACACCAGACAATTAGCCAGGTTAGACTGTAGGAGTAAAACATACAGAAACAATTGAGACACCTTGGAGACTGCTCAGTTGACCCATGGCAGTGGGTTTTGTAGGGGCCAGGAACATTTGGGTATGTAAACCTATCATATTTTCACTAAACTGAGTTATTGAGTGCTGTGGTCTCCACAGAACTAGACAGCAAGTGTGGAAAAGCAGCCTGGTCAGATTGTCAGGTTGCCATGCAGAGGCTCCCCCATATCCTTTAAATCTGGTTCTGCCTTGGGATAGGAACATCATGTCTATTCTCACCTGAGTGCTCCTCCCTTGGTCCTTCTCTGCCTCCTTTCCTGCCTGTTTCTTGCACAACTGAATCCTCAGGTAGGGAAAGGGCAGCTGAAAGGATTAAGGAAGAATTCAGGCAAGCTTAATGTTAGTGCTCATATCCTAAGGCAGATGTAAAGATACAGGGGGAACGTCCAGTTGGCAATGTGGCAACCCAACATAGCTGCCTTCTTAACTTTGATCTCTAATTCTCCGGAAGCAGAAGAAGCAACTGCTCACTTCTGATTATGAAAAAAAAACAAAAACAAAAAACCAGCTGCTGGAACAAGAGGCACTATAATGTCCTTGTTGTTTAACTGACACAATTAAAGGAGACAGGCATGTATAGCCTCTAATCATGCTGTATTTGGGAAATGTTGCTGGTTCTTTGTCCACTTAAGATATAGGCAGATTTGACTGGTAGTTGCTAAAGCATTACTGTGCATTTGGGTGTGGCTTCTGCCTATGCAGGAGCAAGTGCTGCATGTGGTGAAACATGTTAGATGACTCAGTAAACAAATAAGTGCATACAAAGGCTCACAGATGACCCCCAACTCAGCAAGAGTCATTCAGGAATTTAGCACTTTCATATTCCCCACACCCAGAAACCACCCTTCTATGCTATCCACCTTTTTTGATTCCATATTCCTTTAGGATTTGTTGTGCTTTGTTATGATAGAGAAATACCCATTTATTGCCTTTGGCTGCCCTACATATCTCAGATGGTCCACATGACACAGTTCATTAATCCCAGGAAAAATGCTAAATCTGGGCTAGAAGAAATTGGTCTTCATCATTCAGAGTGCCAGATCTGTCTGCAACTCCCTTTGCTCAAGTATAAATGATAAAAATGTGCTTTTAAAGATTAAAGGCATTAATTCAGGAATTATAGCGACCCTCCTACTTTCAGTTAATAATTATTTTAAAAAAATAATCTTTTACTATGTAGCAGCATAGGATTGGCCAAAGGAATAATTTAATTTCCCATTCCCTTGCTTTTGGAGACCTATATTTAGCTGCACTTGACAGTTTTGGAAGGAGAGAGGTCACACATGCTCAGACCTTAATTGGAAGATTCAGCGTTTACTGTTTCCTAGCTGAATGCATAAATTGACTTTGTTGGAAATGTATGGCAATTGGGGTGTTGAATGTTTGATCTGTGGTCCTTGTTCTGCTAGAGCTTATCCATGATTATCATAAGTTGATGCTGCCGTCATTGTACGGTAAACATACAAGTGGTAAGCACAGTATAGCAGGCATGTGTGGTGAGCCAGTGTGGTGTAGTGGTTAAGAGCATGGGACTGGGACTCGGACGGTTCTAGTCCCCGCTCGGCCATGGAGCCCACTGGGTGATTTTGGGCCAGTCACAGACTCTCAGCCCAACCTACCTCACAGGGTTGTTGTGGGGATAAGATGGAGGAGGAGATATAAGCTGCCTTGAGCCCTTTGTAGGAAAAAGGCAGGCTATAAATCCATAAATAAACAAACAAATAAGTGTGACTTTGATGGCCCCAAGCACTGAAAAGTGATGCTGGTTCAGTGATTTCATGAGCTCAGGCACGACCGTGGGCAAGGCCGCACACAGGCACTTTCTCTGTTTCTTGCAAGTATGTGCCCACCAACCATCCTGATATAGCTTGGTCTTTCCTCTGGGAAAAGTTTCTGGTGGAAGAAGTAGAAAGTGCAGGCAGCATGGAAAGTGATTCAGGGAGAATTCAGCAGCAGGGGCGGCAGCAGCAGCAGCAGAGGGGAAGACAAGCCCTCAAGGGGGGCAAAATGAAAGTGAGGCACAAGCTTGCATTCCTGTAATTCACAAAAGCAAGCTTCTCAAAGTGAATTTGAAACCCTTTTGTGTTCTTTGCCTAAAAGAACTTTTATGGGTTTCCCACTTGTCCTTTTGAAGTGGGTGATGGTTAGAGGAGGAGGAAATGTAGCCTTCAGTGTACATTTGACAAAACAAGGCCACTGTATTCTGTGTTGAATAAAATGTTGCGAACTACTTAAATCTGGGTGCTTCCCATGTCATCACTATCATTATGCAGTTGCCTTTACTTAATCAAATGGCAGTGCATTTATTACACAGTTACTTTCTCCAGTTGAAGTAATCTGTGTACTTTGTCCTTCGCTAACAAAAAATATCCTGTAAAAATATTAAAATGTATCAGCCACCTATTTTTCCCAGTATTACGTGAATGTTTCTTCTCTTTCTGCAGTGTTTATTCAAGTGTTTCCTGCTCCCCAGCCAGAAACAAATCATCTTCTTCAGCCTCACTCAAGTGGCCTTTTACGGTCTCATGACTCTAGGCTAGGATGCTTGGTCTACCACACCCATCGTCCCTGAGTGTGATGGCTGAGCTGATGAGACACATCTAGTGGGCACCAAGTTGGGGAAGGCTGCTGCAGCACTTTTTCCAAGCAACTGTACATGGTATGATAGCTGGGCCATGGCCTTTTATGGGAGAAGAATTGGAAGACCTCTCTTTTCTTTAGCATCTCACACTTCACTATTGGAGCACCTACAGTAAGAGTGCTTCTCCCCTCCATGTGCATCGGTGGGGACTTTAGGAGTGGCTGCTTTGGAATCCCAATTTTTAACCCATCTGTTAGTTAAATTAGGGTCTTGATATGACTTGGGCCAAACAACAGGTATCAAGCTGAGAAGCCAATAATTATTTTTATTTCATTTGTAATAGTCATATCCCACTTAATGTAATAAACCTAAGCATTTTCTTACAGAATGCAGTAAAAACCACTGAGAAGACATTTTCTTGATGTTCCATGGTGACATTTTGTTGGTTGTGCAGTGGCTAACAAGGCCTTCTCTAAAGATTTCAAAATGTGATGGGGTGTATACAGAAGACAATCTAGCTGGCATCCTTTGAGGGTTGGGTCCCCCCCTTATTTGTTTCACGCAACAGACAGTCTGTTTGCAAAACAGCTCTTTATTTCCAATTCACAGCTAATATACTATAGCCAAGGTAAGTCTCTGGGCATGAATAAAGTGATTTGTTGAACCCAACTAGAAACTACTTTTGACAACCCTCCTTTTCTGGAACCCTAACCCTCTACTCAAGCCCTCTAATTGGGTAGCCCTTCTAACCCGATGCTGGTTAGAAGTCACCAGAGTGGGCACAAGCTCCTCTTTCTCCTCTTCCTTGTCCATCGCCTTCACTTCCATACCCACAGACTGTTCTGTTCCCATAGACTGCCTGAGCACCTGGAGATGGCAGCCTTGAGATAACCTCACCCTCTTCCACCATCTGGATTTCCAGGCTCCCCATTTCCCAGCCATTACAGTCCTCATCTGAAGAGCTGGTGCAATCCTGAACCTGGAAAGCACACTGAAAGTAACTGCCTCGTCTGCTCCCAAAAGCTTCTTGGTCCCAACAACCACACTTATGGAATTTCAGTGAGAGTTCAAGGGAGCGGCAGTTCAAGGAGGAGAACAGAGTGGGCATGACATGAGGTATTCTCTTGGTGCTCCAGTTTCCTTCCTGCCCTCTCCAAGTGCCCCAGTTAGATGACCAAACTGGCCATCCAGCCAAAATGTGGAACTGGAAGACAGGGGAGATAAAGACTGTCTTCATAGCTCTTCTTGCTCTGCATAGGATGCTCATAATACTCCAAGTTTGGGGCTTACAGGCATCTCAGATTGTGCCTTTGGGGCTATAATCTGGTAAATTTAAAGAGATTCTGAAGTAGGTGATAAGTATTTTTTTCCTGTGAACTCTGTAAGTGTAAAAAATAGTATTTGCATATCAAACACGATGTATTGGATGGATGATTAATAACATTGAGTTGTGGATGGTATTGTCCTCAAAGCTAACTATTTTTCACAATGATAAAACTTTGGTATTAAGAACATTTTCCAGTGTTCACAATAGAGGTTAAAATGTAGGGGTCCAGTTCATAAAAAACCCATAATGTAGACTTAGCAGAATGGTTTCAATAATCCTTTGAAGATGACATTTGAATACAGTGTAACTGTGGAAAGCTCTTTTAAAAACTTGGGAGAACCAGCACACTGTTGTCCACTACAGTAACAATAAGACTGTATGTGGAATATAGTTGTGGCTAATGCATCTTCTAATATTAAGGCAACTCACCTTTTAAATCTGCCAAAGTTCATTCGAATGTGCTCACATGTAACCTATAATAACGATCTTGTATTCAATTGGTAGATACAAACTTAGATATTAACATCATGCCATTATTCTGTTGATGTTTGAGCCTTATCAAACCATGAACAAAACTCTTCTTTTATCAGGATATATCTTAACCCAGTCAGCTTTGATGTGGAGCTGAAAAACGTCCTCATTTCTTGGGTCCAACCTAGCTCTAGGTGTAAATCCAGAGTGGAACAGTCTTGACATAGTGCTTTTGCATAAGAGGTTACATTGATACACAAATTAATGACTCTCAGGAACTAGTTTTACGTTTTGAAGGTCAGAGTTAGCACAGCTTTTGAAACATCTAGTTGAACCACGCTTGGATTCTGCTAACAACTCCTCATAGCAGTCCATTACTGTGTTGACAGCACCACTTGGGAGTTATCCGAAGTTCTTCCCTGAAACTCCTGCTCTAGCCACTAATGATAGTTGGGTAATTTTTCAGGGAGAAAGATTTGATGGAATGTGAATTTGCTAACCCTTCCCTTTTGGCAATGTAACTATTTCCAAGGATTCTTCCCCCATCCCTCACCTCTACAGCTGATGAATCTCAGATGGTGTGAAAGTGAAATCTTGGTTTTCAAGTGAAGATCATTCCTCTGCAAATCATCTTAATTGCCACTTTCACACTGAAATCAGCCTTGTATGCTCACGTTTCATTGTTGGTCATTCAAACATGATAATTATTTGTCAATGTTTTGGTAAATATTGACAAATATCTACACTAAATACGCACTAATGAGTTGTCACTTCTCCAGGTCAAGAACCTGTGATGCTGAATAAATCTGTCCACATCTCACACTTTGTGCTGTTAGAAACTAATGCTGAGAATTTCAACAAACTCTACAATTTCAGCAGGAAACCCTGGATATTTCTGCAAACACAGCAGTTGCATTCTGCATAGTAACAGTAGATTTCTTTCTATCTAAAAATTCCATGTGTTTTTTTAACCAACATTCCCTGGGGCTCCCTGCATACAAGCTAATGTCTGTTGCCCGTTAAGCAAGTTCTACCTTTATGATTATTTCCTACATTCTCATTTTCCTCCTCCTACATTTTTGCTTTTTAGATCTTAATTCTCTTCATTTTCTAATACACAGATGAAAATTTGTATAAAGGACTGCATATAAAATAATGTAGGAAGGGTTGTGTGTAAGCCTATACTTTGGCAGTGGTACATTCATTGGAAAAGACAGAATCCTTGTAAACTTTCTGATACATATGCATTTGGATCAAAATATAAATTCCTGTGATCTTTAGGAACACTTCTAGGTATATACACATGAATTTGCATATGCAAATTTTATAATTCCTTATTTCCTGCGGAGGAATTTATCTGTGTAAAAAATAATATAGGTAAAGGACTGAATCCAGACTTGATCCATGCTTCGTGTATACTCATAGAAATCAATGAGTCATAACTAATTTAACTCCCACTGATTTAAATAAGTCTGCTCTAGGTACGACTAACTCTGCATACAACCTACTTATTTAAATGTATGAAGGATGTTACCAGAGAATGTTGGGCTTTTTCCTTGTCGGGTGTACAGAGATGGGACTTCAGCCAATAAATTTTATTTATTTACTTGCGTAAAATGTTTCTAAGCTGCCCTTCATAGAGATGGATTCCAGAGGCATGAATTAAATTAATGATTCCAAAGGCACAAATAAAATTAATCATGCCAACATAAATGGAAAACAATAAAATGTTTATAGCTCCCAGGTACCAGCTGCAGAATCCTTCCATACACATTGTGCTTCTCCCAGTACTTGATATACATATTTTACTGCATGGAAATTCTGCCAGTATAAAGAAAAGGCACAAGGTAGTTGTAAACATTAATAGTATTTATTTCATTTTTATACTGGCCAATAGCTGAAATTTTCTGGGTGGTATATAAAAAACAGATAATCATATATACAAAAAGAGAGAAAATGAATGCAGTGGCAGCCTCTGAAAAGCATACATGGGGAAGTACAGAAGGGGCAAAGTGCCCTTCTGCACAGGTGAACATCATCCTATGTTAGATTCCCAGATGAGAAATAAAAAGTGCATTTCACATGAATACTTATATCCTTAACACGTTTTCTGTAAACTATTAATTTTAACAGTATTAACCTCATGGAGACAAGTCAGCACCATGACCTCACTTTAATTTCCAGCTGATGGGTTTTACCCAATGTGACTGTAACTGCTCTACCCTAACTAGGATTAACGTTGGATACAGCCCAAAGACTCAGTTAAAACTGCATGTGGAAACCTTAACCATAGGGGCCCAGCAAGGCAGGGAGGGGGAGAGATGCACTATTTTTCTAGATATGTGTGGTGTTGCCCCCACTTACCATTCTCTGGTATAGGCTATAAACAAACATCATCCCTGTGCTTTAAACTCCCTTGGGCAGTTTAAAGTACAGGCAGCTCAGAAAACAAACTGCCATTTTCCATAATCATTATATAGGTATTTTAGGCCAAGTGGTGACTCCTTAGTTCAGGGCACAAGACAAGCCTATGCTGTGTACAGGGTTGAATTCATGGCTCCCAGGTTCAACATTTGCCTTCTAATTAGCCACAGTAAAAACATTCTGAGCAATTTTTAAGCTCGTCTTCTTTTTGCCAAAAAGATTAATTTGCTTTCTTTGTGGCCTAAACAAAAGAAGGGCTACATTTGGACCTAAAAGATATTGGGTTGGATCCAGACTTAGTCACAAATAAAGTAGAAATTTCAAATGGATAGAATTTAATTTGGTTATGACTAATTTGAGTCCCACTGATTTCAATCAGTCTAAGGATAAAGAAGGCTGGATGAGTGCCATTGGTTCAAATCCTTGTTTACCAAGTTCCACAGGATGCTCTTTTTATTTTAGCAAATGCATTATGTTCCCTGATTGTTTTCTCTTTTCTCTCTTTTCTAAGGTTAGGAATGGAATGTGTCTATTCAGTGCTGCAAACGGTTGCTACTATTCGAGGCAGCAAATCCTCTTGCAAATCAGTATTAATGGCTCATAAGAACAGAAAAGGCTGATTTATTTACTTATTAAATTGCCAAGATGCCCAGTGAGAGGCTGCAAAGTAACAGTGGGGTGGAGGAGCCAGTGCTAAAGGAAACCAAGGGTGAGATGCAGAGCCCTCACCGCAACTCCCTACGCAGGGCTGTGGCAACTGCAGTGACTTTCGATGGGGAAGCCACCACTGAGAGAAGGAAAAAAAGAAAGAAAGAATCACGTCCAGAATCAATCATTGTTTATCGGTCGGGGAATGAGACCAAGGTGGAAGAAGAACAGGTGGAGGATGATGGCGGTGAGAGGAGTTCAGAAGAAGGCTCCAAGTTCTTGGGACCCCCCACTGGAGATGGTAAATGCTTTGGAATAAGTGGCTGATGGTTTACTTTCTCCTTAAGAGAGTGGGTGGGTTAAGGACGAGGGTTCTATGGCATCTTCATTTTATACTGGGAAGCAATTCTCAAATTAATATTTTATTTTGATCTGTTTTCTTTTTGTCCATCATTTTTATGCTATGTACCCAAAGGTTTTTTCTGCTTCTGTTGTCTAAGAAGTTAATTCTTAGTAGTTGCTATAGAGGTCTGAGTGTTGTTCTGGTCCAACTATATGAAAATCTCAGGAAAAGTAGTTTCAAAAATACTTCAGACTGATCATATGCAGAGTTAAGTGTACCAGGCCTGTCAAGAATAAGGGTTTTAGGTGCACCTAACTCTGCATCAGATTGCACTATTTGGTTTAATTTTTTCTTAGACTAATGCCATTATTGCATACACATTTGCATGCAAGTAAATCCAATTGAACCTAGTAGGACTCATCTCTGAGTAAACATCCATGTTATCAGGAGACGTGATATAGAAAAGCATGCATGTTCTTCATCAAGTGTAGATGTTCAGAGCAAAATTAAAGCAAGCATTTGATGTATGTGGAACTGATGCTGAGCTTGTACTCTTTGGAATAAATAGCAGGTTGTGCTAATTGGATTTCAGATAGCTATGCTCCGCTGGGAGAAAAGACTAATGATCCACATACTGTCTTGTTTGTGAAGTAGAGGTGCTCAGTGTTTAGCACAGTGGAGCACAGCTATTTTTACTTTGTGTGGTGCTGGCTCAGGAGCAGTGTACATGCACACGCACATGCACATGTATGCATGCGCACACGCATACTCAGCGGTGGTGGGGAAAGCACTATCTGTATGAGGATCCGTCTTGTGATGGGATCAAGGCATCTAAGAGATGTATAGGTTGTGAACCCTGATTTAGCAGATAGTCTCTGCTGGATCAGGCTATTTTAGTATCTGTTTAAAACTTCATCATCTGATCTACTGCCTCTAAATTAAGGATGTAAAATTTCCAGAAAATGTGAAACTCTGGGAGGAATTTATTCCCCCATATAAAGTGGAAAATTTGGAGAAAATATGCAATATTCTTTTTTTTAAGTAATCCTTACACAACAAAAATCACTTCAGACTTAAGTTATTGTACATAACTTAGTTTGCCCATAAAATTATAGTTAAAAATAAAAAAATCAAAGTAAACTTGGTGTACTTGGTGTACTTATTTATTTCATTTACTTATAACATTCAATAACTAAAGCTCTCTGGGCAGTTTACAAAGATTATTGTTTGAATCAATTGTTCTTTTAAATTTAATGTACCAATCATATGGGCAACCCAGGTTTTATAGCTTAGGTTCCTCTTCTGTGTCTGACCAGATGGAACTTGCAAGGAGTTCCTAAGTCAACCAAATCATCCCAGGAGCCAGAAGGAGCAGGAAGCGCTTGACGCTGAGGCACCCTGCTTTACAGCATCTGTTCCTGTTTCTGAGGAACTGTTTGGGGTGGATTTTAGGGAAATCTGGTTTGAAGGAGAGGCTATTAAGCTCATAAGTGGGGAAGAGTTTCTGGCCTATTAGGAGTGTATTCTTCTATTCTTACTAGAAAGCCTGCTTCCTTTGTAATTTTTAGAAGTCATTTAGAACGGGGCAAGGGCTATCTAAAATATATGAACAGTTTGTTTTAAAAATTGTATACATTATTGTAGAAGTAAATATTTTGCAATCCAAAGTTGTTCAGGTGTTCCATTTTGCAGACAGATAGAGATTTAATTGGGAAAAAAGAGAGGGAAGTATCCCCCCTCCCCAAAACTTCATTTCCCTGCCCAGCAGTTTTTCACATCTCTTCTTTAGATATGGTGACTTCCATTGAGCAGTTATGTATAAAGTCAGTAAAAGACTTATTAAGAAAATCTATTACAAGTTAATAGGTTTGCTGCAGACACTAGTAGGTGTTCAAAATTTTTTTTTTAATTTATTGTATTTATATACTACCCCAATAGCCCAGAGGGCTCTCTGGGTGGTTTACAAACATTAAACTCACACCAATCCTAAAAAAAATACATCGGCTACACCACAACTGAGTATAAAATAACATGGTTAAAATGAATTAAATAAATAAATATACCATTAAAATTAAGTAACTTTAAAATATTGGTTAAATAAAAAGGTCTTGACCTGGCGCCGAAAAGTATAGAATGACAGTGCCAGATGGACCTCTCTAGGGAGTGTATTCCATAGTTAGGGCACCACCGCAGAGAAAGCTCTCCTCCAAGTACTCTGTCTCCTAACCTCTTTCAAAGATGGTTCCCAGAGGAGGGCCTCTGCTGCCAATCTTAGAGGGCGGAAGGGCATATAGGGAAAAAGGCGTTCCTTTAGGTATCCTGGTCCCAAGCTGTTTAGGGCTTTATAGGTAATAACCAGCACCTTGAATTGAGCCCAGACTTCAATGGGAAGCCAATGGAGCTGATAGAGGACTGGAGTTATGTGAGAATAATGACCAGTTCCCAACAGCATCCTGGCAGCTCTATTTTGTACCATCTGAATTATCTGGACCATCTTCAAGGGCAGCCCCACATAGAGCGCATTACAGTAGTCCAAACGGGAGGTAACCAGTGCATGTGTCACTGTTGCCAGGCAGTCTGACAAAAAAATTTGTCAGACCTTTTTAGGAAACCTGAATCACTTTATATTCCATGTATTTTTCAAGAATACTGGGGTCAGTTGTTCTGTACTATTTACCTCCAGCATTCAATTAAAAATAAAATCAATTAAATTCATGAAGCTATGGACAACGGGAGGCCCAAAGCCAGGATTCTTTGAGCCCATGCAACTCTAAAGCAGAGTTGAGCAATTTATCTCTCCAGAAGTTTTAGCCCATAGCTTACATCAGTCTTTAGCACTGGCTATGCTGGCTGCAGCTGATGGAAGCAGTACAGTGGTACCTCGGTTCACGAACACCTCAGTTCATGACCAAATAGGGTCGCAAAATTTTGCTGCAGGTCGCGAACTCTGCATTGGGTGACGATCACAAGTGCGCCCACCTTTCCTGCATGGGCGTGATTGCGGTCGTGCGGGGGGGGGGGGGAGGAAATGGCTGCATTTGTGCTGGGGGGGAGATGGCCGTGATTGCGCCCGTGTTGCCTGCCCAAGCGCATTCATGCATGCCCACCCCCAACCGCACCCACAATCATGCCCATCTCCCCCCCCCACACACGATCACTGTGGGGGGAGATGGCTGTGATCTTTGTTGTTCTTTGTCACTTTGCTTCAAATTTTTGTGAGTAAAAAAAATAGTTGCAGAAGGGATTAACCTTATTTACATTGACCCTTATGGAGAAATTTGACTTGACTCACAACCAATTTGGGTCACGACCACAGTCCTGGAACGGATTAAGCTTGTGAGCCAAGGTACCACTGTAGACCAAAACCTCTGGAGGGCTTCCAAAAGGTTTAGTTTGCACACTTTATACATTGTATTTTACCAGTAGAATTTACCATCGTGAACAACACAAGGTAGTAGGCTTTGGAAAAACACAAAAAGCAGTAAACCTTTTTAAAACTAATGCCTCAAATTCTCTTTTATATGTTGCATTGTGCAGTTTTCAAATATATATATTCATTGCAGAAAATGTCATGAAACTTGTATGAAAATGAAACTCTGATTTGGTTTTTTCTTTGGATTGATTTAGGTTTTTTTTTTTTTGTTTTTGTTCTTGTTCTTAGGTTCCTGGGCAATGCCTCTAGATAGCAGGTATGTTACTTTAACTGGAACCATCACAAGGGGAAAAAAGAAAGGCCAGATGGTGGATATTCACGTGACACTCACGGACAAAGAGCTTCAGGAGCTGGCTAGGTCAAAAGAGCCTCCAAAACCAGAAACTCCTGAAGGGAAAAGGGCTTGTGAAGTTGGGCTGGATAAGGGCCCCCATGTCCTCCTCTGGAGCCTTGCCTGTCTCCCCATCATCTTTGTCATGTCCTTTGTGGTTTCCTTTTACTATGGCACCATCACTTGGTACAATGTCTTCTTGGTGTACAATGAAGAGAGGACCTTTTGGCACAAGATCACCTTCTGCCCTTTTCTAATTATTTTCTACCCGATCATAATCATGGTGGTCTCCTTCTCTTTGGGCCTCTACACTGCAGTGACTCAGCTCTCCTGGGCCTTTGGGCACTGGTGGCATGCTGTCAGGGATATGGAGAAAGGATTCTGTGGCTGGCTCTGTAGCAAGATAGGCCTCGAAGACTGTTCCCCATACAGCATCGTTGAGCTACTAGATTCTGACAATGTCTCAGGTAGCCTGTCTGCTAAAGGCTCAGCACAGGGTGAAGAGATTTCAGCTGTCTGAGCTTTTGCTTCAAGTGACTCTGACACTCCATATTTATAAGAAAAGAACTTACGGTGGTTTCAGGAAGCAGGCACATCCTCTCAGAGTGAGGGGCTAAACTGTTGAAGCCAAACATTCAGAAAAAACCACTTGGGGCAGTGCTTCCTGGATGGTACTACTTTAAAATGAAAGGATGATCACAAATGTAAATGCTTTCTTCTCATCAAAAACTAACTCTTTGTGGAAAGCTATCACATTCAGGAGACAGATTCTCCCCGAGCTCTATTGTTGCCTTGCAGTTATCCCATATGATGTGATACAAAGCTGTAGTTTATACTAGTTCAGGATGTTAGTGATGGTTGCATTTCTGAATGATGAAACAACTCACTGCACATACAAAAGTAATATGTAATTGAAAAGTCTGTGCAGGATTTGTTTCCAATTATAACATTCAAACACTCAGCCTACCCGCCATCTGATGTGGTTCAGTCCAAGAGTAGCTTTACCACTTGATTTTGCTGATTGCATAAAAGGGTCCTTTGAGTCTTAAATGAAATTAAACAAGATGTGCTAGGTAAGAATCAACCATTTCTTGTAAGATGAATATGTATGGCCGGTTCATAATACTCCTGGTCTGATCAATGACTCTTGTTCAGTTTTATTAAAGCACATTGTTTAGTGACAACCCCCACCTGTTTTATTGGGGTTACTCACTTGGGAATGGAAAGAGTACATGCGCTCCAAAGCTTCCTGCATTGCAAAATGGATCTTCTAACATACACACACTAATGCAGTCTTGCATCTAACATTTGCCATGTACTTGTACTGAAAATCAGAAGCTGCCAGGTGCAGAGAGCAGCAATCTGAGATTTGTTTACTTGAGAGTAAACTCTATTAAAACAGGACCAAATGCAATAACCTGTAGCCTATGGAGATACAGGTGCTGTGCCCAGGTTATGTCCAATGCTGTCCTACTGCCAGCAAAAGAAACACCCTTTGACTGGTGCCTCAAATGTTCCCTCCCTCCAGCAGCCTTCAAAGGTTCCCCATATCTGCTGAGAGGTTTGGAAAATCCTTTGGCGCAAGGCTGGTGGGCTGCAGAAGGGAAGAGAAACTTTGCATGCATAATGTTGGATTATGCCCAAGAAACTTGAGTCCTAAGAACAGTTTTCTAGGAAAGAAGTGGAGAAGCTGAATGCTGAAAGCTAGTCCCTTGCAGTTTCTCCCTGGTCCATAATTAAGTCACCACATATTTTAAGTCTATATAATACTTGTGAAAGGGTGTCAGCATTAGCATCTGGTTTAAGATGTGGGTAGAAAGCCATGGTGAATCGGAAGCCTTCCTTAATAGTGCAATAGAAAACAAAAGTATGTACAGAATCGGTAAAATGTGCTGCCCCTCATCCCTGATCTCAATGGAAGCAGCAGTGGGGCTCCCTGGCTCCCTTTCTCCATGCAAAAAGGAGAAAGCAGGAGGGGTGATTGCAATGGCAAGGCCAGCGCTTCCCATTCCCAAACATTTCTGCATCTCACACAAGCCTTTTTGCATAGACTGTATTGTGCAATGAGAAGGGAGCCAATACTCCATATAGTGCCCGATCAAATACTGTAGTATTGAGGCCTGTTAGTTACACAGCATTTACAAAAACTGTACATTTTCTTCCAGAATATGCATTATTGGGCTTCTTGCTTCATACTCTATGGATTTCTATGAAGCTTAATCCCAAATGCTGGTGCTATTTCTATCTGCCTTTGTTATGCCTTCTTAAACTCTACATTCTTTCTCTTATCACACTGCTTTATTTACCTAATACTGAAAAGTGTGTGTAAGGCTTACAAAAGGTGTAGTCCTATGCACATTCAGATTGAAAAAAGTCAGTCCTAAGATTCCCTGCATGTCCCAGCCAAACATGCATAGGATTGCACTCTAACTGTATTAAAAGCCATGCTGTAGTAGAAAAGCACAAATTTTTTCATTCCTCTGCTCACAATTCATTGCTGATAATGTGCCACTGGGTGTGTAATTTGCAGATGTAAGAGTGGCAGAGCCTCTCTGAAAGTGTGTTCACCACATTTCATTCAAACAAACAAATTTCTTTCTGGGTGAAGTTTACAGAAACCAAAAATAGATTCTGCATTTTGCAGCAGAAGTTTCCTGTTCACCGTGCTGACTGGCTGATGGCTCCTTATGTTGCCAGCCTCTCCCATGACCAAAGCAGTTTCACAACTTTTAAAGAGTGAATTTTGCTTTTCAATCTACTGGGTATATGGGATGTTTCTTTTTTCTTTAAAGAAGGTGAACAGCCTGCCTCAAGCACAACAAGAACAGTGAGACCATTGGCTTACTGAATCACTGTTTAATTCACTTGTGTCCATCATTTACACTGACCCAGTTTGCATGATCAAATTAAGCTTGTTTTAATCAGCTATGTGAGCCAGCCATCATTTCTCTAATTATTGCCCCCCCCCACCCCTAATGCAGTTTGCCATGAGTCAGCATGGCTTCTTTGAGAGGGAAACAAGGGTCACATAACCCCTGGCCTGCTATAGGCTTATTGCAACCACCATGGCTTGTTTGATCATGCAAAACAGCCCATTGTGAAGATGAGCAAAATCTCATCTTGTTTTAATCTCGTTTTAATATTACATTAAATACATTAAATATGACATCTGTCTGTACCCATTGTTATCTTGCTGGAATTCCCCAAAGAGGCTTTCTAATTGAATGTGTCTAGTTACTCCCATGTTTCTACTGGGAAATTTAAAAGTATATCGTCATAATCTTAGTGTACTGTAAACAGGACTAACATAGGATGCAACACTTAAACATGTATTTCCTAATATTTATCTATTTCTCTCTCCTCAGTCTCAGCGTGTACCATTGCTTTGATCTCCCTTGCTTGACTTGTATTAAAGTACTGTGGAGGAAACTTTTGTATTTATCATATCGTTCATCTTTAACTTCTTTCATTCTACTTTGAGATTCTTTCTTTCTCTACCTTCCAGCTCCCTCCTCCACCTCCAAGTTATGCAGTTCTTTGCTGGGTCTTCTTGGTTTCTTTACCTGATGACTTAAAAGGTTAAGCCCCAACCTTCTTGTTGTTAAATATTCTACCAGAGTCAGTGGCATTTCTTACACAAGCTACGCAACAGGAAGCACAATAAACCATTCACAGAAGATCCACAAATCACTATTTATTTCAAAGTCAGAAGCACCACTGTCATTAGTAAGACTAGCATAAATGTATTTTTCAAAGTTTCTGAAACATTTTTTTGTTAATCGTGGGACTTTAAAAGCCTAGTTAAGGATATACAAAGCAAAGCACCAATAAATCTGTGCTGAATATAAATTATATAAATATGCCTTTGAAAGTTCTTACACACCCCCATGTTCACTACATACATTCTTTAAATAAGTGTTCCCAGTTCTAGATTGGATTGGATCCAGACTTGGTCACAGTTAGACTACAGTCACTGAAAGCAAATGTCCTTAAGTTAGTCATGACTCATGTAAGGCTCACTACTTCAATGCATCTAATATAAATATCATCACATCTGAGTTCAACCTATTGTCACTTGAAGCTGGAACTGGGAGTCTTCCCCTTGGAGTAAGTCAGCAAAATGTGGGAGTTGCATGTTCTCTCGAGGAACAAGCCTGTAATATACCCTAAATCAGCCTGCTGGTTCATTGTGTTCTGACCTTTAAAGAGGTATTCTCAGGTTAGGCATGGACAGCTATGTAAGAATTCTTATGGAAATGTAAATTGATGGCTTCCATAGCTCCATCTTAATGGAGACATATAATTCAGAATTGCTTAGTCCTGCACTAATATTGCTATTAACTGTTTTGGTGAGTGTGTCGGGCCAGGGACGGGGTAGTACCACAGGGCAGGTCCAAAGGTGGCTGGTGAGTTTCAAACAAAAGCAGAGGAAGATCCTGAATGATTGCTGAGCTTTTTTTCCTTTGGTGTAGTTATTGTACCCACATGGAGGGCGGCATATGTTGCTCTGTGTGGCTTCCCCTTGTGTAGAGCCCATAAAGGTTTGCAGTCTGTCTAGATAAAGTGTCACAGGAAGAAAAGCAAGAAATGATCAAGAACAAAAGCAGGAAATTATCAAGAATAAACCACACCTGGAATATAGCTCTAGATTACAGACATAATGAAATGTTTAGGGAAAACTTCTAGGGATAAGACAAACTGGTAGCAGATCTATGTCACCAGACATCAAAAGACTTATCCCAAGATTCCAAACCCCAGGTTGGTTTGGGAACCTGCATCTAGTCTTGCTAAACTCTTGCAAATTTAATAAAGTATTCCTCCCCCACCCCTACCTCCATCTCTCCTCTGTCCTAAGCATTTTGGAAATGCCAAAACCATGGAGAAAGGTTCTCCTAATGCTTCTGGGTGTCATTCAAAGAGGGATGGTGTACATTATCTTGCCTTTGGATGGTGTCCAACCCAATGCAGTTAAATTAATTTTACCAATTGATTTTGATAAATTTAGGAGCACTTAATTCTGCAAAGGATTGAGTATAGAGTAATAAGCATCAGCTGTAGTTTGGAATGAGTAGAACAGCAGGAAATATTTCAGCAGAAATGGCCATCCCATGAGGCAGTTAGAAAACTAGCTTAGATTTGGAGCATAATTTAGAGAGGTTGATCTGACCTACAAGGGTATTTACTAGGAAGTTATCCTCAAACTCACTGAAATGAAACAAGCACTTTCATTACAAAAAATATGGTCAGGACAGGAGAACCTGCTGATGTATTGTATCCCATGTTAATCAGAAAAAGTAACAAGCCATTTAGTTTTTCCCATTGTAGCCATCAGACTGTCTTGGACTACTTCTGTTTGGACTAGCAATACTTACTGTTGGGATTTGGAGTTAATGCTTGCTCCAATGCAGTGATATTGTCTTATCTAGCTCAACTCAAAGTTCTGGGCACAGCCAATCTGAAGTTGCATTTACAAGATAGGTGGGGCAGAATCAAGTCCATCTACCATGGCTAGATGGCAAGATCAGACCAGGAAGGGTCTGCCAGGACCCTGGACAGAGCTATGCTGGCTGGAACTCAGAAAGAGTTGTTGACTCCTCCACAACATGCAGAGGTCTTAAAAGGATCTATGCAAGGTTGATCATTTGTTAACCCCATCCTCTCTGACAGTTGCCCATCTCTTAACCATTACTTAATTCTGCAGCTACTGGCTGCTCTGGCATGGGGGTGGTGAGGACCACTTTGGAATGAGGAAGTGCTTTATGGGTCTGGCAAAGCCATGTCCTCTGGTCCTCCTCTGAACAAGAGCAGGAATCAGGACCAGAGAACATACAAATGAACAGCATTCAGTACAGGGATCAGCAGTGGATAGCTGGTATTCTGTTTTATGGTCATAACTTTCAAGGATCCTTAGATGTTTAACTAGGAAGTGCTGGAAGCAATACAATGTGGGAGAGCAGGCAGAGAAACAAAAGCATGCAAGCTTTCACACAAGAAAGCCCGGACAGTTCCATGTTCGCCTATCCTCATTACGCTCTGCTAAAGCCACATCTGTTGTTTGGACTAACAGGAATCTATTACCAGCTGTAATAAATCCTGTGGCTGCATGTATGCTTACTTAGTCAAGTTCTGTCTTCTATTTTACAATTCCTATTAGTAGCCCGTATTTCCACAGAGAGAGCTTTTGCTAATTTGGGGACTTAATTATTTCATGCAAAGATTCCTTGCAGGAAATATCCGTTTCAATGAAGTTCCTGGACTACACTCTCCCCCTCCCTCATCATCCAAAACTGTTCACAATTGTCCACAGCAAGCTTAATCTAGTCTACATGAGGATCCTCTTGCTGTTTCATAGGCAAAAGGGTTTAGTTAACTGTACACAGAATTCATTCACACAGCTGTGGATCTCAGCGCCCTACATAATTACAGCTGTAGCTTCTGAGATAATGTGCCCTTTCTTGGGATGCAACTGTGTTTTTCATTCTCTTGTAAAGAGGCCAAAAGAAGCTTAGCGTTGGGCTGCCTTGCTTATGTCATTGCTTTAGCCCCAAAAGGTGCTTTTTCAAGTCAGGCTTTGTTTTAGGATATCAAGAGCATCCTTGATGATAAAAAAACAGTAAGATTTGGCATATCGTTGTATCCAGATAGTGCAGTTGGCTTCTGTTGCTTGTGGAAACCCTGTCAAATCCCTAATTTGACTCGCTTGTACAAGCTACTGTGAAAGTTGTTGCACAACTGCTAGCAGGTCAATGTCAACTAGCATAATGTTGAATATAGCCTGTACTCTGCAAAATGAAAATGGCCATTTAATCTAGTGCCTCCTTTCTAGCAGATACATATAATTTTGAAGGTGAACCAAGAGTACCTCAGTATTCACCAGTACGGCCAATTAATCAAATCTTGATAGCTATTTGCTGATGATGTTCCATGTACATTTACTTGTTCCAGGGAGAGACTCAATAATAAACAATTAATTTAAAATTATTAGCAAGGATTTGCCAGACAGGGTAAATAGACCCAAGAGGGATGTAGAGGGGATGGTGCTAGTAATTACCTGCTTGTGTATTTAACAGAAGCGCCTCTATAATAGTCTGCAAACAAGGATGATGGGGTAAATGAGAAAGAAATTATTTGATGAGAATTAAAATAAAATCCCAAGCTATTAGTTTGGGTTTTGTACCTAGAACACTACTGGCTGTAAATTGCTGTTTCAAATTAGTAGGGATTCCAATGAAGATTTGATCCATTTCTGCTGATTACTGAATTTCTCACAAATGCAGGCATTAAGAGTTTATAAAGCCTTATGACTCAAAAGCTAAAATCAGAGTTTGGACACAGTCTAAGACCATCAGAAGAATTGGGCTGGTTGAAATCAAAGGCCAGGCTAGTCTGGTCTTCTGTTCACATCATGGGCAAACAGCACCCTATTGGAAGCCGTCAAGTACAATGCGAGAGCAACAGTTCCATTCTGCTGGTGGTCCTCAACAATTGCCATGCAATTGCCCTTATTCACAATAAATTTGTCTAATTCTCTTTTTAAAGCTGTTCAAATTGATGGCCATCATTACATCTTGCAGTAGCAAATTCCAGATTTTAAATTATATGCTGTGTGAAGAAATACTTCATTCCGAATCTCCCTCGAAACTTTTTAAGGGGTGACCCTGGGTTCTACTGTAATGAGAGAAACTTTTCCCTAGCTTCTTTCTCCATACAAGACATAACTTTGTACACCACTATGCTTCCCTCTACTTGCCCCTTTTTCTAAGCTAAACAATCGAAGATATTGCAACCTTTCTGCATGGGGGAGCTCCTGTATTAGCTTAATCATTTTGGTTGCTCTTTTCTCCACTTTTCCCAACCCTGCAATATCCATTTTTAGGTGTGGTGACCAGAATGCTACGGAGTATTCCAAGTGTGGTCATATACAGATTTGTATATGAGCAGTATGATATTGGCAGTTTTATTTTTAATTCCTTATTCTAATTATGCCCAACATGGGGTTTGTCTTTTCACAGCGGCTGCACAATGGTTCAGCATTTTCATCGATAACTATACCACACTCTCTTTCTTGGTTAGTTACTACTGTACTAGTTTGGATTCCATCAGTGTACACATGAAGTTGGGATTTTTTAAAAACAATTGCCTATATTGAACTGCATCTATCAGTTTAATATCTACTCTTCTCATCTCGGCTGATCCTTTCGAGTGCTTTGCAATCCCTTTTTAGTGTTAACTACCCTAAATAAGGGGACTGCAGGTGGCGCAGTGGTTTAAACCACTGTGCTGCCGGGCTGGTTGATCGAAAGGTCGCCGATTCGAATCTGCACAAGGGGGTGAGTTCCCGTTGCTCCGTCCCAGCTCCTGCCAATCTTGCAGTTCAAAAGCATGCAAATGCAAGTAGATGAAAAGGTACCACTTCGGTGGGCAGGTAACAGCGTTCCGTGCACTTCGGTGGTTAGTCATGCCGGCCACATGACCACAAGACGGCCTGCGGACAAACGCTGGCTCCCTCGGCTACGAAACAGAGATAAGCACCACCTCCTAGAGTCAGGCATGACTGGATGTAACGTCGAGGGAAAACCTTTACCTTTTTACCCTAAATAATTTGTCGTCATCAGCAAATTTGACCACTTCATTGCTTACTCCCAATTTCTGATAATTTATGAATAAGTTGATCCTGTTACAGGGCTGCCACTAAAATTTCTTTTTCTTTTCCCTGACTCTCCTTTTGTTGACTACCTTGACTACCATTCAAAAATTAATCCCAAAAGAATTCATAGGGTACTTTACATTACATCCATTTTAAAAGTGAGGAAATACTTAAAGCCTTTTTTTTTTTTTGGCCAGGATAGGAGCTTCATTTCATGGATATAGGACTTCCACTTTTGGCCTATAAGAAACACAGATAGGATACTGAAATGTTTTAAAATAATCTGCTTTCCTGAACGTCTATAAAACTGGGTTGATAATCTTTTGTCAATTATTTTTGTTTTAGCTCTCACTTTCTCTTGAATGTCAACGGAACTTCTAAATTTTGTTTCAGAAGAGAAATGGTATTATTTCCTTTTGCAGAAGTAGAGTGCAGAAGTCTATGCTATACTGAGTCTAAACTCCTATTTTACCAGAAAGAAAGAAAGACAGAAAGAAATACAGAAAGACGCCCTCCACTAAATAGCTTTCCTTTTAAAACACATTTCTGTATAAAATGAGAAATTATGTCTGATTTCTAAGCCAATCACATCTTTATGGTTGACAGTACAGTATATTTGTGGCAGGACTGGACTTTACAGATTGGAAAAATAAATACTTGTTGAATACTAAGTCCAACCAGCCACAATTTGCTGACCATTTCAAAATATTCACATCTTCAAACTAACTGAAACAGATTCTAGTTTGTTTGAAAGCACAAATTACCAGTGCTGGGGACTTGAGCTGTGTGACTCAGTCTCAAGTCCAACTCAAGTCACATCAGTGACTCAACCTGGAAGCAATGAGTGAGTGAATCAACTCGAGATTTCTACATTTTTTACGACTGGGTTGCTCCAGGCTTACAGTGCAGCAGAATATCCTGGAAGGCAGGCATGAACACAGCAGGGGCAGTGGGAGGGAGGGAGTTTCAAGGGGTTGGAGGTGGGGCTAGGATAGGGACGTGGTGATGAAACAAGGGGAAAGAAAGGAAACGCTTCAGCACTCCTTTCTGGCATTAGGGAGTTTCAAGGGGACTGGGGCAGAGGCAGGATGGGAATGTTATTTTTTTTGTTTAAATAAATTGTGGTTGAAGTAAAGGACTTCAATGCATCACTGAGAGAAGTGCACATGAGAACACGGCGGGGGGGGGGGAGTTGCAACTCTTCCCCTGGATATATACCCCACCACCACCTCCCCCCCCAATTTTTTTTGTTAAAGTTGGCTCTTTTGACTTGAGAAGAGACTTGAGACATGACTTGACAATTTCTCGACTTGGACTTGAAAGTAAAGATTTGAGACTTGACTCGAGACTTGGTGTAAAGGACTTGAACGCATGACTGCAAATTACCCAGTTGCAAGAAACCAGCCAAATCACACTATCACATGTGGGTTCATTTTATTCCTTTTTTATAGTTAACAACCATTTCAGAATTACAGTATGTGAGCATCATTACGGTACACCTGTGTACGGCTGCTTCTTTGCTCAAACTGTCTCAAATACAAACTGTCCTTTGTATTTAAAAAAATCCATCATACAACTATATTTTAATCACAATTTCCTTGCATTTTGACCAATTTCCAGATTTTTTATTACCAATTAACATTTCCTTGACTTTCCTGAAAGTGGCAGCCCTACAGTACATATCCCTGTGGCACTCCACTGTTTATAACCTTCCCCTAAGAGAACTACCCATACCTCCCCACCCCTGGTTTCTGTTCTTTTACCAGTTACCAATCCTTCCCTCTTATTCCATCACTGCTAAGTTTGCTCAGGAGTGTTTGGTGAGAGCCTTTGTCAAAAGCCTTTTGGAAGTCCAAGTACACAGTATCTATGGAAACACCCCTGCCCACATGTCAAAGAAACAACATACCTTCGCACAAGTCATGTCCACATGTATGCACACAGGAAATTCATGTGAGATTATTTCTTCTGTAAAAAGAAAGAGAATGCTCTGATTTATCTTTTCATGAAGTTAAGTCGTCATCTTTTATGGGTTAACTGCTCCTACATCTCCCACATGTTATACTGTTTATACAAATAAGAAATTAGCATTATTTTAAGTACAGGTTGGCAGCTGAGAGTTTGTCAGAACGTATGTACTCCTTTTCAGGAAGCTAAGTTTGGTTATGGCCCCTCATTAATAGCACAATCCTATAGGTATCTACTCAGAAGGAAGTCCCATTGAATTCAGTGGGGCTTATAAAACCAGATATGCGGATATAGCATTGCTTCCTCAATACAATGCTTCCCCGTGGCAACCTTGAACTTGCACCTGGATAGACTTGCTAAGTTCCACTGAAGTATTAAACATCATCAACAAACGAACACTCATTGCAATATTTTTTTTCTAGATTAATGGCTTTGACCATGCAAAGACTGCATGATTTCTATACACATCTACTGAGACGTAAATCCCACTGAGTTCGATTAGATTTCACCGGGGTAAGCGTTTTTAGGATTACAGTCTGCGGTGACACAATGAACCTAAAACAATTTCGAAAATCTCACGAAGTAAACACTTCAGAACACGAATCTGTTAACTTGTTTGTGGTTTGCTGTACTTCACACCGTAGGAAGATGTCAGAGAAAAGGGAAGGGGAGACTCACCGCATCCCAGTTATTACAAAGGACATTTGAGAAAGAAAAAGCCACCTTTTTCTACGCCATTCTCTCTCTCCGCTCGCTTTCTTCTCGTTTGAACCTCCAGTCACAAACGCTAATTTTTCTTCCCAGGCGAGGCCATTGGGTGTCGCTGCCGCCCTCATTCACACGGCGAGAGCGGGTCGGGTCGGGCCCGGCCCACTCGCCGGATACCCGGCGTGGGCTCCGGAAGGAAGAGGCGCTGAGAGTCGCGGAAGCACCGGAGCCGCGGCACAATGGCGCGGGCCAAGGTAACGTGGGAGACGGGACCCAGCGCTCGAAGGAAGCCGCCGGTGATGCTAATGCACGCTGCTTCCCGCAAATAGTTGGCACTCAGGAAACGGGTTCGAGGGCGACCTCGGGTTGCTTTCACCCGGGCTGCCTAATACCAATGCAGAGCGATCGTGTATGCATGTTTAGACAAGATAGAAATAAAAGCCCCACAACTCTCGGCATTTCCCGGCTGGGGCATGCCGGGTATTGCAGGACATTTCCTAGTCTGAACATGCAAGGCATTGCGCCCTTAGTCACTTTGCGACACCCTTACATTGCCCTGTTTTGCTGTTATACCAAGATACTTAATCACTGGATCGCCTCGCCCCAACCTTCCTCCATTAAGAATAGAATATCAGCGGCTTCTAGTCCTGGTGGCTGTATGCTACCCCCAGCTTCAGAGGCAGCGTGTCGGTATACTAGCTTTGTTTTGGACTTGGGCAGAAGGATGCTTTGCATCCATGCTCCCTTTGGGGGTTTCCTGTAGCCAGCTAGTTGGCGACTGTGTGAATAGATGAACCCTGTTCTACCGTACGGCAGGTGCGCATGCGTGGTAAAGGAAGTGGTAAAATGATCGTCTGGATTCCCCTCCCCCCGCGGATAAAGCTAAGAGGTGCTTGCTTACAATGTAAACTAGGAATAAAATAGAGAATACAGTGGATTCTTGGTCCTTAAATCGGGGTGTAAACACAAGGGGGCCTTTGATCAATATCGTGTTGCTTTGCTTAATTACCCCCAAAACACTTTTCTGTAGTCAGTTTTGGTAGAAAGGATCATCATGTCCTCCCAATTCATGCTTTGGGATGAAGATGGGAGTTCAGTAGTGCAGTAGGTTATGTCTATCCAAAAGGAAGCCCCATGTTCAGTGGAGTGTGATGCCAGGTATAATACAGGAGTTTAGACAGGTGACTTTATGGAAACACTAGAACATGCAAGTACATGTATGCACACTTGCTATATTCACACATAATGCCAAGCCATGCTCAAAACTGTGCAGAGCCAGGGCTTCTTGTTATGTGTGAATTCAGTAGCCATGGCATGTTGGATTTCCATGAAATCCCATGGAAAATGAGCAGCCTGTTGTAAGGTTTGCACATTTCACCATCACTTGTTGTCATGTGTGACCTCAGTTACTATGCTTTTGCACAGTTTCCACATCTCCACTATTGAGTTTGAAGGCAAAAATGTCTCTGGCTGCTGCAGAGGCAGCAGCTTTCATTTTTTGCTCTCCTGTCTATTAACTGCTGAGGCAGCTGCAAGCATGCTCCGATTGGCTGCTTCATGCTCCCTGCCTTTCTTCCCTGCCAGCATGCAGCTTTCTGCTGCCCAGCTGTGACAATGGGATCTTGTCAGCAGCAGGACATTGCACTGTACCCCCTCCAGGAGCAGCAACCAGCCATGTTTGGGACTCCTGCCTGGTTTCTGCTCTGTGCTGGGCTGACACTTTGAAGTTGCACTGTGCTTCTGCTACTGCAGAGCAAGCTGTCTCCTCATATGGTGGCAACCCTGCTTGTAAGGTGTACATGGTGGGACTTGGTCAGCAGCGTCCCATGGATCCTATGCCTTCCAGTGTTGTCTTCTGCCTTCTGCCCTGCTCCTCATAACTCCCCCCAAGCTCCACCAACTCCTCCAACTCCTGCCCAGCTTGCCAGCAAGCTTTGCCAGGCAGATGGCCAGACCAGCACCCTTGGGATAGGCTCCCTGACAGAACACACTCCATCCCTGGCATGGGTCTCTGCACCGATGCCCCCTGTGCACCTGGCTTGCGGGGCGGCAGCTCCTGGCTGTGCACGTGAGTCCTGAGTGTGGGGGAGCATGGATACGTGCAGGGAAGGGGGTGGGGTGTGTGGAGGGGTGGGTATGCTTGTGCATGGGCACAGCATGTGGCAGCGGTGGGGAGCACTCCTGCAGATGCCACTCTGCAGCAACAGTGCCACTCTAGCCAGTAGTCCACTGGTGAGCATGCCCCACCTGATGACTTGGCACAGTTTATGATTATTAGCTGCTCTGGGTGTTTCCAAAGATAGAAGTAGGACATAAAAATTAAATTAAGTAACAAAAATAATAGGCAACGTAAAGAATTCTAGTACATGTTTGCATATTCTCATTGGTGGCAGATATTCTAGAATCAGTGGCATATTGGTTGCTCTTATTTCTCAGGTATGGGGAGCCCCCTCCACCCTGGGCATGGTTTGGACAGGCTCCACCCTCCGGTGGCTTAGGAGGACACCATGGCAGGACAGTGTATCAAATTAAGGGTTATTCCAGCCTGTGTGACACGCCATCTGTCCACTGGTTAAAATATAAGGTTTAAAATGCAAGGCAATCTGTCAGTAAAACGGAAAGCAAAACTTGTTAGAGCAGGTGCGGGGGGGTGGGGAGGTTTACAGATTTTGGCTGTTCGATCTCTGAAATGTGTATACTACCTTGATGACAAAAAATGCTAAATTTTGTAATGAGAGATCTGTTTCCCCTATTGCCTTATTTTATCTCGTGCTCTTTCCTTATTATTTTGGTTTGGTTTTATGTCTTATTTTTGAAAAATGTATTAAGGGTACGGTTATATGTATGATTAGACAAATGAAAAGTCCTAGAATTCCTAGCTGGCTGGGACATGCTGGGAGTTGTAGGTATTTTTTTAAAGCATGTATAGGATTGTACCCTAAAGAGGTCTAAAAGTCAGTGTCTCTCTCTCTCTCTCTCTCTCTTAGACACACGCACACACTCACACACCTTTTGTCATTGTACTGCATATTACCTGCATATATTTCCAATCGTATACATGGCACAGTGCTTGAATGAAAAGTCATTATCGTAAACGATGAAAAAGATAAGAGTTGTTAATATACTGCGTGCAGAGTTTGAATAAAGAGAAAATATGTCTGCGCTGGAGTTTTCCTTCTATCTTTTAAGTATTCAATCAACCTTTACTGTGCTACTTTAAACACTTTATTTTAATGGTGATAAAAGCCATTTTACAAAGATAATCAGACTGAGATGTTTTTCCCTTCAGGAGTCTTTTTAATCATTTATTTTTCTACAGTGTTCTTCCAATAGAGATGCAGAATTTAAAATTGCACATTGACAATACAACCCTTATGGATGTTTACTTTTCTCAGAAGCATTTCCTATCAGTGTAGTGGGGCTTACTCCTAGATAAGCTGTCTGAAAACTACAGTGGTACCTCGGTTCACGAACTTAATTTGTTCCACGATTCTGGTTGTGAACTGAATTGGTTGCAAACTGAGTCAAATTTCCCCATAAGGTTCAATGTAAATAAGGTTACTCCATTCTGAACCATATGTATTTATTTTAACCACAAAAATATGAAACAAAGTACAATACAGTAGAGTATGAAGAGAGAGAACACTAACCTTGCTTGAGGCAACTTCTGGCATGGAGGACAGAAAATTGGGTGGGGAGGAGGTTATTGTTTGTAGGGAGAGTCTGTGACCGCAATCTCGACTAGAGGAAGCCACGACCACGTGTCAGAGTGGGAAAGATAGCCACATTTGTATTCATGAGAACATGAACACGGCCATCCTCCCCGCATGAACACGATCGCAGCCATCTTCCCCGCTCGAACACGCTCTGACACGTGGTCACGGTACAGGGAAGATGGCTGCGATGGTGTTCATCACCTGATGTGGAGTTTGCAAACGGAAGCAAAATTTTGCCGAACGTTCTGTCTGCGAACCGAATTGTTCATGAACAGAAGTGTTTGTGAACCGAGGTATTACTGTTTATTGGTATCCTTGACTTACTTTACAGAGGAAAGGCATTGCAACTCCAGAAATCTCCATATAGGGCTATACATATGTACTTACAATATTCCACTCTTTTGATTGCAGTCATATTCTAATTCAGTTTGTTTTGTTTTCCTTTCTTAAGGCAGCAGTGGTGCTGTGCATGGATGTTGGCTTTTCAATGAGTGGTTCGGCACCAGGAGAAGAGTCTCCTTTTGACCAAGCAAAGAAACTGATAACAATGTTTGTGCAGCGGCAGGTAAAATATATTTGGAAAAATGCATACGCACCTTGCAAGAAGTTACAGTATACTGTTGCAGATTGAAGATCCATGTTGAATATTTTTTCTCTTCCTTCTGTAACATGGAGTGGAACTGACAAACCTTCTGAAGTTATCCCGTTCTGTGTTTTGCTCCCCCCTTCCCCTCTGGATGCAGCAGTTGATTAATTATTGTAGAGCAAAGGGAAGGAAACACAGCATGGATATCAGAACATGGGTAAATTTCCCAACATGCTGTAAAACGGTGGGGAGTGTAAACTTGTCTCAGCTGTTGTTTGCGGTAGCAGCTCCATGTTTATTGCAGTGTTTAGTTCAGTCTAGCCCAACTTGGTACACAACAGAGGGGTCCATACCCTCCACATCCCCCAGCCTGCCATGCTGGGAGTTGTAGTCCAACACACCTATTGGGTATCAGGTTAGAAAGGCTGGTTTAATTGCATTCTTACCATGATGTGTACCAAGGATTCTGCACATGGAGGCCTGGTCCAAATCAATCCTGAAGATACTTCCTGGCCTTCTCCCAGGTGCTAAGTTGACAAGGTATGGAGAAATTGGTAACTATAACAACAGAGCTTGATGACAGGCTGTCTGGGATCAGTTCAGGTGCCAGCCTACCAGCCTGTAAACTCTTCTCAACGTTGTGGACTTAGAATATATACAGCCTAGAAAGCTGAGAGCTTCTTAGGGCACACACACTTGTGCATATGTAGACCGTAAAAATCCTACAACTGCCAGTATTCCACACTTAGGCAGTTTTTTTTTCTTTTAAACAAGCATGTAATTATATCCTTACAAATCAGTTGCAGGAAGAAGTGGAGAGATATGTACTGGACATCTCTCCAAGTCCTACTTCTTCCCATGAAGTTAAGCATTTGTGGCAAAAATGGAGAAAGTCTCAGTAACTGAGAAATCAGGACAAGCTTATTTCACAATCACTGTAGAAAATGCATTAAGTTCCATTATGGCACATTTAATATCAAGTAAATCTATGTAAAGAAAAAGAAGATAAAATCTATATTACTATTGCATTGCATTTATTCCTCACCTTTCTTCTTCTTGCAAAAATAAACAAAAAGCCCATGGTGGCTTACAAGGTTCTTTTCCTTTCCATTTTAGGGACATGGCGGGATAGGCAGAGAGTCTGTGACTGGCCCAAAGTCATCCAGGGAGCTTCACAGCCATGTGGGGACTAGAACCTGGATCTCTTGTGTTCCCAAACCAACACTCTCACCCCGACACTGGCTTTCCACCTGTATCTTAAGACTGCTTTAGATGTTGCTGGGGGAGAGGTCTTTCTAACAGTGTTGTCTAACCTTTCGAAGCATTTCCAAAGCTTGACCTGCTGCCCTCATAACAATCTGACAGTTGAGAATTAAGTTGAAATATGATTAAGTATATTATATATGATGCAAATAAGGTGGGGAAAATGAATCTGTAGTACATAAGGCTTAGCTGTAAAGGTTATGTTGCTGACTTTGAATTTACCCTGTCACCTCTTTACCATTTCCAGGTGTTTGCTGAAAGTAAAGATGAAGTTTCCTTGGTTTTGTTTGGCACAGAGAACACTGCAAATTGTCTTGCCAGTGGAGATCAGTATCAGCATATTACTGTGCACAGACATCTGATGCTGCCAGATTTTGATTTGTTGGAAGACGTGCAAAATGTGATTCAGCCTGGCTCTGGACACGGGGACAGTATCCTTTCTGAAACTTGATTTTTTTTCCCACTAGATAACAGTTGTGTGGAGCATTGAGAATTTGCCTTGTAAAAATGGTCAGGAATTGGCATGTAAACCAATTGCAAGAGTAATTGTGTTTACAAAGCTCAGGACCAGGATACTTAAGAGATAACTATCGGAACATCTACCTGTGTGTTCATTTGCTGTGCCCATCAGGAGATGCCCTGCTGGTGGTGCCTAAAATTGTGGCATTCTGGTCCATGATGGCAAGAAATAGAACTTACATATTTGTAGTCCCTACTCTGTCTGGAGCTGTCTACCAGTACAAATTAGACAGGCATCAATTTTTCTGTGGTTTTGGAAGCTACTGAAAGCATTGTTGTTTTAACAGCCTTTCCTACAATGATGATCCCATCTTCCTCATTGTTATGCAATATTTTATTATGGTTTTATATTGTATTGTTTAGAAATGAACAGTTTTAATGTAAACACATAATAAATGTCAGTACATGGTAGGGTTAAGAGAAACCCTTTCGGAATCTATGTCTCCAGCCTCCTCAGACTTCTACTTGTGCTTAGCCCAGTCCTGGCAAGCCAAGCCAAGCCAAGCCAAGCCAAGCCAAGCCAAGCCAAGCCAAGCCAAGCCAAGCCAAGGGGAATTCAGCAAATGCTTGTGGACTTCTGGTTGTACAACCTGCAACCTTCACCATCAGGAGTGGCTGCAGGATGCAGAGAAAGGGTGCTGCACACAGGTGTGGCAGGCACACTTCCCAGAAACCAACCTTCTTTCACTCTTGCTAGTGCCAGTGGTGGTGCAGGGGGGAAAGAGCCTCTGCTTGTGGAGAGTGTGGGGCTTGATTCCTTGCAAGTGCCTTGCAAACACTGGCCACAGTTCCCAGGGACTTGGACTCCAAACCACAGCAAAGCAGACCAGAGCTGAGGGAGCTGGGGAGCTGAGCTCAGGGCATCTGATGGATTCCCACCTTCTAATGGATTCCTTACACATCTGACTGGTTTCCCTAGTACATAGATGACTTAAGAAATCTGTGAAAGTGCCAGGTTATTTCTTAGGGGAAGTATCCAATTCAACACTCGTACTAATATAAATTACATTGTGGTAGCTTAAACGACCTCTTTCGCAATGCCAATAGAATTTGGTACAATGTACTTTATATTGGTGGTTGTGTCAAGTTGGATAATGCCCAGCAGGTATACTGCAAAACAAATTTAGGCTTCTATGAGACATATAGATTTCAATATCAGATTCTCGGTAGAATCTTAGATCATGCCTTTGCTGACTGAGAGTTCCATAAATATACATAGGTACATGTAGAGCTCCTGCTTATGTTGGGGTCTGTCCCCATTAATGTAATCGCACAACCTAATCCTCAGAAGTATGTTCCTTTGGGCACTAAGATTAGGCTTCACCTTTGAGTTTAGTGTATGCACCAGAGTGCTTGAGTCCATGAGCAATCTCTAGATTGTATATGTTGTGTTCTAATACTGAGTTGATTAAGATTTGAGTTTTCCTACTCTGCTCTTTTTGATAGCATTTAGAAGCGCAAATAATAATGGTTAGAAACTGGGAGAATTCAGAGGATTTAAATAATCTGAAATATGGGGGAAGTAATGGTATTGCTAAGATAATTCATTAATTGTTTTGTGCCCCAAAAATGCACTAGGTAAGTGCTACGAAATACTGCATCTATAGGACTGGCATAGGATAATAACCACATCCTGGTCAATGTCTACCAAACTGTCTTGTTACTTTTCCTAATATGCTTAGTACTCGATGCTCTCATTGTGTGCATGGACTTGCTTCAAAAGGAAACAATGTAAGTACCTTGTCAAATGGATATCTTTCTGATATACATTTTAGAAATGGTTCTTAGTCGTTTTCAATGCTGGCACATTATGTTGCTTGGGAGATGCCACCTTTTTAGATATTGCTGTATGGAGAATATATTGAGTGAGTATGAAATTGACAATAAAGGGATTTTTAAAAAAAAATATTATAAAGTATTGAAGGATGTTTTCCAGTGAAATTCTTATACAAGAAATCAGATTCTTCATGCATTTTACCCAACAATTTAATAAATAGGGTTATTTTTGGATGCTTTCAGGTCAAATGCTGGTTTGTTAGTTTGGTGTGCAAGATGGTAAAACCTCTCAACCAGTTTTTGTGTGTACATATTTATACCAGGACAAACTTTGGAAATAGTTTCATAATTACAAGCTTGTTTCCAATTACAGAATAAATTGAAAATAAGATCCACTGGTCTTTCCTTCTCACCCTTCTCTTTTTGTTTTGTTTTTACTTTTGGACTTTGGACACGTAAACTTTCTAGGGACACTTTACAAAGTTCTCTGTCAAGTTAATTGGTCACCTTGTTGCTTGAGGGATCAACCTCACAGCACTAAAAATCAGTTAATAAATGTTAAATAAATGTTAATAAAAATGTTAATATCTCATTTGCATTGACTTATGTATAAGTGAAATAGAAGATGCTGATTTCAATAGCGCTTCCTTGATTGACGACAAGTGGAGTATAGCCATTTGTTCATGTTAAACACTACAAGAATTGCTTCTTTCCATTTGTGAAAAGGAAGATAAAAATACACAACTCCAGTATGGAATTAATTAAGCAATATTTGGTAACGTTATAGAACAATCATTGTAAGCTGCAAAGCCTCCATGTATTATAGTTATAGACAATGAGCAATATCCAGTGTTGCCCATTGCTAGGAAGACTGACTGCTAGCACAGTGAGAAGTTAGTGCATCATAAGGCAACAGGAAAGAGCAGAAATGCTAGTTTCCAGAATGGGTCAGATCAGTGGAGTTCACAAAAGTGTTGCTTTCAGAAGAACAAGTTCTTTTTGCATGAACACTAGAACAGAACTAGCGGAGACACAATGGCAAGATTAGGTACTGCTTTATGTAAGTTATGTACACTATGGATTTTGTCAAGATGTGGCAGGAGAAACATATATAGAAGTTCATATTTTGTAAAGAAGCAGTCAAAATATTGCAGGTTGATATTCATACTATTGAAACTTTTTGTCTTTTCTAAGAGGGAAAAAATATAATAAACAACACATTGAGGTGTTTACTGATCTCAGTAGTCCCTTCAGTGAGGATCAACTGGATGTTATCATTGCTAACTTGAAGAAAACGGGGATCTCGCTTCAGTTTTTGTGAGTGCAGAAAAGATATTATTCCTTCTCTATGCTGTTTTCAGAAAAAGGATATTAACTACCTATAATTAGCAGTTAATGCATAGTCATGTCTAATGTTTTTGGATAGGCACTGCAGTTTGCCATTACCAGGACTGTATATACTCTATATACAAATAAAATCTAAATTCTGCTATCTATCTATTTATCTATAAGCAAATGAAGCCATTTTGCACTTTTTTTCTTGTTTTGCATATCTGACTCTGCTCTTAGTACTCATGCACAGGGGCAAAGAATTACACAGAGTTTAAACACTCTGTCTCCTGAGCCCTTGAAATGTTATTTAGTCATCTACCTTCTGAAATTTATGCTTAAAGACCTAATGCACTTTCAAGGCTAGAAGCATACTTTTTCAAGTAATAGCAAAGGACCAAATTCCATTTTGGATAAACTTCTGAGGTCTACTTTCTAGTGAAAGGCAGGGCTGAAACCAAAAAGCTGAGATCCTTGCATCTCAGCTATTAAAATTTGGCTAAATGCAATTGATGGGACCACAATCCCAAAGAAAACAGGCTAAAACAGACCATTTGTGACATACAGTTAAACTGTTAATTAATTGGGGACAATGAGGCTTTATATTTCCAATCACTATTTTCATTTTTTAGATTCTCCTATAATATCTTCAGGGCTAAACCATACGTTTGGTGAAATCCATGCCTTTTTTGTCTTTGTCTTGGGAAAGCAATCAGAATCAGCACCAAAGCACATCAGTAGTAGGGTTTTTTTTAACCCTTTTACTTCACAATCTTGCTACTTCCTCACAAAGCTGTATTTCCTCTGCCCAGCCACCCCATTCCTGGAAGGGTGCAGAATACATTAACTTTCCAAAGATGATGTATTTTTGTTGATTCAAAAGCATATTCTTTCCTGGGGTAAATGCTGCTTCAACAGGAGTGGGAGGATTTTTACTTGGGAATATGGGAAAGAATTACCATTTCCCTCTGCCCTTCTTGTCAGACCTGATATTGATTGGATGCTATGAGGAATCAGGACTGCTTCTCCCAAAATTCACCATGCTGAGATGGTTACTTAGTTAAAACATCAAATCCAGTGAACTTTGACATGTAAGCCAAGTGGCTGGTGAGAAGCAGACAACCTCTGGTTTGGGGGAGACACTATGAATTGTAGAGGGCCAGAAAGGGAGGAATGTAACTTAATAAGTCCTGTCATTCAGTGCCAGGTCAAGAATGCCAGCCAATTCAGTAACGTGCAGAGTTCTAGCTCAAGCAGCAGAAACCTCCCAGAGGATGGAGCTAATTCCATTTGGTGAGGAAAAGAGGAGTGGGATTCAGTTTGGAATCAAATTCTTAGTCTGAGCTGTACTCTTTCTAATTTAGCTCATTAATTTGACAGATGTCTTTTTGTAATGGCCACTGCAATGCTTCCTTTGTCTAACAAAGCTAGTCCTCTCTGACTCGCTTTACCTTAATCAAAGACTGTAGTTAGAAGCCTCTTGTCTCCTTCTGTTGGGAAGAGAAAAGGAAAGGGGTGGGGAAGAAACCAGCTCACAACAGATGCATGCCCCCTAAAAAAGACATGCATTTCATATAGAGACCTGGTTTGTGTGTAACAATAACCTATAGTGTGGATTGAGCATGGGTTGTTAAATCATGGGATGTGAATGAATCATGGGTTATTGTTATGTGAAAACCCTTCATAATAGTTTAACATTGGGTTGCTTACAAACAACCCAAGAGTTTGCAACCCAACAACAATCCATGGGTTCTCTACCCATGGGTTCTTCATGATTTGCAACCCAGCATTATATCTCAGTGCAGAGTTTGCACATAGTGACAACCTATGATTCAACAACAACTCACAATTTCATTGATAGTCAGTGCTCTGGGTTACCCTGACATATAACCTAGGCCAGCCTTCACCAACCTTGTGCTTTCCAGATATGTTTGGATTACAACACCCAGAATTCCCAGTCAATGACCCTGCTGGATGGGAATTCTGGGAGTTGCGGTCCAAACACTTCTGAAGGCCACCAGGTTGGGGAAGGCTGGCCTAGGCCACTGTGCATTTGGCTCTTGGTTGCCAAATTATAATAAATTAAGAGTCTCACATAGATGTATACTTAACTCTTAATTTGATCTCTTTCTGCAGATGGAGATTTGTCTGCTTTATTTATGAATTCTTTAAAAATGTGTTGTTGATGTTACCTCCTGTCAAGTCTGACTCTATGAATGAATGCTGTCCGCAGCCCTGCTCAGTTCTTGTCTCAAGGCTGTGGCTTCCTTTATGGAATCAATGCATCATTCATTTAGTTTTCCTCCTCCTCCTCTTCTTCTGTTTTTGGCTTTTCCTAGCATGATTGTCTTCCCCAGGGAGTCTTGCCTTCTCATGACATGCCCAAAGTACAACACTCTCAGTTTTGCCATTTTTGCCTCCAGGGCATGTTTGATCTAAGACTCACTTGCTCATCTTTCTGTTGGTCCAGGGTATTCACAAAGCTCTCCTTCAGCACCATCTTGGAGACTTTACCCCTTCTTAATATCCCGTGAAAGTCATGCAATGTGTGAGTAGTAGCGCAGCAATAAATACGCATCAATGGGAGTTTGCTTGCTAGGGCTTGAGAGTGACATTTGAAAGTGTATCAGAATAAAAGGAGGCTATAAAGTGTGAATTCACATATTTTTCCTATTTAAAAGAAGAAAAGCCATTTGAGTGCTTTGCCATTGTTCCTAGTGAATGAAGAACACTGAAATTGCTTTTAACTGTATTCTTAGCTTGCCATTTCCAGCAAATGATGAAGGTGGAAGTGGGGACGCAATTGGTGAGGCACCCTCTAAGAGGAACCAGAACCCTTTTCCAAGAAAGGGGCTAAATGAGCAGCAGAAAGAAGGCCTCCAAATGGTGAAGAAACTCATGTTATCACTAGATGAAGAAGAAGGCCTGGAGGACATTTACACTTTCAGGTAAACCTGGATTGTTGCAGCTTCTGTTATTACTGTTTCAATCACAGGAAAGTATAAACTGTATGCCCAGAGAGAGTTCTGTATAATTTGAGCTGTGCAATTTCCTGGCAGCATAGTCGTCCTTTACTTGGAAGTAATTCTATTAATTACTGTATAGGTCTGCATAAGCAAAGCTAGATGTTCAGCAGCATATCCAGAATTCTGCTTAATATCTTGGAAGGAGCAATAAGAGGGTATGGTTTGGGAAGAGAAGCCATGGGAAGGAAAGGAAGTGCTTCTTATTTTTTAAGTAATATTGAGTTGCCTCTTTATGCTCATGTACTTGTGGCAATATGCAAAATTAAAATAAATATAACTAAAAATACAACATCTTTATATAAACTTCACAGCATAAATTAACCAGCAACAACACACCAAAGCAGTACAGGAATCATGTCAAAAGCAAACTCTTCTGGGAAAAAATAACACAAGGCAGCATTCAAACAAGCAGCAGTCTAATTAATAAAATCAGTAGTAAAACCAGCAGTCATAAAAATATCAGCTATAAAAATATTTATTGCTATGGTTTTGTCAGTGACAACCCCTAGATCTCCTTGACGCCCCTGGAGTACAATCACGTAATTAGTTCTGCCAAATTCTTGTGAAGGTCCTTTAATGCGGAACCACTTCTGGTTGCACAGGACTGTTAGGAGTGTAGTTAAGCAGGCTTTCCTTACTCAAAATTTTCATAAGGTCAGTGTCCTGCCCACCCCCCCCCCACTCCTTCTCTTAGGAAAAAAGAGAAGGTAACACACATCACTCCCTGTTCTTTTATCTGCAACTCACATCCTGTCATCCAGCTGTTTTTACCCATCTCAAGCTTTATTTTATTTCATTATTCAATTAAATAATTTCATTATGGCACTTTCCACAGAGGTAGCAAAGCAACTGACATAAAATTCCATGGCATCAAAGCAACAGAAAACGTAATAATAAAAACAAGTTCAGCACACTCAGCCATAACTCTCAGGGTCATATTTCAGAGAAGCCTGTGTGAAGAGAAGAGTTTTAAGAAAACATCTGAATGCCAGCACTGTGGGGGCCTGTCAAATGTTAATTGGTAAAGAGGGGCAGGCGGTGCTGCCTCGCTAAATGCCCTTCTACGAGTGCTGCTGAGCATATGGCACCCTTAGAAGCGCTCCCTAAAATGATTGCAGAGATTAAGTAGGGACATAATGTGTGTGGAACGAAAAACCTCCAGGAATACAATATTCAAATATCCTGTTGCTGATATAATGTTTCCGCAGTATTAGCATAATGACATGTTTGAACTAGTACTGTCGTTTGGGTGGAATGGGCCAACACATTTGTGCTGGTACAACAAGACTTAAACTTCAATTGGTACATAAATCAGCAGAATCTTAATCCCTGTAGAAGCAATGCTAGAATATTGTGGAGTTTGTCAGACTTAATGTCACAGAGCTGTTTCATGTGTTCATGTCCGTGACCTGATGCCTCATAGCTGAATTCATGAGTAGGCTTTGCTGAATAGCTTTGTATTTGAGCCCATTTGGATGTTCTGCCTGCATATGGTGTGGTCTGTACAATGAACATGGGTAAACCAGGGCACAGAGGCATTAACTGCATTCAGACCTACGTGGTTACATCTAGCCTGTCCCATGATCCCTTCTGTAAGAGAAAAACTACTCAGGAAAGCTACTCTAGACCATAATTTTGTTAAACAGGCAGTTTTGTACTTGCACTCTAGGTTGAGTGTTTTATGGTGCCTCACCAAATAGCTTTCCTATTTGTTTTATCATTCAGAGAGAGCCTGGAGCGGCTTTCAGTATTCAAGAAGGTTGAACGGACACCCATGCCTTGGCCCTGCCTGCTTACAATTGGTTCTAAATTGTCTATAAGGATTGTGGGCTATAAATCAGTAAGTATTTTGGACCACATTGCAGCTTTACTTCAGGATTAGGTTAATTGACACATGCCAAATTGGGTGCTAATAGAAAGGGAGACATTACATCATGGATTAGTTAGTTGAAAATATGGTCATTTTTCATGTTATGAAATACTATATTAAAATTCACAATCTAATTTCTGAATGCCTCATTCACAGTGATAACTCATATCTGGCAGTTAGATAAACCCAGTAAGAATGAAGTCTCTTCAGGAACTTGTCATAGTGGATAAAAAAATCATTTACTTGTCATACTTAGGATTCTCATAATAGTGATGTTATGTCATCAGTCTCTTGTAATCAATGAATGTTGGAAGCACTGACTACATTCACACAATACAACAAGCAGCTCTCTACTTTATCATGGTTTCCATCCGCCCTACTCCGTCTGCTTTATCATGGTTTCCATCCTCTCCCATTGTTGGCATATATCCTGCCAGCTGCTGCGCCTAATCCTAAGGGGCATCGCTGCCTACCTATATTTCCTGCCTGCTCCTCATTGGTACGTACATGGAGGCTAGATGGCTGGAGAGGTGCCTGCAGTTGCCACTCTTTCCAGAGAACTCTAGTAGTTACATACCTTGACTGTGGAAACCATGCTTCTGGGTTCGGACAACATGACTAGTCACAGTGCTGCAGAGAAACCAGAGAACAAACCATTATTTCTTATCATAGTTTCTAAAGACCAAACTTACCATGGTGAAATGCCACAACTGAGTTCAGATGACATGACAGACCAATAATGATAAATCATCACCATGGCTTTTCATGTTGTCTGATCCCAGCAATTGTCATGCCATGATTTGTGCACCTGAGAAGGACATTTCATGTGTTCAGGAGGGTTTTACTTTTACATTGTAAATGGATTGCTATTTCCCAAGAGGCAAAGTTGGAGGTCAGTGTTTAATAGCACTTAAAATTGCATATATAAATTAAAATTAAATGTCTTCTTTTAAAATCTAATGTCAAGTTCACTGAAGAGAAAGTGAAAAAAACTTGGACAGTTGTGGATGCCAAAACTCACAAAAGAGAGGATATACAGAAAGAAACAGTTTACTGCTTGAATGATGATGATGAAACTGAAATTCAGAAAGAGGATGTTATTCAAGGTATGATTTCTCTGCTTTGAATGCCAAGATTTTCCAGGAGGAGCTTTGAGTTTGGAAGAACATTAACACCTATTTGTTAGAAACAAATAGTTATGCTTATTTTTTCAACCCTCTTTCAGGTACTCTCTCTGGCTTAGATCAGACATAATGAGAAGCCATAGTTCAGTGCTGCAAGAAGGAGATTGTTTAACCCTACATGTATTTATAGGCTGCCTATAATTGCTGAGGCCTTCCTAGGCAGCTTTAAAATGGCCACAGAGTTTATCTAAAACGGTCACAGAAAGCACCTGGTGTGTGCAACAGCAGATTGTAAGATCAACTCCATATTTGCCACTATTGCACCCAACCTGACCCATAGTCTTCAGTCTTTGGCAGTATTATCAGGAATATAATAATACAGTTTGCACCTAGAGGAGAACATTACTTCGGATTAGGAAATGTGCACCAAGAAATGTGGAACGGAAAAAAGCTAAGACTTTATTCATGCAGGCATTTACCAATAGGAACTATTATTACTGCTGTGTTTTTATTTTTTTTATCATTGTTACTTCTGTATTCTAGATTAGTAGTTTAATTTTGGTGCTTTCATATTAAATGTTTTAATGCTGATTTATTATGTTTGATCTAATAGTAAGCCACCTTGGGCATTACATAAAATGGTGGCGCACAGAACTTTCAAATAAAGTGTCAGCCATGCAATTTTTCAGGAGAGTATATGATAAAGGAACAAAAATAAAGAAAATGCACACTTGCTCAGCAGAATGGTTTCGCCACAGAAGTGTTGTGGTTTTTCATAAGGCATTAGTGCATCTTTAACATGGCATTTCACTCTGTGAAATCCTCAGAGGATGTTACATCAAGTGTTCTGCAGAGTTTTATGTCACTGATTCTGGATTTGCACACACACTAGACACGCACCCAAAAGTGGTTTTGTGTCTTTACTGAGCAAGCTTCAGATTTGCTTTATTGGTGCGAGCATACAGTAAGGCACAAGGAGCAGAAACACCATTTATAATAGAGAATGTTAATTTGATATTTGTTCCAAGCACCAGAGCATTGAAATTGTTTTGATTCATGGATACATTGTTAATTATGCAGAAGCTTTATCGGGGTGTTAAAAGTCACAAACTATGAGTATTAGATGCAACATGTAGGACACCTTTTGGAGGAAGGATGCCTTCTGAGCCCAACCCCTCCCACCCAATCTTTTTAAAGCGTGTGTGGCTGATAGGACAACCATGCTTGCTCCACAACTTGAAATGCTTGCACCACAACTTTTCCAACTTCTCTGCCCCCCTGCCTGTATTTGGGGCTTCCACGCACTCTAGCCAGCATGGTCAATGGCCAGAATTTTGGAAATGGCAATCCAAAATATTTGGAAAGCAACAGGTTGGAGAAAGCAGCCTTTAAAGATTGTTGGGTGGGATGGAGACTAGAGGAAATGTGCCAGTTTTCCCATCCCCTCCACCCTGCTGAGGGATTGAGCCAGGAGGACACACACTGCAAAGTGCTTGCTTTCTAAGCCGAATTTATTCCCTGCCCACAGGCTGAAGGAGAGCAAGCAGCAGGCTTAACGTGTAACTCCAGCTGGCTGAGGACGAATGCCTGCCTGCTGCTTTCTCTTGCCAGGAATTCAAGGTAGTATGTATGCTCAGTGTGTGACTGCTCCCCCAGCCAACTTGTATTTTCCTGCAGTGCTGTTTTTCTTCTTTCACACACCCCATTTAGGCCTGTGATATTTCCATGTGAAGTTGTCTTACTGAACCATTACTAACATAGGAAATGACTCTCTTGTCCCGTAGGATTTCGATATGGAAGTGATATAGTCCCTTTCTCTAAAGTGGATGAAGAGCAGATGAAATACAGGACAGATGGAAAATGTTTTGCCGTCTTGGGGTTCAGCAGGTCATCTCAGGTACAGCCATACATATGGAGACTGTTCATAGTTCAACTCCAAGGCTAGTTTCCGATTAACTTGAAATGTATCCCAGGACAAAGCAGGACGGTACAGATAAGCTGCAAAGAAGATGACTACGTAGGGCAGCAAAGACAGCTGCTGTCAGAATCAGCTCCTCGTTTGCTCACTTTAAATCGCTGCTTGCATTCCATGCTTCTCATGCCTGGAGAACATTTAAATTTTGCTACCATCAGAGCAGTGTGGCTTGTGTGTTTTTATGTTTATATTTATTTTTATTGAAATCTCAGAAGGCAGCAGAGTTGCTGAATAAGATTGGCAGTGGTTGGAGACTGAGGCCTCCATCCACACTGTAGTAGAAGAATGCATTAGGTGAACTCTGCAGAATGAACTCTGGAAATAAGAAAGCATTTGTGTAATAGAGATTGGGTAATTCAGCCCATGTCATTGCAACATTTGTACCACCTTGGCACATTGTTAACTCTTTTAGGATAGTTCACAGAATCCGGATCACCATTACGGTTCACATTCTAAGCTTGGAGCCATATTAACAAAGCATCATGGAATAATGGGTCTAACGAGGAGCACCAGATTTTGAACACTAAGCTTGCAGGTCTATAGATATTTGGACTTAAGTCCCATTCAGTCATGGATTCATGTATTTCCTTCCTTTATATATTGCATTTCTGCCAAGCCACCCAGCCATTGAAAAACTTGGTTCTGACAGAATATTTTAGCTTTAGATGTCTGATTATAGAGGAATCAGTTTTTTTTTTTCAGAGTGTGAGAGCTGCTCGGAGAATGGGGGAGGGATGCTTTAATTAAAGCATAACTGTTATTATTTCCTCTCTTGTCTAAGCTACCCTAGAGGTAGTCGGTCAGAGGCTGCTTGTTGGTACTGGCAAGGTCAGAGCCAGAGGTGGGTGGGAGCCTTTTCTCCCTCCCTCTGCTCTCCCCCCACTCCTAGTATCTTTCCTGCATCCTTCTTCCACATTAAAAAAATGAAAAAAACAGTTTCATAAGTTTGAGCAGAACATTGCTGGTTTTTGGAAACTGAGCACATTATAATCGAATTGCTTCTATGGTTAGAATGCACAATGGGAGCAGTAATGAAAAACTAAGAAGGCCGATGCATGAAAGGGAATCTATGAGATGTGAAGTCAACTGATGAGAGATGTGGAGAACCTTGCACCTAAGTTCTGAATGCTAAAAGTGAACCGAAAAGCAATCGCTGGTGCAGAAGCCTTAGCAACTATAAAAAAGATCAAAGCTAACTTTCTGGAAACATTCATTTACAGATCCTGAAACATCACTACATGGGGAATCAGGTTTTGAAAATCTTTCCAGCAAAGGATGATGAGGTGAGAAAAAGAACTAGCCTTGAAGCTTGATGCTGGCTAGATTTTTGCTGTATTTTTAGACCTTTGAGTGTCCTCGAATTAAAAGCTGCTTTTTGTACATTTTTAAAAAATTGAAACTTGCTGAAGTGGATATAATAGAAGCATACAGAAACAATTCCTTATCCTTAATGTTTTAAAATAGCAAATATATAAAGTTTGAACTTGCAGGGGGAATGGAGTTTGATGATGGGGTGGGGTGAAGATTAAAAGGTCACTGCAAATAGCATTGGGAAATTGTGAGTTGGGTGTCTTTCTTACTGAGGAAATCATACATTTATTTCATACCACTAGCAGTGTGGCACAATTGCATTCCAGTTATTTGTGCCTGCTTCCCTGCCCCACCCATTGCTCTAACTGTGCTGTGTATTAGGATTATATGAGTATCAGGGAAATGAATGGAGAAATTTGAAGGGTACCAGAGTTTTTTCCTAGCCCCTGCAAGTCAGCTTTGTGGTCCTAGAAATACAAAACACTCCAAGCCAGTTCTTCCATAAACTGTCCTCAAACTCCTGCAATATTATTAGGCGGTTGATGGACGTACACTTTATAACTCCAGAGACTTGATCTTGTTTAAAAACCAGAATCTCTGTCTGCTTTTAACAGAAACTTAAGGGAAGCAATATCACAGAAGTGTTTTTGTAGTTCATATTTCTATCTAGCCCTGTTTTGTTTTGGAACAGTACTACACCATATGACCTAAAGTTGGTGCTTTATTTTGTTATGTCTCTTGTGGTCTAATTGTACACTGCCACTGTTTCCTGTGCGGTGAATTTTGAAACAGTACTCCAAATTAAAAACAGAACTGTTGCTGTCTTTTCAGTCCTTTGTAAATCGTGTGGTTGCTGGGCTTGAATGATGCATATTTATAATGTAATCTCTCCTTTGAAAGGCTGCAGCCGTGGCTCTTTCCTCCCTGATTCATGCATTGGAAGAATTAGATATGGTGGCTATAGTGCGTTATGTTTATGATAGAAGATCTAATCCACAGGTTGGAGCAGCCTTTCCATTAATTAAGAGTGACTATGAGGTAATCTTTTTATCATGATATCATTCATAATGTATATTCAGTCCTCTCTCCTACAGGGGTCGGGTAGTGTAAACTCTGTCAGAAACATCTTGGAAAACTGAGAACTTTAATCCAACAGTTTCACAACAACTTTCTAGACCTTGTTATTAGGAGAAGTGATGTACATGCACCTAGAACCTGGCACAGTTTTCAGAGCAGTTAAAAAAATCTATATGCTGTTGCTGTTTTTCACTGAAGAAATTTCTACCTTCCACAAAAAATGAGATTATACACAGAAGTCTGCAGATGGTTTTGCCATTTCTGCAGCTTCCATTTTTAGTAATGATACATATGGGAGAATGTTTGCAATCCATACTGGTTTGGCTAAGCAGGAACTGAAGTTGCGGTGGAGAGATCCCTTTGTTTTTTGACAGCAGAAATATCGAAGAGGAAAGGATTTTTTTAAAAGATGTAATATGACTGAGAAGTGTGTATAAAGGCAAGTATGTCTGCATATGTTGAGACAAACTAGTGGCCACAGTTTGGAAGTATTGTATGAAACAAGCTGACAGGCTACTGTGAGGAATTGGTGGGTCTCCAAAAGGAGAAAAATACTAGTTACTTGTTGGGAGCTTATTTTAACTTGCAGAAAGACAGACAAGGAGAGGTCAAGTTTGGGGTGGAATCACACTCCAAGAAATTCAACATCCACATATATATCTGCATTAAATATTATTTTTAAACAAACAAAACAGGTACTAATCTAGAATGAGTCTACTAGTGCCTTGCAACTGGGTATGACAATAAACTTTTGTTTCAGTTTTCTTAACATCACCCTCCTTTTGTTTTAGTGTTTGGCATATGTGCAGCTACCCTATATGGAAGATTTGAGGCAATACTTGTTTACCTCTTTGAAAAACAATAAAAAGTATACACCAACAGGTGAGTTTGCACTTTTACTTTTTTTCTTACAAAGAACTCAAAGTGGCTTGCATCATTCTCCTCTTCCTCCTCCTCTCAATCTCAACAACAACCCTATGAGGTAGGTTGGGCTGAGAGTCTGTGACTGGCCCAAAGTGCCCTAGTTGGCTCCATGGCTGAGCAGGGCCTAGAACCCAGGCCGCCAGAGTCCCAGGCCCACACTCTTAACTGCCGCACCATGCCGGCTTTACAGAAGTGGATGGCTGCAAGTGATACATATGCAAGAAAGGAGATACATCTCAGAAGGACACTGCCAGTTTGTGACTGTGTGGCTAAAGTGGGAAGTATTGGCACGTCCAGGGAATTACTGCCTTACTCCAGAAAGAGAAAATTCTATAATAGCTTTATCTCTGGAATGTGTATTGAATATTTCTTTGTATCTGATGACCCAGAGGATCAGTTGTGTGCAGTTGGCTCTCTGATTGATTCCATGAGCTTGGTTTATGAGGATGAGAGTGAAGGGACAACCAAGGATATATTCAAAAGCAACAAATTTCCAAACCCCCAGTTCCAAAGACTGTACCAGGTAGGTAATGGTCTCATCACCATTGTCTAAAAAGACTCTTTTTCTTCAAATATTTCTTCTCTGTTTTGTTAGCCCTAGCAAAAAAGAACTGTGTGACAATGTAATATAGTAAAACTAGTTCCATATTATTGGTTATTGCAGTGAACAATTCTGTATCCTCAGTTGCCTCATAAGAAATAGAGCAAGAAGTTTTTTTTCAGTTAGTTTGGCTAGTTCTTTGGGGGTTTTGCAAATTAGCTATGTGGATTGGGGACACCGAGCCATATTCATGTGTTTTTTGGTATCAGGAAGCAAACATTGCAGCAGCTCACTTAAATAATGTAGTATTTCTCCCACAAATGCTGTTTCCACCTGGTTTAGAGCAGAATAACCTATACGTGGACCCTCATCATTTATTTATTTTGATCTCCCAGGAAAATGTGTGGGCAGCCTAAAATAATTCAGTATCTCACTAGTGAAAGTGTTGGGCTGCATCCTAGAAATTGCTGTAGAGAAATTGGATATTATGGCATGCAGATGTAAGCTTGAGTTAAGCAGGTTTTTCAACCAGCTTTTTGTATATTTGGGTTTTATACACTTAATAGAATTTGGTAAAGATTAAGATTTAAGTTTGGTTCTGTCACTGCAGTATTTCTGAATCGTAACAGTCTGGTATGGAATTCTGTTCCATGCAGACTTTGGACAAGTCAGTGTATATATACTATATTCGAATCCTTTCACCTCAAGCTAGTTTTTGTAATTTTATCTAATCCCAACAAATTGCCTTTCATGGGAAAGGATTTTTGTACTTCTCTGCCACAAATACTGTCCCACGTTCTTGAAAAATTCCTTGCTTGTTAGAAGATAAACCATACCACTTGTATTGTCCACACGTTTAGTGACTTGAAAATCACTAATTCCTTTGTCTTCCCCTACTAGTGCCTACAGTATAAGGCGTTCCATCCCGATGCACCTCTTCCCCCTATTGAAAAACACCTCCTGGACATGTTGGGAACACCTCAAGTCGTGACAGAAAGATGCCAGGCTAACCTTGAAAAAGTGAAAGCCCAGTTTCCTTTGAAGGATGTGGGCAAAACAAAAGAGCAAAAGACAGCTCAGCATATCTTCAAAGATCAGTAAGTTGACATGGACATCATAAAAATTGTTCTTTAGCTATTCATAAAGTTCAGCCACCTGTGGCCACATGGGTTTCTGTTTCTAGGTACAGGATTGCCTGTGTCTTGGGCAGGAGTGATTGTGTGTGTGTGTGTGTGAGAGAGGGGGGGGGGAGAAGAAAGAGAGAGAGAGAGAAAGTTGCAACATCTTTGGTTTGGATATTAAAGTAGCATCTATAAACTCCTTGTTAGATGCAACTCTTTGCACATGAAAGGGAAGCCTAGCCTAGGTCTCTTACCTAGGCAAGGAGCTGCTGGCTTGAGACATTACATAGAGCGGATCATGTTGAATATTGGCAAGGGGTGGCTGGAATTGTCTGCTGGTGCAAAATGCTGCAGCCAGTTTCTGATGCTGGTAGTCTTCACCTCACTACCTGCCAGAGTTTAGCCTTTGTCATGGCTTTGCTTCCTGATTTTCTAAAAATAAGTTGGTGTTTAAATCATGGTCCCCCATCCAAAGTCTTCAGCATGGGGGGCTTGCCAAAAATTTAAACAAATGGACTCTACTCTGATATCTAAAGTGTCTTTTGAATCTTGACCATTACGCTCAATAGCAGCAGTGTGATAGGGTCCCATTCTGCTCTAAGCCTGTCAGAATGGAGGATCCTTGCATGCTGAATAATCATTGTGGTTGCTTCTCACATGAAAGGGGAAGAAATAACAGCATGACAACTAATTGCACCCAGTCCTAGAGGTCTTCCATCTCTATGTCCTACTTCAGAAATGGATGTGATCAAAGCACAGGTCAGCAGCTTCCATGCTGCTGCAGCAATATGTGAATGGAGCCATGGAGTTGCATCCAGGGTTAGTTTAACCTAAGTCCCATTCATTTCAGTCAGTCTGCTCTAAGTAGGATAAGTAGGACTAACATGAGAGACAGCCGTCGTTTTTCTGTTCACTGAGGGACACGTTACATTCTTCTTTGGGGATTGTCTAGATTGTTCAGGCAGCTGGAAGTTGAACTTTATAGAGATGTGAAGGCCCAGAGAAAAAATGATGAATTTTGGAAAACAATTTTTCCCCTTCTTCTTCCCCCCTCCCAAAAAATGTGGGGTGTTGCAAGGGTGTTTGGGGGCTTTCCCATCCCTTTTCAATCTCTCATGCACATTGATCAAGGAGATAGAGGCCTTCTCTGTAGACAGATCCTTAATAGCTATCAAGTTGAGCACAGGAACTAGAAAATTGCATTAGAAGGGCAAATAGAGTTCTTTCTTGAATGTTAAATGTCCATTATCCTTGATGCCAGTCTAATCTCACACACACAATTCCATATTAGCAAACCATAGGGATGATGGTACTTGATTTTCAGGCTTCCAGGAAAGACAATCTGGTGTCAGCATTGTAATCCTAGTGGACATCCGATCTCTCTGGCATCTGGTTTCATTCCTTACTTTCTGAGTATGCTCCCTCTTTAAATGAATCAGTGCATAATTTTTCAGCTACATGTCTAAAGTGGTTCTGCCATATGTGTGTTTCCTCTGTAAATTGCTCTGCTCATTATTGCTAAGATAATTCCTTTGGATTGATAGTTCTGTCTTACCTACTTCTAGTAATGAAGATGGGCCAAATGCTAAAAAGGCAAAAACAGAAAACAATGGTGACTTTAGCATTGCAAGCCTTTCTGAAGGCAAAATCCTCACAGTAAGTACTTTTTTGCAGAGGTTGCTGTAATAGGATGTATTAGATTGGCCTTTGGGACAAAGGTATCGCTCCCTGTTGAAGAAAGACATAATCAAGAATGCGAACATAACCAATGAAGCCTCTGTTCCAAAATGAGAATTAGCAGGGAGTGGGAATTGTTAGTGCTTCTGGACGAAGGCAAGGGCATGGCAATGGTCCACATACAGAGAGGGGCACCTTGTGAACTGAGGGCATGCAGACTTCAGCAGGGGCAGCTTTGGTGATCACCGGGCTCTAAATTGGACTTTGAGCCATTGCACCAGGTAGCTATGGAATGTCCAGGCCTATAACCTGCATTGACCTCTGTTTCCTCCCCTCTTTTTTGAGGTGATTTGATGCTGTGGGTTCAACTGCAGAACTGCTTCCTTGCAATTCTGTGTTCTCTGCTTTATTTTGATACAATTTGTGTCTCAACTACACATTAGCAAAAGCATGTTTTGACTTTGCAAATATATATAGCAAGGGTTTGTGGGAGGACAGCCGCGTGTTATAGTTGTTAAAGTTTTAGCTCTACAGTGAAATACATGATTTCCTCTTAGTCTGTGTTTGTGTCTGTAGAAAATACACATACTCGTAGCTTGGTCTCTGCCCTTTTTTTAAAGGCATCATTTACATTTTTGAATTCCTGAGCGGGCCAGTGAATATTTGATTTTTCTTACAAATGATACACTGGGGGGACAGTCCAGCTAGTCTGAGCCATCTTTTGGTTAAGATGTCTGACTTCCAGTTATGTATAAGCCAAAGTGAATAAGCAGTTTGTGCTATGGGAAGATACTTAAGCTATGCTAGCAGAGCCATGAGCATTCCTGTTGTCCTGACCTTTGTCTTTGGAGCAAATGACTACATCATACAAGGGCAGTACAGTATCTGTTGACTTCATACTGCTCCAGTCATGTCCAGTTTTTCAGAGTGTTTCAAAGCAGATCTCAGCTTGTTTTAAAGCACAAGGATAAGGAATTGAAGGGGCTGAGGATGTGACCCTTGCTGGCCTATTTTGTAGGTTGGGAGCGTTAATCCAGCAGAAAACTTCAGAGTGCTTGTGAGGCAGAAGAATGCTGACTTCAGGGAAGGTAAATGAAACTTTATTTATGAATTTGTTTATTTCAAGCATGGGAAATCTTGTGGCCCTTTGAATTAGGGTGTGTGGGGAGGTTTGCAGAAAAAATTGGTGTCTGTACTCAGAGCCAAAATTGATTTATAGTGACAAGCAACCTTGTGCAGTTACCCAGGTTTCTGTTTTTTTTTTTTTTTTGGCCTTGATGCTCCTGAGAGATAAGAGATGTGAACTCTCTCCCCCTCTGCAATTTCCCTTCTTCTCATTCTTCCAGAGACCCCACAGCGGGGAATGAGGCTGCTCTCTTTGACAGCTGTAACTGCAAGCTGAGTTCAGCTTGATGCAGCTGTCAAGCAGTCCCTGGTTGAGGGCAGTGATGCTCTGCTGATTCCCCCACCACTGCCCCCATGCACACCACGGAGAAGCCCCTCACAGGTGTGGGAGCAAGAATGGGGGCTCTGCGGGTATCATTGCTCCTTTCCCTGCAACCTCCTGCGTGAGAAGAGCAGGGACACCTCTGGCAGTTGTGCAAAACAGCAGCTGCTGGTGGTTCTTTTGCCAGGTGACTGTCTCATTCAGGCCTTGGTACCACAGTGCTTTGTAGGGCTGAGTTGGCATAACCATAGAACTTAGTTGTTCCTGGTCATGGTTTCTAAAGATCAAGCATGCCATGCTGAAATGGTAGGATGGGGTTTGGATAGCATGGCAGAGCAACAATGGTAAAAAGCTACCATGAGCAGTACAGCAATGAAACCAACTACCCTAGGGCTCTTTCACACAGGAGGCATTCAAGACGCAACTGGACAGCCATCTGATTGGGATGGTTTAACTGGGAGCCCTGTGCTGAGCAGGGGCTTGGACCCGATGGCCCTCTGTCCCCTTCTAACTCTACTGTTCAGTGATTCTATGTTGTGCAGATCCACCCAGTGTGAATTTTATTAAATGGTTGTGGAGAAACAATCTTTCTAGGTTCTGAGGCATATTGATATGATGCCACTGCTCGTGTAAGCACACCTCTTCTTGGGATCATGCCTTATTTTTAGGTTTGCAGAGGAAGTACATTTAGAGATAGACCCTGAAAGTCATTAAAATGTGTGACTCTTAAATCAAGGGTGGGCAACTCTGGCCTACAGTTTCCATATACCTCATCATTGGCTTTGCTGGCTACAGCTCATGGGAGTGGCAGGCCAAAACACCTGGAGGACCACAAGTTGATAACCAGGAGAGTAGTTTAAGACCTGCTCTGGATTTCATCTTACGTTGCAGGAATATGTGAGAAGTATCATCCAAGATACTTGGATGTTTGCGATTGGTACTGAGTATGCCTGAGGCACTGACAGCACTGAGAGAGATTTAGGAACCATAAAAATCCTACTCTTAGAGATACGGTGCAGCCTTTCCCAGCCTGATGCCCTCCAGATGCTTTGGATTTCAACTTCATTTAGCCACAGCCAGCATATCTAGTGGTCAGGAATGCAGGGAGTTGTAGGCCAGAACAGCTTCAGGATGTTAAGTTGGGGCCAGAATTTATAATGAAATACCCTGTCATTCTGCAACATTAAATAATGTATGTTTGGTTGTATCAAATGTTAGTCTAATGAAAGTCCTGTTCATTTAAATGTGTTGATTCTAAATAGAACTATTATATACTACCAAACTTTTACAAAAATTAAATAGGACTAGGTAGGTGAGCATGGTGTTTTATTCTATTTTTAAAAATATTGAGATTCAATTGGTTATGATTGCTCATGGTTCTGTGCGTATGCAACTTTGATCGTCCTCACTGAGGCACACTTTATAATTATGTTTGGCTTTCCATCTGATCATCATGAATACCTAAGAGGGCTACATTTAACATCTTCTGTTTTAATTAAATCCAACAACAGACATTCCATTCATTAAAAAATAATCACTGATTTGAAGTTCTTTAAAATGGCGAAGGTGGTGAAATGTTGCAGGTGTCGATCAGCCTCAGACATCTCACAACAAAAATCTTAGCTAATAAAATGAATAGTGCATGAGGATCATTAGTTCTGCAAGACAAGGGTGTCTTTAACACCCATTATTAAAATAAGCTCAGTAGAAGATAAACTGTCTGGTGACTGTATCTAAAGCATTTGGTGTCTATTCTGGAATGGCTTGGACATTTAACACTGTGAAATGGTTTCCAGCTCGTGTAGGGTATGCCCAACATACTTATCAAGGCAAATTTATTGGTGACATTCTTAGTTATTCCTATTCAATTTATGATGGGCTTACTTGAAATTCTTAGAAATAACTTCAGATAAAATTAACTAAAGAAATTATTTTAATTTCCTCCAGTGTCTTCTATTTTGTAGTTTGTGGTACAATTGTTCATTCTAGTTTCTCTCCTGTGCATGTTTTTCTAGTTAATCTGGGGAATAATTTAAACCATGTAAACTCAATAGGGAGAAAACCACCTTACTGAAAATGGGTACTCTGTAGTTCTACACATAATTATTTTGAAGGCTCTCCATAAAAAGGGAAGGGAGTAGAGAAGTATTATGCCTTTATATTGTAATCTGTTATGCATTTACTTAGGAATAACTTCCATTGCCTTTTAGTGGAATGTACTCTCAAGTGAGTTTGTGCAGAATTGCAGCCAAACCAAATAGTGTGGTTCTTGAACATGGCACTCCTCCCTGGCTATGCTGGCTCCAGCAGCCAAGTCTTGATCAAGCCAGTGTGTCTGTGAAAGTGCATGACCTGCAGACCATGCAGCTGCTGTGAACCCTGCATGACTGGCAGAAGTGACAAATGTCCCAAGCAGTCACAAAGCATTCCTGGTTAGGACTGGATTAGTGCTGTCCTCTGTGGCAGAGGCTTTGCGGAACTTGACTGATAAGTTTGCCAGGGATTTTCCAGGGTATGCCTACCTGAGCTGATGTTTGCAGGGAAGAAGATGGGAAATTGGTCCCTGCAGAATGCTTCTCTTGACAATGTACCAAATGGATACATTTATGATATAAAAAACCAAGTGTGATGAAGATCAGATAATAACTGAATTCTTGACTTGAAACATGCAAGCAGCAGTTGAAAAGATGCTGAAGAAATATCAACACTGTGATCTTCACAAACATGATAGAATAGACTAACTTGCAGTTTGATCCTTGGTCCACTCAGAAGGTATCATTCATATCAAAGAAACTTACTTTCGGGTAAGATGGGGATTTTTTCCCTTCAGAGGTTCCTTTAGGGCAGGGGTCCTCAAACCTTTCCACCAGGGGGCCAGCTGAAAGGTGCAGGTGCTGGGCGCGGGCTGGAAAGGTGGTGCCGGCGGTGCGTGCCGGGGTGGTGATGGTGCGTGAGAGCACGCACGCTGAGGCGGGGATGGGGCGTGAGGTGGGCAAGATGCGGGTGGGTGCGGGAGGGAAGGTGCGGTGAAGGGAGGGGAGATGAGGTAGGGGCAGACGCGTGCCGCAAGGCGGGCGCACGAGGCAGCGGCTTGCTTGCTTGAAGATCGTTTTCTCCGAGTGAGCAAACCACTGCTCCCCAGCATGCAGGGGGAGGTGGGCGGTGGGCATGTGTGTGCGCAGCACGTCCAAATGGGCATGGCGGGCCAGATCCGGCCCTGGGCTGTAGTTTGAGGGCCCATGCTTTAGGGTAATGCTGGAAAGGTTGGTGCCAAGAGTGGGCATGTCTACAGTGCTCTCTTGTTCTTTCTTCCTCTCCAGTTGGCACTAGGAGAGAAACTCCCTATCCATTTCAGTGGGGGTTTTATTTTCCATACATATTGCAGGTGCTAGGGGATCCCAGTAATGAGGATAGAGGAGCTTTAAATTTAGCCCTTTGCTCCAGCTGTGGTCCTGATTCTCCCTTCCTGGTACATCTCCAATTTGCATTGCCAGAGGGAGGGAGGGAGGGAGAGAGAGAAAGTCCATTCTTCAATGGATCCATTTGGGAAATGAAAATTGAAGGTCTTGTGTGTTTGTGTATGTCCTCATCTCCTTACCTGGAATGGAAGTGGAAGGGGAGGGATTAACAGCCCCACCCTCTATAAAAGGGCCTTGATCCTTTTGGGTCCCCAGCAGCTGCAGCTTTCCATGCTTCTCCCTGTACAGTGAATACTGAAGCCAAGGGTGGGGCAGGACCAGGAAGGAGGGTTTAGACTGGAATCATCTGAAGAACCCTGAAGCAGTATATTCCCCATCTCTTTTGTGTAAGATTGCCACATAAAGTTATTGACTAATCCAGAATCTGTAAGTCACATACAGGATCTCACCACAGTTTGAACATATGCTGTTCTCTAATTCTTGATATGACACTTCTGGATTCCTCTGTATGTTAAAGCAAAGAAAGCATTGATTGATCTTTCATTTAATTATAGTTTGTATGAATACATTAAATGTGACAGATTATGAGAGTTTGGTAGAATTAGGGCTGAAATTCCTGACTGGTTCATATAGATCTTGTGTTTCCTCACAAAGTTAAATACAACACTCCACACTTCAGCCAAGGTGGCTTGGTGACATTCTGGTAATCAGGCTGCCTCTATATGCCAAGCAGAAAAGAATATACAATCATGGTGGTCTATAAGAGCATGGTTATTTTAAAGGGATTGCCTCAGTTTGAGAAATGCAGTGCAACCTTTTAGTCTGGAGCATTTTTGTTAGTCACAAAGGTGATGTGAATGGGGCAAGCAGATCAGAATGAAGTCGGAATAGAGGAAGTCGGAAAGGGCAGTATGGAATGCCTACAACAATGCTGAAAGCTTCTGCAAAGAAAACAGTCAAGTTTTGGGATGTGCCATAGAAATAAAATGACAAGCAGATTAATGGGATGTGTTATGGTGGCAGCCTTAATGGAAAAATGACTGGATTCAGACAACATAATCCACACTCATGGTTTGAGTATGTGTTGAGTATGGATAATAATGTTAATCATGAACCCAGATGCTTTAATAACCTATAGTTTGTCAACCATGAACAACCCATTAAGAAACTCCAGGGTTTATTGCTAGGTTGCGAATTGTGGGGTATTCACTCTTACTTGAGT